CGAAAGCATAGGTGCACACATCTGCATCTTACAACATCTCTTCCCCACCTTCTCCCATGCTGCCATCAGCATCCCATACTTATCCGCACGACCATGCCCATCCGCACCACCACTCCTACCCACATCAGCATCAGCATCCGCATCCCCACAACCCCTCCCAACATCACCACCATCACTGCCACCTTCTTTCAACCCCTCCTCTCCTTGAACTCTCGCTCTCTTTCTTGCCAAATCCTCCTCCTTGCCTTGCTCAACGGATCCCCTTTCATTGCATGGTTTGGGACAAAGGAGCTGCAGCGGAATTCTGCCCTCTTTACACTCTCCTCCCATGGTCCTCCTCTTTGTGCCACCGTTGCCCTCGCCCTGCAAGTGAGTCTCCTTGTTTCTTCTGATTTCGTTGGACTCTTTGGTCCCTTCCTCTTGCTCCTCCCTGTCAGGCCCTTTGTCGCAATGCTTTTGACGCGCCTCAAAAGTAGTCTCTTTGGACTCTTTGGTCCCTTCCTCTTGCTCCTCCCTGTCGGGTTCTTTGTCGCAATGCTGCATCACATCTATGCGGTTTTCTGTTTCGTAGATGGCTGCCAAAGGTGGGAATCATAGGGAGGAATGGGACAGGGGAGCAAAGGAAAGGGCGTTGTATCACCAGGCGCAATTGAGAGGTATGATAATAAAGGGAGAGATCTTCGCAGAACAGGAGGAATAACATCAGGAGAGTGAATATCAGGGGAAGATCTTGAGTCGTGAGAGAAGAGTGCCAACAGAACGACTAGTGGTAGGTGAGGAAGAGAAGAGGAGGAGGAGGAGGAGGAGGAGGAGGAGGAGGAGGAGGAGGAGGAGGAGGAGGAGGAGGAGGAGGAGGAGGAGGAGGAGGAGGAGGAGGAGGAGGAGGAGGAGACATGGCAGATGAAATGAAGGCGGGGGAGAGAGGTGGAAAACGATAGGACAACGAAGAAAGAGGTGGGAGAAAAAGTGGTGGAAGGTGGGGGGGCAGGGGGGGAGGGTTGAGGGAGGAGAAGGAGGAGTGGTCATATGACGTCAAGCTTGCATTGGCATAGTGGCAGGTAAAAAAAAAAAAAAAAAAAAAGGCAGCAGAAGCAGCAGCAACAGTATCAGTTGCCGTTGCAACGACGTGGGTGGCTGGCATCATCACCAGTGACAGAAGCAGCAGCAGGAGCAGCAGCAGCAGCAGCAGTGGCAGCAGCAACGTCAGCAGTCGCCACGGCGGCAGTGACAGCAGCGGCAGCAGAAACGGCAGGGGAAGCTGCAGCACCAGCGGCAGTGGAAGTTGGCAGTGGCAGTAGCAGCACCACAAGGAGCAGCTACAGCAGACTCCGTACCAGCAGCAGCAGCAGCAGCGAAAGCACCAACAACGGCTCGAGACAGCAGTGGCATTGGCAAGAGCAGCAGCAGCAGCAGCGACGGCGGGGGCGGCGGTGGCGGGGGCGGCGGCGGCGGCGGCGGCGGCGGCAGCAGCAGCAACACCAGCAACAGCACGAGGCAGCGGTGGCAGTGGCAGTGGCAGGAGGCAGCAGCACAAGCGACAAAACAATAGCACGAGGCAGCAGTAGCAGCAGCAGCAGCAACAACAACACCACCAACAACAGCACAAGGCAGTGGCAGTGGCAGTGGCAGGAGCAGCAGCAACATCAGCAGCAGCAGCAGCAGAAGCAGGCAGCAGCAACAGCAGCGGCAGCGGCAGCGGCAGCGGCAGCAACAGCGGCGGCGGCGGTAGCAGCAGCAGGAGCAACAGGACCAGTAGCAAAAGCATAAGAAGCAGCAAAATGAAATGCAGCAACATCGGGAATGTCAGCAGCAGCAAAAGCAGCAAACCAGCTGCATTAAAAGCAGCAACCGCATCTGCATAGCAGCAGCACTACCTTGGCAGACATACATTTGCCATACATCTCATCTTGCATATGTGAGTGTGACACACAACAGCTACATGCACAAGTGTGACTGTGTATGTGTATGGTTACTGTCGCAAGGTTGTTGCTAACAGAAGAACGAACGGTAGTGAGAGAAAGAGCGATTTTGTTGTAGAACGTGCTTAGATAGACAGAGTGCATATGGTGTGCAACAAAACTCTCACTTCCTCTCTCAGAGTGATTGCACAGTGTCCAAATCCAATATTGGATTAGCACGGAAGAGAAAAGGGGGGGAGGGGATGCGGAGAAGGAGAGGTGGAAGAAAGCGAAGATGAGAGAGGAGCGATCTAGATCCCCTTCCCAAATCTCTCCTTTCTCTTCCCCTCTCTCATTCAATGAGACAAGTTGCCTCTCACATCTTTTCTCTTCCTGGACACGATACAAGGGACCTTTTGAGAAGGAGAGAAAGACAGAAGTCTCTCATTCTTTTCAATTACCGTTGTCCATAAGCTCCAAACACAGAGGCAAGTCCCTCTTGAACATCAGGACCTTCACTCGCTCCTCTTGAAGATTCTTCAAGTATTCTTTCAACACTTCCATTTTATGCTTCTACCAAGAGAAGAAAAAAACTATCATATGAAGGCCTATCAAGTAGTAGTGCATGGGACAGCAAAATGTGCTAATTCTATGACTAGTATCAGATCTGGTAAGCCCGTTAGCAGTCTCTCCCTGGTTTCCATGACGCAAACCAAATTTTCCTGCTCAGCAGGTACCGCTGCTGGCCTATCTGCCTGTCAGAAAGCAGAGGGAGAGCATTTTTAGCAGGAGGGTGGGGATGGGCAACAAGCACCAACTTGTTAACAAACCAACTACACTTTGACGATCCCTGGGAAAACCCTAGGGTTCGGAGGCCAGCAGGTTTGGCAACCTAGAGATTCGCGGTGAATACCGCGAAATTTTGCCAGGCCCAAAACCTGATGCCGAACTGAACCGAACCACAGCCGCATGGCTGCCTGTCACCATCCCTCCCACCTACAGTCAAGGCTTGGTGTCCTCCTCGCCCATGGTTTTTTTTTGTTTTCGAACAGCCCCTCGTCGCCACGCGAATATTCAGTAGCATTAGTGGCTGGCATCAGTTCACATCAGTGATTCGGAGTGGTGAAAGCTACGGCCATTATCTCCGATAATCGAATTTCGCCTGAAGGCGTTCTCAGGTGTAATCACCAACAGAAACACGGTTTCGCGATATTGTAGGAAGCTTTTCTGTTTCGTATCTGTATACAGTCACCCAAAAAATTTGCAGCGCTTGAAAAAAAAAATATAACCCGTAGTGTACCTAAATGATTTCCGGGAAGGATCAACCCTAAATACCGAAAGCCGCCCAATATTTTGGAAAACATATTGCAGCCCACTTGACAAAAAAAAAAACAATCAGAAAGGGATGCGACTCGGGAGGCATCAAACCTAAAAACAATTTCCATTCCCGTGTTTAGGGTTGACCCCTCTCGAAAATGCATCCAGGTTCCCTAGGGGTTTTTTTCCTGCCATGCCCGAATAGTTCTCGGTAGCGTCGTCTAGTGCTTTCGGTAGCTTTGTTTAGCGGTCGGTTGCGCTACTGAGCACCACCAAGTGAATTATATAGGCTTCATTCTCTTACTACCTAAATTTCCGTTCATATATCCAAGTCGGGAGGGTAAACTTGACGGTTCTGTTTTTGTCCCTTTTTAATGAGTTCGACCAGTGTAAAAAACGTGACAATAAAGCGACGACCAATCAATATTGAGAAAGTCCAGGCTGATTACACCTGAGAACGTGCTCAGGAAAAATCTGAGTATCGGAGATAATGGCCGTGAAAGCTAAGCCAATCGCGGTGCCTTGGATTTTCTGTAAACGACCAATCCGCCCTTCCCCTCAAGACATTGAGATTTTCTGGTGTACTCGCGCAGTGCTCCTGTATTTGTTAGGACTACGACAGTTCTGAACTTATAATCAGAGAACCTGAAAGTACGACTGGAAAAGTCATGCGGAAAGTTCATTTGCTCGCAATCCTTCGGCTTTTGAAGGCAGACCCACACCCTCGTCCCAAAGGTCCCGCTCCCTTTCAGTGTGACAGTAACCATTTCAAAGGAAAGTGAGACCTGCTATTCTCAGTACTACTTTCGCTATTTTCGCTGTAGGGTAAATTTTCGCGTTAATGGAACTCCACAATTCAAGTTTGAGTAATGCGTTGTCGTGTAGTTCACGCAGGATCAAGGGAATCCTGTCACAACAAGCTTGCGCGGCGATTGGAACCAGCATCACGAAGGAGAACCAATGCCCACGGGCTGGAGTGCACTTGCTGAGTTGGACGCATCTTCTGGGAATTCAACGAATATTCCTTGTTATGGTACATATACCCATCATTAGGTTCCACGTAAGGATCCACGTTCAGGAGTGCTGTTGTATGAGTTAGATCAAAACTTCAGTCTACACCCTCTTTCTCGCCATTGTGAGTTCGGTTATAGTGAAGTCAAGTTGGGAAAAGCACGGTTAACGGTGGTTAGATTAAGTCTAGATATGGTTCAATCAGACAAATCGAAGGTAACTAGGTTTTCCATCAGTTCAGCACAGTTCAGTGTAGTGAGAAACAGGGTGTACAACCACAATCATATGGGTCAATAGTAACAGCTGTTGATGTAGTATGCTCTTTGTAGAGTATCTTTGTACAACCACAATGTGTATATTTGTGTTAACTTCAAACAAGAACTACTTACCAGCAATTTATCCCTCCAGAGAAATCAAGCTAGCCAAACACATCCCAATGAATTCTTAATCTTTGCACCCCCAAAATAGCACACAATATCTTTCTTAGCCATTATGAAACGGAACAAGCACATGTAGGATGGTATGTCTCGATAATACTTACGACGCACACAGAGATCATAGAAAGGATTAACAAACACATAATGGCAATGTAATTGATCCTCCTTTCCAGAAACACTACACAACTCTGCTCCTCCCAAGCAAATTCTGCCCCACCACTCTGCTCTCCACCCCAAATTCCTCTGAATCCTCCAGAATCTTCTACAAATAAAAAAGGAGATAAAAGCATTAAGCTGTTCCCTGAGACACCACTCTCCCTGGAGCCTAGCTAGCAGATTAAGGGGATGAAGGAGGGGTGACAGGCTTCTTCACCCCCTCCCCAGTCAGCAAGTCCTTGGGAAAGACATTGTATGGCTCGGGGTACAGCAGCTGAGTCTTGCCCTGCAAGGCGGGGAAGGGGGGGTGTTGGAGGGGAGGGGAAAAGAGTTCAAGACAAGAGGGACAAGGGTCGTGGAAAGGTTTAGGGGAATGAGGGGCTTCATCACCCCCTCCCCAGTCAGCAAGTCCTTGGGGGAAGACGGTGTATGGCTCGGGGTACAGCAGCTGAGTCTTGCCCTGCAGAGGGGAAGAAGAGGGGGGAAAAGAAAAAGAGAAGGCAAGCAAAGAAGAGTACATTAGAGCCATGAAATGACATGTATGGCTCATATGCCGCATCAGTCGCATCTTACCCAGGTGATGTGCAGATTGCAGCATGTTCACAACACCACATGGAGCAATTGAGCACTGTGTGAGTGATGGTGGTGCAATTAAATTGCCTGTTCTTCTGAAGCCCCAACTGCCTTTTCTTCTCATCTCTTCCTCTAGAATCATTACTACACGCCAACATATTCGCCGGCCTACCTCCAGATAGCGGTTGAGCAGCGTGGTGGTGCTGTAGTTGAAGCCCTCAATCGCCTGGCCCTTGCTGCTTTAAGTCACGCCATTTGCAGTCACACCAGCACCATCAAAACATTCACCTCCAGATAGCGGTTGAGCAGCATGGTGGTGCTGTAGTTGAAGCCCTCGATCGTCTGGCCCTTGGTGCGGCAGGCGTTCATCTGAGTGCGCACTCGCGAGGCCAGCACCTAGTGGGAGGGAGAGGAATGATACAACATTCTTAGTCATAAAGCAACTATGTGCTTGAGTGTGGAAGATGAGTGTGGGAGGAAAAGAAAAGTGCGAAAAGGGTATTTGACAGACTATGGGAGCTGACTGTGAAGGAAATGAGTGCGCGGTTGACGAGTGTGTTGCAGGTGTCCACGGGGCACAGGCGAGTGTGTTGTTTGTGTGGTGATTAGGGCACACAGGGAAAGGCAGAGTGGGGGACAACCCCTTGCTTGCACTCCACTCTCCACAGCCATGTCAGGGTTTAAGGTTTTGGGCTTACCTTGCCGAGCTCCACGCCCCATTGGTCGAACGAGTTGATGCCCCACACGAAGCCCTGCACCGCCACCCTGTTCTCGTACAGTGATAGGAGCTGATGGTGAGGGGAAAATGTGAAGAGGGGAGGGTGGGGGGGAGGAAAGGCTATAGAGGCAAGGGCGGTGATGAGAGGAATGTGTAGCAATGCAAGGAAAGGAGCACAGTGGAACCGAATCACTAAGAGTCCAGTGTGGAATCACACGATATGTTCCTCGTGAAGCCCTGCAGTGCACTAACTCAGTCGCTTATCCGCCCACTATGTAGGTGTGAGGTTAAAGAGTCCCTTACCTGCCCCACCATAGAGAGTGGGAGTATAGAGAGTGAGTCTCGTACCTGTCCCACTGTGTAGGGTGTGAGCGATGGCAGGAGGATGCTGAGAGAAGGCCTGTTGCCAGTGAAGGTCTGAAAGAGCGGAAGTGGAGGTGGGGGAGGAGGGAAGGGGTAGGATAAGAGAGAGAGAATGAGAGAAAACGGTGAGGAAATGGTGGGTATGCAGAATAAGATGGTGAGGTAACAGGAGGATGCTGAGAGAAGGCTTTTTGCCAGTGAACTTGGGAAATGAGCTTGGGAAGGTGGAGATAGAGGAAGGAGAGAGCGGGATACAGAGAGGGGACAGAGAAGGAGGGGAGAGAAGGGCATATGGTGCGAATGATGGCAGGAGGATGCGGAGAGATGTTGCCAGTGACGGTATGGAGGCAGGGGGTTAAGGGGGGGGGGACAGAGGGAGAAGGAGGGAGAGAATGAAGGAGGGGAGGCAAGGGCTTGGGGTGTGATCTGAGCGATGGATTGTTGCGATGGCATGGGGTGAAGGTCTGGAGGCAGGGAGGGAATGGAGTAGGAGACAGAGAGGGACAAGAGAGAGGCAGACAGAGAGGGAAAGGAAACAGTGGATAGGATACGATACCTTGTGCGGAAGTGGGATCGCGAAAGAGATTATGAACCTAGTGGAGAAGAGAGGACGAGGAGAGGCTTCATACCTTGTGCGGAATGAGGTGGTCCGGCACTCCTTCAGCCTTCAACTCCTCTCCGGTCTGTTCAGCAAACGCAAGGGAGAAAAGTGCGGAGGAAAACGAGTAGGAGTGTGAGAGGGGAGATGGGATGATAGTTGATGATGTGATGAGTCGCACAGGGAAGTGGACAGAATAAAGAGCATCCCCACCTCACCGAACCCCACCTGTACTTTGCCATAACCCATCCCCATCCCAACCTTGCCGTAGTAGCCCATCCCCATTCCAACCTTGCCATAAGCCATCCCTACCTCGCAATAAGCCATTCCCACCTTTCCATATCTAGTCCGTACCTTGCCGTAGGCCAGGGCATCAGCCTGAGCGAAGAAGTTGCACAAGAGCTCGTCGTGGTTGCTCCGATTTCGCCTGATTAACGCGCAAAACCACACCGTACCACACCGTACCACACAGTACCACACAACACCGCACATAACAGCATACCTTGCCGTAGGCCAGGGCATCAGCCTGAGCGAAGAAGTTGCACATGAGCTCATCATGGTTGCTCACGATCTCGCCTGACAAAGCACAGAACCACACAGTACCGCACAGCACCACAAAAGAGATATGAGCAGGGAGGAATCAGGGTGCACATAGCATGCGCAAAACCCAGCAACAATGGCTAGACACAGCGTCGCACAGCACTATGCAGCACCTCAGTGCATATGGATCAGAGGCATGAGGACCACCAACCCTTGAACCATTGCCCACACGGCAAGTGCAAAACACCCCTGAGACAGACGGATTGCTGGCTCTTAGTGTCTTCTAAGTCGGCTGAAAACAATGTTCACACAAGAAACCTACCCTTGAGGTACACGGACTGCTGGCTCTTGATGATGCCGATGAAGTCGCACGGGACCACGCGCCCCTGGTGAATGAGCTGATAGAAGGAGTGCTGGCCGTTGGTGCCCGGCTCGCCAAAGTCAATCTCCCCACACTCGTAAGGCAGCACCTCCCCGTCGATGGACACGCCCTTGCCGTTGCTCTCCATGCTCACCTGTCGAAAGAGAGAGGGAGAGAAAGAGGGAAGGAGGGAAGGAGGGGAGGAGGGGAGGAGGGATGGGGGGAGGAGGGGAGGACGGAGGAGGGGGAGGGAGGTTTGAGAGGTAAGGAACGGGAGTGAGTGGAAGGGTACGAAGGGGGAGTGCTGGCCGTTGGTGCCTGGCTCGCCAAGGTCAATCTCCCCACACTCGTAAGGCAGCACCTCCCCGTCGATGGACACGCCCTTGCCGTTGCTCTCCATGCTCACCTGTCGAAAGAGAGAGGGAGAGAAAGAGGGGAGGAGGGAAGGAGGGGAGGAGGGATGGGGGGAGGAGGGGAGGACGGAGGAGGGGGAGGGAGGTTTGAGAGGGAAGGAACGGGAGTGAGTGGAAGGGTACGAAGGGGGAGTGCTGGCCGTTGGTGCCTGGCTTGCCAAGGTCAATCTCCCCACACTCGTAAGGCAGCACCTCCCCGTCGATGGACACGCCCTTGCCGTTGCTCTCCATGCTCACCTGATGGATAGATAAATAAAGGAGACACAGGTGCGATTAGCAAAGACAGAGCAACTGCCAGCCAGTTAAATTCCAAATTCTAAAACACGCAATGTATCCTGGGAACCATGCCTACTACTTGACCAGATCGGAAGCAGATGGATGAGGGTTGATGGCAAGCAAGCGGCAAGCACTTACTTGCTGAATGTGAGGAGCCAGCTTCTGAAGAGCTTGGCAGTAGGGAAGAATGGCCTGCAGTCGTGCACGAGGAGACACATGGGGTAGATAGAAGTGGGGAATACAAACGGCAGATAAGAGGAGAGACTTGTCGACTCAAAAGTCAGAATGGCCTGCAGTCGTGCAGGAGGAGACACATGGGGTAGATAGACGCAACTAAGAGGAATACAAACGGCAGATTAGAGGAGAGGCAGATGCAACGTAGGAGAGGGGTACATGTGGGGGCAAGAGGTGGCAGGTGAAGTCTTAGAGGCAGCAGAACCAGGGCAGGGCGGCAAGAGGCTGAGAACCTTAGAAGGTTAGGTTACTAACCCGGGCAGGGTTGCCGAAGAAAGAAACGTTCCAGATGCTGATGAGGCCCAGAAGCACCTGATGGGGGCGCAAGCAGCAAAGAGACAATACAGCAAATGGACCGACAAATAAACGCTGGTGGCAATTCAAGAAGCAGCCTGGCTGGCTTTCGAATAGGGACTGAAAGGTACAGCGTACAGTTCATATTGAGAACCGCATGTGGTGATGTAAAGGGGTGAATGAGGCTACGTACAGGGAGGTTTGACTCGAAGGGAGCAGTGTGGAAGTGAGTGTCAACGCTCCATGCGCCCTTGAGGAACCTGTGGGTGCAAGGAAGACGAGTGGGTGGGTCAAAGGGGGGGCAAGGGAGCGCAAAGTGGGGCAAGGGGGGAAGAAGGGAGGGCAAGGGAATGAGGCGGCAGTGTGGAAGTGAGTATCAACACTCCATGCACCCTCGAGGAACCTGTGAGTGAAGGAACATGAGTGGCGGAGAGACAAACGAAGAGGCAGAGGGGAAAGGGACGGTGAGGACGAGAGGGAGTGGTGTGAAAAGCTCAGCCACTCGAGCTTTTAACTAATACAGAACTTGTGGAGTGGAGTGTGCGTGTAAAAGCAGTTGGATTCAGGGTTCAGGGTTTGGGGCGAGAGCTTTCTGGTGGGAAAGAGGAAGACGTAGTCTTTCATGTGCTCTGTACTGCAGGTGGAGGTGGGAAGCACTCGTGGGAAGCACTCGTGTGAAGCACTCGTGGTGTAGGGTGTCAGGGCTATGGTTCGGGGTTTGGGGTTTGGGGCTAGAGCTTTCTGAGCAAGGAATCAGGAGGGCACTCACTTGTGCACGTGCTCGAAGCCATACTGCAGGGCGAGGGGCAGCACACCAACAGCGCTGGTAACTGGCGGAAATCGGGGCGGGGCAAGGGAGGTGCAGTGCAGAGGAGGTGTGAGAACGGAAGGGAAAAGGGGGAGGGAAGGTTGCAGAGAGTCTATTTTTGAGTCGACTCAAATGTAGACTCATCACATAGAGAGGTGCAGCGCAGAGGAGGTGGGAGAATGGAAGGGAAAAATAATGAGGGGATGTTGCAGGGAAGTGGGCAGGAGGTGGGAGGGCAGAAGGGATGTGACAGATGTTGAGGGGATTGAGAGCGAGGGACACAGCAAGAGGCGGCGTTAAGGGCAGGTCTGAAGGACGAGAGATGGAGAGAGGGAACGGGGGAAAAGGGAGAGCAGCGATGGTGCTGATGACTGGAAACAACAGCAACACGGACAGGGTGAGAGTGAGAGCCCTACACAAACAGGAACTCTGGACTCGGATAAAGGTAACGAGAAATCACTGAGGTAAAAGATAGAGAAATGGGTGAGGGGAGGAGAGAGGGAAAAATGGCTGAGGGAAGGAGAGAGGGAGCGAGGGAGCTAGCAAGTAAGGGAGCGAGAGCAAGGGAGCGAGGGAACAAGAGAGCGTACCACTGTAGCGGCCGCCAACCCAGTCCCAGAAGGCAAAGGCGTTAGCAGGGTCGATGCCAAACTCCTTAACGAGCTGGAGATCACACACAGGGGGAGGAAGGTAAGGGAGGAGGAGGGAGGGAAAGGGAGGAAATGGAGCGGGAGGGAGGAAAGGGGTGCCGCGTGGAGCGGAAGGAGGTGGGGAAGGCATTCGCAGGGTCGATGCCAAACTCCTTGACCATAGGGGAATCCACTCAGTTTGAGGAGAGAGGACAGAAGACGATTATAGGACGACTCTAGTACCAGAAATGGAAATGCCTCACCTTGAGGTTTGTGCTGACTGCTACCATGTGCTTTGCCACTGCGTCCTCGCTGCAGCAGAGAATGCAGGAAAGATGAATGAGAGGGTACGGGGTACAGGGGGGAGAACAGGGGATAATTAGCGGTACAAAGGCTCGTGCTGACTGTTACCATGCGCCTTGCTACTACGTCTTCGGTGCAGCAGAGGAGAAGGGAAAACGGGAGGGGGGAGGTGATTGATTGTACAACAATGTTCCCATCTCATCATGAGGCTCGTGCTGGCTGGCACAATGAGGTCCGATAGAAAAGAGGACTGGCTTTAGCCCTCAAGCCACGTGATTGAAGAAGGGTTTTGAGACGTCTCAAAACCCTTCTTCAATCACGTGCTGGCTGGCACAATGAGGTCCGATAGAAAAGAGGACTGGCTTTAGCCCTCAAGCCTTCACTCAACCCCACACGGTGAATTTGAGGAAGCATGTGCGTGGTGTACATGTATGTTAGTAGCGCATGCATGCACACTATGAAACCCCACGCTAATTGACTATTACATGCAAGAACAGACTCCAGAATAAACTCACCCCAGGGCCGATGTGATCCATGTGCGCACTGTGCGTGCGTTGAGCATGGTCTCTGCTGTGGTGAACGTCTTAGACACCACCACCACTGGCAGGGGGGGCGACGGGGGAAGAGGTAGGTGGTGGGGCGGGGGAAGGGGTGGGGGTTGGTCAGCAATGTGCGTGCGTTGAGCATGGTCTCTGCTGTGGTGAACGTCTTAGACACCACCACCACTGGCAGGAGAGGGGGGTTGGCAAGAGGCGGGAAACACACAACACAGGGAACTTTAGGGGACAGGAGCAAGATTTGGGCGTGTGTCAATGTCCATGGGTCAATCGTCAACATGGTATCTCGTTGTTGGCATCAGCGATGGGATAAAACGAGCTTGTTCAATGAGTGCATCGACGTCGTACCGAGGGTGGTTTCCTGGTCGAGGCCGTGGAGGGCGGTTGCGACATCAATAGGGTCAACGTTAGAGAGGCTGGAAGAGAGCAGACGAGGGAAGGGGAGGGGATGGAGAAACAGGGGCAGGGACAAGATGAAAAGAATAGAGTTGACACGGAGATAACTGTGGAGGGCCATGGCGACGTGAATGGAGTCAACTTTGGACGGGCTGGGGAAGAGCAGACGAGGGAGAGGGGCGATGGACAAACACCACAGGCAGCCACCGAAGCCTTGTACGTGGCATGCAAAGAGGCCCTTGTGAGACTTGTGCAATTGGGGGACAAGAGTTGAGTCCTGTGCAGTGTGAAAGAAAGTGCTCATGGCCTTGTGCAAGTGCGGAGTAAAAGCTTGGACTTCCACCGAGCACGATGGGAAGTAAAGCGTGAAGCGGAGCCAGTTGAAGTCGACTTCAGATAGTGAGGAAGTGAAATGCCACGACTTACAATCGCAAGCTGCGGCCGTCTGCTGCCTTGGCAGAGCTCGGGTCTGATCCATACAGAGGCAAAGGAGACGGATGAAGGGGCAGGCAAAGGGGCAGGCGGTTCAGACAAAATGACACAGGAACTTGGAAGTACAGCAAAACGGGTGGAGACGAACTGGGGCCAGGGCTGATGAGTTCCAATTATTCAACTCCGCATTCCTCTCCTCTCAAAACGGCTCTCCTCAGCTTTAAGCCCCATCCACGGCTAGACCTTAATACAGGGACCTAGGATGCAAGGGGTCAGAGGCAGTAGCTGACTGACCTGTTTGAAGAGCTGTGTGGACAAAGAGAGGACCCAGGAAGCTTCCTCCGATGCCAATGGCGACCACGTCAGTCAGAGGCTTGCCAGTGGCGCCTAGCTGTAAGGTGGGGCACGATTTGGGGTGAAGGTGCATGGGGAGGAGAGAGTAATGGTTTGCCCATCCACTTGTACTATTTGCCGTCTGTCCTGCCTCCTCATTCACCCATTTTATCCACTCAACAGTGATCAACCCTGTCCGCACTCACCCATTTCTCAGAACGAGCAGCTTCATCAATGCACGCCTGGATCTTGTCCAACACCTCCCACACGCCCGGCTTCAACCATATGCCCCCATCCCAACCACCAGTAACCCCTTTTTGCCCACTTGCCACCTTGACGGACACCTCTCCACCGATTTCAACTCACCCATTTGCCGGACCGAACAGTGTCTGTGAACGCCTTGATCTTGTCCAGCACCTCCCACACACCAGGGACCACGTTCTTGCCGTCCACATTGATAGTCTGGGAGGGAAAGGGGGGGGAAGAGGGAGGGGGAGCGGGAGGAGGAATTGGGGGCGAAGGGGAGGGGGGGGGAGGAGGGGAGGGGGGACAGAAGAGAAAATGTGGAAACGGGTTGAGCAATCAAACTCAACAGCCATCACAACACCTCCCACACGCGCCAGGCACCACGTTCTTCCCACCCACGTTGATGTTGTTGATGCTGCTGAAGCACCCCTTATTCACAGCACAGCATGGCAAAATGATTCTCATTCGACCGGAAAATCAATGAATGAAACACCTCCTACCCACAGCAAGTCACTGCATGATGCTGGCACGGAAACACCTCTTACTCACAGCGTCACGGGGAGCGCGGAGTGCCACATGCAGGACAGCGCGGTTTTCCGTGGAGTTGATCTGCCAGGCGAGGAAAGGCGAAATGGAGCGAAGGGAGAAAAGAAAAAGGGGGGGTTGAACTTGAAATACAACTTTGAAGTCTGAAAGGACAGCGTGGAACTCAGTGGAGGTGATACGAGAGGAGTGGGGAGAGAGAGAGTGGAGGGAGGGGAGTGGGGCGATGGGACAAAAGGAAAGGGAGGTTGAACTTGGATAAGGCTTGTAATTCAGAAATGACAGCGCAGAGCTCAGTGGAAGTGATACGAGGGGAGTGGGGAGAAAGAGGGGGAGCACTGGCGATGATTTGGCACAACCTAACAAAGACTCACATGCTCGGCATTGAAGAATGCAACCGGTTCACACCCACTAGTGCCCTACAAAAGACTCACGTGCTCGCCGTTGAACATGGCATCGATCTTCTCCTTCAGCTTCGCCTCCTGCATTCACGAACCGGCGGAGTGTGGTGGAGTGGAGGAGACAAGGCAGGAGCAAACAGAATGACAATTATGCGCACCCATGCAACGCTGATGCAAGTAATCACACACCTCAATCAATTAACCAAACAGAGATTCTTTCCTCCTACAAATCTCTCTTGGCTTACCTCGGCAAGAGCCAGCAGCTTTGGGAGGGTCTCAGTGGTGGCCCTCTGCCTGGAGAAATCAACCAGGATGCCATCGTACTCCCTGTAGCGAAATTCACGCGGGTTAAGAGGAAAAAACGGAACTCAAAAGCGTCATAAACATGATAACGTAAGCTGAGACAGCAGCGTTTGCTCTAACATATCATCTGCTGAACCGACTCGTCCAGCTGAATATTTGATGAAAGAAACAGCACTTGCAACGAGCTACACGCAGCCACTCGCAAGGTGTATGTATGCCGTCAGAGAGCCGCTCACTTGATCATGGTAGCGCAGCGAGCCTCGTCCTTGAGCAGATCCCGCAGGTGGGTCTGGTCGATCGCCTCCTTGTGCGCCTGGGGGGAGCGGGGGGAGCACGAGGACACGGATACGAGTCAATGCGAGCGAGTGGTGTTGAAGAGCAAAGGGAGTGTCTAGTCCCGGAGGTGGGTCTGGTCGATCGCCTCCTTGTGCGCCTGGGGGGAGCGGGAAGGGGAACCGCGAGGACGCGGACACGAGCCAATGCGAGCAAGTGGCAGTTGTAGAGAAAGGGGAGAGAATTTTTCCGCAAATGGTCCCTGTGCGCCTAGGAAGGTGCGAGGAGGAGAAGACAAAGAGGCAGGAGGAGTACGAGAGGGAGGAACGAGGGAACACGCGGCGCAATGGCGGCAATGGCCGTGTTAATGAGGCGTTTTAGCGCTCTCCTGGCGAGTCTGGGTGATGAAGAAGGTTTAGGTCGCGCGAACGGGAGTAAAAGGCAGGAGCACGTGTGGAAGGGGATGGCTGAAGAAATTTGCCAGATGAAAAATTCCGCTCAGAGGTACTGGGAGAATGGGTGTTGGGAAGTCTGAGTAAGCAGAGCGGAATGTTGTAGGTCGTACTATGCAATGATGTGGAATGTTGTTTCATTCCTAAAAAACATATGGAGCGACAAAAATCCTTCATATCCGCGTTAGGAGTCGACACGTACTTCCAGATGGGCGGGCCAGCAGTTGCGCTACAACGGAAACTGCAGCCATGATTGAGCCACTACTTCACTCGGATCTTCACAGAATATCCAACGGACTCCAGAACCTCTAGAAACTTGTTCGCGTCCGAGTCGCTTCCTTCTGCGCTTTCCACTTATCAGCGGATCACGCAACAATCTCCTGCTGTGTCCTTAACGATCAATGCTGAAGCTGCTGCAGAAGCTCTTTTGCTTCGAACTCGCCTCCGACCGCTCCTTCGGTTTTCTTCCCTCGTCTCAGAAATCTGAAACGGGCGCTCTTAACGGGGATGCACCGACGAGCTGACGGCCATTGACCCATCGACGTAACGTAATCCAGCTACAGCCTGCTCCTTCGCCTCAACTACCACAGCGATCTATCAGCCTGCTCCTTCGCTCCTGCTAATACAGTCAACTACGGTCACTCAACCAAAGCGTGCAAGCCTACCTGCAGCGTTAGCTCTAGCCGTCACGCCATCATTCGGTCTACCGCCGCAAGTCGAAAGTCGTGGGGAGACGTAGACGTTTAAAGGCGAGTTTTGAGAGGCGCGTCTGAGTGTAACAGGACCGTGAGGCCCATGCAGAAGGTGACTATTTTGGTACCTTAAGATCGTACCTTGAGGTCGCTCCATGCAGCAGATTCGCTGATGAGCGCCTTGGTCGCGGTGGCAGTGGCGGCCTGCACGGGAAGGTGGGGAGAGAATGGTGAGGAAGATCGCAAACGGAAAACAAAGCTTGTGAAATATTCCAGGAAGATACTATTGCAATTTCAAGCACAGCATTCGCGAGATCCAAGGCGCATCAAGACTAATTTCCCTCATCCCGGCTGCGCCGAGAGCAGCAGCTGGTTCGTCGCGAAACAATGAAATGGCTGGGGATTTTGGAATGCCTGGGATGAAGTGAAAGCGTACCATGGTAGGCTTGGGGGAGTTTGAGCTGGCTCGGACTGAGATCTGGCTTCGGTCGAGCTTCGCTGGCAGCCTGCGAGAAGAAAGACGGAGCCATGACGCGGAGTATTATTTTCTTCATATTTCGTAGGAAATGCTAACATCTTGAAGGCTGGATTGAACTAGCAGAATGTGGTCCTATGCGATATCATGATGCAGGGAGGCGAGCCAACAAACCTAGGTCAGCTCATTTTCTCTTATCGCGACGGGTAGACGGCGAGAACGAATCATCGAAGCAATCGTGGAAGAATTCTCAGCTGCTCGTAAAATTCCAAAACTGGAAAGCTAAGAACTGTCTAAAAGGTAGCATAGAAGTCACTGCTCTGGTCTCTTCTAGGTATCCACAACGCAACTCCAGTGGTAAATTTTGGAGATACATTTACACGTGTGTCTAAAACAAGTTCGTGCTTAGGACGCAAATCTGGCGAGAATGCGAGAGAACTAGAGCGACCTAAACAGTTGACTAGTGCAGGTACATTTGAAAAGCTTCGATTGATGAGATTTTTATTCAAAAATGAATCTCACCAAACCCACCTGGACAGATGGCCTGTGCGAGAAAATTCGAGCAGCTTCGCTCCTGATGACAAGAACGCGACGCTGTTCTTAAGATTCTGCTTAACTCCGGACTGGAGCAAAGAGGATACGCAAGACGCGCTTGCAGCAGCAGTGGAAGTTATCTGAGCGGCAATAACCATGGCTTCTCTGATTTCACCCTAGGAACTTAAAGAGGGACAGCACAGGGAAAGAGCAGAGGGGTGAGGAGGCAAGCGAGCCAGCTGTGAGAGGCTAGGGGGAGCAGCAGGAGCAAAGCAGCTGCACTGGTTTGTGCTCGACAATCCCAGGAATGAGGCAAAAAGGGCAGATTCTTGTGAGAAAATGAAGACAGCAAGGACCATCGGGAATGTCGTTCACCAGTCCCGAGGCCTGGAGGCGCGGCCTTTAGGGAAACAGTTCGGGAAACGCGGCCCACGTGGCACAGGTGATTTGCAGGCCCTCCGATCTGTGCGCATGTGGCCCACACGACGGCTTGCCGTCGTGGCAGGCTGGTCCCAAAAAAGATTCCATCCGCGTCAGGTGCCACGGGATCTAAACATTGCTTCCCCAAAACACGTCATCCAGCTGTCGGAAAATACCATCTGAGTCATTCATCAAGCCAGCATGGCGAGTTTTGTGTGGTGAAGCACTGCTAAAAGCTGACGCATTTCCCCGAACCACATGTGGAATGGTTGGGCTCAACTGAGGTGGCAGCCTCGTTGCCTCAAGCAAGCTGTTCGCCTGCGATGTCGCATAGTACATGGAATTGTTACGAAATCATTGGCCTTCGGAATACCTGACTTAGGGCGCGTCAGATCCGTTACAAGGTAATTTGGCCGGAATCTGGTCAACAATTTCGCCAAAGTCGACAACATGGTAGACTTCAATAGCGACCAATATCCAGCCACATTTACAGGGCCGAAAAATCTGACACATTTGGTGGCCGATTTGATGGCCGCTTAGCAAATGTGTCAAATTTGCAGTTCGCCAGGGTCGCCGGTTTGTGCAACGGAGTCGCAGATGCAGTACTTGTGTGACACATTGCGTCGCACGAGTTGGCGACGTCGCGTAGTGACTGTAGCGATCTCAGGTCAACAAATTGGTCGACTTTCGAGTCGAATGCACGTCGGAACTTTGTCGAATGCTGAACCGGCCATCAATTTTTTTCCAAATAACCAGATTTGGCGAACTGTACGAAAATCTCTGCGGATGTCGAGAATGTGTTACCTTCGCTCATTCCGGCCGGCCGGATTTTTCCAACAACGGATCTGACTTACCGCCGCAACTACAATGCCAACCTGAGGTAATACTAGGAAACAATTGTTGGGCTGATAAAAGCCCTTAGGATCTTTGCAGGGGTGAACTCTGGGTAGGATTGATGTAATAGCGGAAGCGTTTGATGAAGAGTTGTGAACCACCTTGCGCTAGTATGTGAGGGCAAAGTAGATTGATTAAAGCAAAGAGATACAGGTTCATATAAGAGTACAAGGAATACGAAGAGATACAGTTATAACTGCTTTACTGTTGCTGTTGCGGTTCAATACAGTGACGACTCGGGCAACTGCTCTGTAGCAAGTCAGTTGTGTGTCCTTGCTGTCGCGCTGTACTTGTCAGGTCAAAGGTCGCTGTCCTTTGACTTTCACGTAACCTCTAGCAGTTGCTCAACCTCTGAGGGTTGACTCGCTGATGCTGCGATATGTTGTGCTTCGCTTGTGCCTTGGTGTTTCGACACGACAGAGGCGGTAAGAATTAGTTGTTTCCAACAACAATGCTTCGCTTGATAAGATGTATACGTACAATGTGGGACCTTGCTGGATCAGATTGTTTCAATGCTAACTGAATCCACATTTCCTAGCAAGCGGTAGCTAGACCCGATACCTATAACACTACCACTACATGGTGCTATCTTCGCCTCCCTTGTCTCTCTTGCCTTTTTTGCTCCTGCAGTTGCTTCTTCAAAGCAACAAGAGCTCTACTGGTTTCACTACTGCCAAGAGCGCCTGAAAATCCCTGGGAAACTGACCCAACAATTGCTCCATTTGCCTGCTTTACATGGTCCTGCTGCAATGCTTTCCCAGTCCTCTGTTTCTGCTCCTGCATCCCCTTCTCGTTGGTTTGGCCTTCGTGATGTGGCTGCTGATCCATGTCCAAATCTGTTGATTCTTGGCTCGCAGTGTGCTTCTGCTTATGCTTATTCTGTTTCTGCTGCTTTTTTCGGTGATGTTGCCGCATCTGCTCATCTCGTGCACTCCGGACAAGCGCGTGGATTGAGCCGTTGTCCTGACTGGTGGCATTTGCACAACCTTCCGTCCCTTGGCTGCTGCTGCTGCTGCTGCTACTGTTGCCAGATCCACCGCTCTGGCTTAACCTGCTGCTGCTGCTGCTGATTTCACCGCTCTTGTTGCCATTGCTGCTGCTGTCTCTGCTGTTTCCTCTGACATCAGCAGAAGCTGCTAAAAGAGAAGAATCATCGCCACCTGTTGTTGGCAGCTGCGCCTGCAACTGCTCTCGCAAGCTCAAGGAGTGTGGGGAAGCTTCCTGTACTGCGCCATGGGTTCGCTTGCTTCTGGTGGTGTGCTTGATGGGAGTCGGTGAGCTGCTGCTGTGGCTGGAGGGCTGTGGGGAGGAAGATGAGGAACTGTTAACAGAGGAGGACGAGGAGGAGAGAGTGGAGGTGGAAGAGGAAGAGGAGGAGGGAGAGAAGGTGGAAGAGGAGGAGGAGAGAGAGGTGGGAGTGGCGTTTAGTGAGGTCTTGTCATACTTCACCTGGAATATACATGAGAGACAATCAAGGAGCAGAGGGAAAGAGAGATGCTTAGGTGTCTCAGAGCTGTCTGATGGTGCCGCAAAATGACAGCTCGGCAATATCCATCACAAACGACACAGAGGAATAATGAGAACGACTGGTTGAGAGAGCTCCAAAGGTGAGCAACAAGTAACCAGGGAGAAAAAAAAAGAAAGAAAGAAAGAAAAAAAAGCAATCTAAGAGATCGGGCTAACTGGCAGTTGTGGCACAACTAGGGATATAACTCACAATGCACAAGAGGTAGTAGGGGTATTACCCACAATGTAATTGAAGTAACAGAGGTATTACTCACAATGTACTTGAGGTAGTAAGGGTCATCTTCTGCTGCCGATCTCCGCATGGCCAGAAGCCCCTGAAGGGTCTCCTGGGGGAGCTGATGCTCCAGCAGACTGCGCTTGTACGTGCTGAAGGGATAAACGGGACCGTTGTTAGGGGAGGGAAGGGAAACGGGTTAGTGGAGCAAAGGGAAGGCCCTGAAGGGTCTGCTGGGGGAGCTGGTGCTCCAGCAGACTGCGCTTGTATGTGCTGAAGGGACAAACGGGAGGGATGGGGTCAGAGAGGGAGAGGTAACGGATTAGTGGAGCATAGGAGAAGCCCTGAAGGGTCGGATGAGGGAGCTGATGCTCCAGCAGACTGTACTAGTGCGTGCTGGTATGGTGACACGGGAAGGTAAAAGAAAGGTGGACGAGAAGGGGGAAACTCACATGGAGTTTGGAAAAAAAGCAGCCTCATGTGGAGGGAAGAGAAAGAGGGGGGTTGGAGGAGCTTATGCTCAAGCAGCCTCTGCGTGTATGAAGAAGTGTTTTGAGACGTGTTTGAGACGTCTCAAAACACTTCTTCATCCACACGGTTGGAGGAGCTTATGCTCAAGCAGCCTCCGCGTGAAGGTGCTGCGGGTGAGACGAAAAGGGGTTAGATGGGGGAGGGATGCAGAAACGGAAGGGATGAAGGTCAGAACGACGTGCTCTGCAGAGTGAGGGAGCTCAGGAGGGATAGGAGGGGGAAAGAGAGGACAGGAAGGAGAGCAAGGGAGAAGGCTAAAGCAGTGGAGGAGCGGGAGGAGAGGAGGAAGGGGGGAGAGAAGGGCACATACTCTGTTCTCTCTCTGTAGGGCTTTCCCTACGAGCGTCCTTCAGCCGCCTTGACGTGCGTCAAGTATTGAAGTCTCAGGTCTTTATGTGCTCAGAAAGAGAGAGGTATACGTACTCTGTACTCTGCAGGGCTTCGTTTGGATCCCTACGAGCATCTCTCAGCCGTCTTTGAGGCACCTAAAAAGAGAGACGTGCTTCATAAAGAGCATCTTATCAAGAGAGAAGAGTACATACTCTGTACTCTGTAGGGCTTCGTTTGGATCCCTACGAGCGTCCCTCAGCTGCCATAAGGGAAGGGGCAGAGGAGGAGAACGGGAGAGAAGTTCACGGAAGGAAGCACAGGAGGAAAAGACATAAGTATGGAAGGTGGTGAACGCAGATAGAGAAAGATAAAAATGCATTCCATGGGCACATGGCAAGAGTGTTTTGAGACGTCTCAAAAGACAAAAGTATGGAAGGTGGTGAACGCAAATAGAGTAAGATAAAAATGCACTCCGTGGGCACATGGCAAGAGCAGAGGAACAGGGATGCTTTGACTAAACCCTTGGGACGAGAGAAGCAGCACAACACCCTGCCGAGAACATGAAACTCTTACATGTACTTGAAGCAGCACCAGAGAATGTTTTGACACTTGGACTACACTACACGGGTAGCTTTTCAAAAAGCAACTACACATGGAATACAAAGGTAATCACTACACAGTCTACATGAACTGCTTCTTGTGAAGCATGCTCTGATTCTTCTTCTGAGCAAGGAGAGCATGAAGGTGAGAATTCTCTAGCCTGCTTAGCTTGACACGATAACCAAGACATGCCTCTTGTATGAAAACAGGGGTGATATAAGAGTTTTTGTAATAAACACCCTAAGAAAGGTGAAGCTATACGAATCAAGGATAAGCATACCTCCTTCATGATACTGTTTCACCGCCTGACATAGCCACCCTAAGAACACACCCAAAAAAGCAGGGTATTTCTGGGAATTTTGGAAAAGGGTGAAGCTTTAGGCATGAATGTGGGAATACCTACCTCCTGTATAAAAGCGGTTGAGCTCTTGACATAGCCACCCTGGAAAGATTGCAGCACACAAGGGATTGCGATAAGAGAGGCGAGGGTGGGGTTTAGGGGAGTGGGGGAAGGAGGTGGGGGTTGAGCTCTTGACAAAACCACCATGGAAAATTGCAGCACTCAAGGAATTGCAGCAAGCAGGGGTGGGTGGGGAGGGACGGGGGGGTAGGCTTTGAGACGTCATTAAGGATTTTTGAGGTCTTGACATAGCCACCCTGAACAGAGCTCCGCACAAAGATTGCTACTTGGGAGTCACTTTTGAGAATTCTCAGAAGTGCCACTCTGAACAGAGCGCCGCCGCACACAGATTGGGGTTATACAAAAGCTTTTGAGGCGCCTCAAAATTTGGGGTTATAAGAAAGCGGGGTATGGATCTGCTTTTGAGTCGACTCAACATCAGAGAGTCGCACCATAGATTGTGTTATACCAGAGCAGGGTATGCGCCTTGAGACAAGCATAACGAGTTACTTTCACTGGACCTTACATAGTCCCCCCTACTTACATTCGAGTTACAAGCATAACCCAGTAGAGACCAGGGTGAAGAGGCAGGGGGTGTGGAGATTTGATGGAGGGTGCCATTACCTATCCTAACCTCCCCTTATCCCCCAATTCCTTTCAACCCACCAACTTCCCCCAACTACCACGCAACTTCCCACCACTCCTCACCCTAGACTGGAGAGACCAGGGTGAAGAGGCAGGGAGTGAGGGGGGTTTGATGGAGGGTGCCATTACCTATCCTACCCTCCCCTTCCCTTCTATCCCATTCACCGATCCCAATTCCCTTCACCCCAACAACTTGTTCCAACTACACCCAACCCCCCACAACTTCCCCCAACTCCCCACAACTTCCCCCAACTCCCCCCAACCCCCCCCAACTACACCCAACTCCCACTAACTCCTCACCCTGGAGAGAACAGCCAGTTTCAGCTGAACGTCTGATGTGACCACGGTGATGTACGGTGCAGTGCGGTGCTGCATGAGACTGGATACCTGGCGAAGTGAGGGAGAGGGAAGAGAACAAGAAAAGGGGCGACCGAGACGAGAAGGAAAAGTGAGGAAGAAAGGACAACAAGGGATTTGGATGTACGAGTATACAGAAAGATCCAGGCAAACGGCGGGGACTTTGCCAAGGTGTGAGAGTTTGCTGATGCTGAGTGGGTTTGCTGGGTATGGCATGAGCCATGCCAAGCCATGCCATGCCATGCCATGCCATGCCATGCCATACCACGCCAAGCCATGCCAAGCCATGACATGCCATAATGTAGAGTGGGGTTGCTAGCCCATTTTATAAAAAACATGTCGATTTCCTTTGAGACGGTTATGGAGAGGCCTGAAAGAGATCAGCTGATGCGGATTCGTGAAATGACAACGATGACAGCGACTCACAATCGCTCGCTATTATCACCTTGTTTCTCAATGTATCCTCTCAGCATATGATACCATGCACAAAGTGCATGCAACCGAATTTTTCCTAATTGCTCATAAAGTAATGGTGTACTGACCTCCTTCTCGATCCATTCGTCTGCTGAGATGCCATTGGAGAATGCCACGTCCACACTGCCACCTCAGCACATGAAGGACACATCAGCACACGGAAAACTGCGAATGGATGAGGAGATGTTGCATCGCTAAGCGCATGTAATGGAATGACGGGTTTTTTGAGGCAAAACCAGGATCCATGTGGTGAACAGGCAAGGCAGAGAGTGCCTAGTTTTGAGGCGCCTCAGACTGGGTGTTTGAGGCAAAACCAGGATGCATGTGGTGAACAGGCAAGGCAGAGAGTGCCTAGTTTTGAGGCGCCTCAAAACTGGGTGTTTGAGGCAAAACCAGGATGCATGTGGTGAACAGGCGAGGCAGAGTGCGCGAGTCAGCATGGCGCGATGTGATAGGATGTACCTATCGGCACGTAGTCACTGTAAGGGCGTCACGTGCATGGTATAGGATGGGATGGAAATGGGGTGGGGTGGGATGGGATGGAAATGGGGTGGGGTGGGATGGGATGGAAATGGGGTGGGGTGGGATGGGACGGGACAGGACAGGACGGGACGGGATGGTATGGCATGGCATGTCATTTATGCCATGTAATGAAGGAACATGCTAACGGATGGCATCCGATGGCATTCCCGAGGAGCTATGGTAAAGGAGAGCATGTTATGGATGGAATATGGTAGGCATGCTGGATACAGAAAACATACCCATGGTACCGGATAGCCGGTTTTTGAGAAGACTCAAAAACCGACTCATCACACGCGGAGAGCATGTTATGGATGGAATATGGTAGGCATGCCGGATATCGAAAACATACCCATGCTACTGAGGCGCCTCAAAAGATTATTGAGGCGCCTCAAAAGTCGTTAATGGTTGGAATATGGCAGGCGTGCTCGATATAGACAACATACCCATGCTACCGGAAACAGAAACGGAAATACATACCCAAATGATAAGACGCGATCGTTACCAGGGCTGTTCGAATTGTACCCGTCAAAAACCACCAGCACCCGCACATCTGCACAGTTTGGGATGTGGAGGAGGAGAGAGGGTGGCTTGAAAGTATGTCAGATTTGAGTTCACTCGAATAATTGTTAGATTTTTTTCTGCCCATCAAAGACCGCCAGCATCCACAAATCTGCACGGGTTAGACTGCGAATGAGGAAGGATGATTCAGAAGTCAGTGGACTCTGAGTCTGCTCAAAGGTCACACAAGTGCTGGAGATTTATGCCCCTAAGTGAGGTGTATTTTGAGGCGCCTCAAAATACACCTCAAGGTCACAGAAGTGCTGGAGATTTATGCCTTTAGTGAGGTGTATTTTGAGGCGCCTCAAAGTACACCTCAAGGTCACAGAAGTGCTGGAGATTTATGCCCTTAAGTGAGGTGTATTTTGAGGCGCCTCAAAATACACCTCAAGGTCACAGAAGTGCTGGAGATTTATGCCCTCAGAAATCTTTTGATGCGCCTCAAAGGTCACAGAAGTGCTGGAGATTTATGCCCTGAGATTTATGCCCTGAGTCTACCAGCGTATCGGGGGTATGGCAACACTTCCAGCAGCAGCCTCTCTCTCGCCTCCTCTGAGTCGCCTCGCAGAAACAGTAGTTGTTCAAGCGCCTCAGATATAAATCCCTAACAACATCCACCCACAACAGGACCTAACAGCATATCGGGGGTGCGGTAGCACTTCCAGCAGCAGCCTCTCCCATGCCTACCTACAAGCGTACCACCTACCCCAAGCAACACCGAGCCCTGGCAACACCACCAGCACCCACCAGCGTATCGGGGGTAGGGCAGCACTTCCAGCAGCAGCCTCTCTCTCGCCTCCTCTGTATTGCCTCGCAGAAACGGCTTCTTCAGCTTGGGCCAGCTGCCCACCACGTTGTACCCGTCCACCAATACCAGAGGCAAGGCGTCTGTAGAGCTGGGGGGCCAAGGGAAAATGTGCGGGCCAACACGAGGAGGTACAAGGGGTGAAACGGCTTCTTCAGCTTGGGCCAGCTGCCCACCACATTGCATCCGTCCACTAGTACTAACGGTAGCACGTCTGTGGAACTGGGGAGACAAGGGAATATACACAGGGCAGTGTGCTGTGAGGTAGGAGGGATGAAACGGCTTCTTCAGCTTGGGCCAGCTGCCCACCACATTGTAGCCTACCAATTGCATTGACGGTAGCGCATCCCTGGAGCTGGCCAGAGGAGGACGAAATAGGGAGGAGGGGGAGGACGGAATAGCGGGGAGGGGGAGGACGGAATAGTGGGGAGGGGGAGGACGGAATAGTGGGGAGGGGGAGGACGGAATAGTGGGGAGGGGGAGGACGGAATAGCGGGGAGGGGGAGGACGGAATAGCGGGGAGGGGGAGGACGGAATAGCGGGGAGGGGGAGGACGGAATAGTGGGGAGGGGGAGGACGGAATATGGGGGGGGTGGGGACGGAATAGGGTGGAGGTGGAGGGAAGTCGCGAAGCGAGGCCTGGGACTGCCCTTAAGCTTGGCCCAGCGGTCAGTGCCCACCACGTTATGGCAATCCACCAGCGGCAGCTGAGGCATGGCGTCTGTGGAGCTGGAAAAAGGTGAAACGGGTGTGTGAGTGGGAGGAGGGGTGGACGGCATGACATGGCCTGGCACGGGCCTTCAGCTTGGGCCCAGCTGTTGTGCGCAGTGCCCACCACGTTGTGGCAACCCACCACCAGCAGCAGAACCAGAGGCAACGCGTGTGTGGGGCAGAGACGGGGAAGGAGCCGCCCCAGATGGAGGCCTAAGGGGGTATGATTCAGCTTTTGAGTCGACTAACAAAACGGCATGAGAGGGTACAAACCAGCTTTTTCAGGGTTGCTAAGAAACAGCTGCCAAGCGCGTTGTAACCCTGTAACAAAAAAGATGGTTACGCCTCCCACATATGACTCAGCTCTGACGGCGTCTCGTCTGTAGGACAGGCATGCTAGCAGCTTCGCCAGTTTCTAATACTTCTTTCCAGAGACCGCAGACTATTACTACCTACCTGGCGCGCAGCTGAACTAAAAGCGAATATAAAAACTATGTCAGTCCATCCCCATGTCCAGAAACTTTCACAGTTATGCTCTCTCCCCCCCCCGGACGCTCTCACTCACATGCTTTCAAAATCAGAGTATTCTCCCCTGATATCGTAAAAATCAACCGGGTGTGCAGATGCGGAAGCCAGCTCAGCAACCCCACTCCCTGCTACTGCTCGTCTCTCCGACTTTGGCAGTTTCTTCCGCCTGAACCTGCTTGGAACCTTCTCGTCCCCATCCTTGCGCTCCGCTGCAAAGGCCTGGAAGAATTGGGGGTATGCAGATGCACCCAGATCCCAATGGCATGGGTGGGAAGGAGAGGGGGGAGGGGAAGGGGGGACTTTGCTTCGCAACGAGGGGTAATTTCTTCATCGTTTCTTACCCCCTTACACAGTGGTAATTTCAACCCAATTTGGGGTGAATGTACGAACCTCCAAGAATCCCGCTGTATGAATGCTCGATTGACCAGATTCCCATCCGCATCACCTCAATCTGACTGGGACAACTATATAATCGGGTCTTTCCTTTGGGGTCATTATGACCCCGCTACAAGACGCACCTTCCAGAATTTCTCGGTCCGTTTGCTTGCTCGAAGTATGTCTTCGTCTTCATCGCTTCCATAATACTTTGTCAAATATTCTTCCACAAGCGGATCCCCACTACTAGAGCTTTCTTTCTCTGTTGTCTGGCGTGAAGCCACGCGCGAACTTACCTGACAGAAAGGAAAAGGATAACCAGGAGTGAATTAAGAATCTACAGAAGAGTCTACAACATCGAATCGCAGGTGGTAGCATAAAGAACAGAAGGAGCTGACTATAAAACACGGGTGGAGATGGCCATACCTGAGCCACGGGCTCTCTGTTGACAGGGGTCACACCCTTGAGAACAGAAAACGGTGAATTCACCGCGCTATTCTTCTCTGTACCATCGGTTCTTCCGTTACTCGTGCTCATCGTAGATTCGCCTCCAGGTTGAGAGCTGTGATGCCTCTGTGAGTTGTTCTTCTGCTTCCGCGGACCCGCTCGGACTTGAAAACTATGACCATTAGAGAGTGGTGGTCCGTGACAATGACTCTTATGCACGAATCGGACGTCCTTCAAACGAAGGAAATCCTGCCTACCATGCAGCTCGGACAGGGCCTTGAGACCCATCAGTGAGTGTGGACTGTGTTACCCTACTGCTAAGGTAACTTCAGCTGCTTCTACTTCAATATCTTTTGTTCTATTTGTTAGCAATCGCTGAGGAAGCAAGCTACAGATTCGCAGTCAGAGTTCAGGTATCAACAGGATTTCTAGATTGGTGATCGCTGGCGAGAAAGAGCGGACAGAGATCAAGTAGGACTTGGCATTAGAAGAAGGATTAGATAGTCACACGTCAGTTAGGCCGTTGTCAGCAGATTCGTAGTTCACAAGGCCACAGCTGACAGCGGTCAAAGCAGGGTCGGATGAAACGATGTGGCATTGTTCTTTCAAGCACCGCCTGCCATTTCACATGGAGTGAGCAACAGAGGCTGCTGCTCATTTTCACTCAATACCGTACTCAAAAGTGTGTAAACTAGATATTACCGTATTGCACCTTGAAGCATCTTGCTGAAATTGCTCGGTTCAATGACAGACAAGGCCGCCGCCAGTGTGGTGTGGTGCTGCTGTATCTGTTGTTTCTAGCAAACCCTGCAGCTCAGGCTGACTGGGGGGAGAATCAATCTCCGACCTTGGAGCTCATCAACGACTGGTGGAGCATTGAAACCTCCACCTCCGATTTGCGAATGCGGCCAATGCATCGAGAGCAACATCGAGGTGATGTTGACACGGACAGGTCCCTGATTGGATCACGTGGCGAGGCTTGAAACCACCAGATGCATATACTCTATACTAGTAGATCCATGTTCTAGTAAATGGACACTGTTCTTTCCGACGATAAACTAGTGTTGAACGGATAGTACGGCACAATCAGCTGGTTGCTTCATGAAGGATTGTGACAAGAATCCTACAAAAACTAAAGTGGCAAACGCTGACGTGGTTCAGTACGCCTGATGTAATTCCGTCGGTGCTCACCGGTTGGCTGGGATCCATGGCACTAAGGGTGAAGTCAGGTTATACAATTCTCATGCGTGTACAGTTCATGTTCTGTTGTTCAGGATGGTCCAGCACGGTGAAAAGCGGTTCTCGCCTCGTACCTCTCTGCACCGTGTTGAAACAAAATTAACCGCAGTAGGCGTACAGGAGGTTGTACAACCTGACGTCGCCCTAAAACCGCAAGCAGAAGTTTCCCTTCAACCCCAGCAAGGCACCGCATTCGTCGATTCGACCCATTCTTGGAGTCTGATGGCTCTTAACGGACGCTGTGCCAAATCCCGTGTACGAGCCATAGTTGGATTTGTTCAAATATCGAGACCGTCTTTCGATTCTGAAGTTTAGATTTTCGTAAACAAGGCCTTCAATTTCCTGTCAGCTGGTTAGGGCTTACTGTAGATAGAAATTCGCTCAATTTTAGGATTTCCTCTGCAGTAAGGGCGCTTCACCTCTCAGTTCGAACAGCACGGTTGTTCGAGCAGGCGAAATGTTACAATTTTCGCCACTCTTCGTATGGGTGTTCGTGACGTCGCTAGTCAGAAATTTCGCGAATCTGAACAGAGCTGTCACACAGGGCACGAAGCTCTCCATTCCGCACGTTCGAACAGAGTTGTTCGAACAAAGTTGGGTTTGGTGACAGGGATTCCGCATGGACGACTGATTTGTTTGGTTAGCAGGCTTCGGGTCGCACACGAATGTTTGCGACCATTGCAAATGTCGCCATGCAGGAGAAAGTTCATCTAAAAGGACATTGTTGTTGGGAAACAACAAGGTGAGCAGTAGTAGAAGAGCACGAAGAGACATTTTGACTGGATGGGCGAAAAATGAGTCAAACTTGAATGGCAGACGACTGAATTATTTTCTTGCGACGTTTCGCGAAGTCGCCCACACTTGGCGACGTCGCATGTTCGAACAAGCTGTTACCTCTAGTCACGAGCTGTCACATTCACCAGGGTGTTCAAATTTGTGTTCGGATCTCGTCGGGAAACTGTTCGTACAGTGAATTCGTTACGTATGTTCGGATTTGGGCCTTCCAGCCCCGAGGTGATACGCCCTAAGTGCCGCCCTACCCGAGTAGAACAAGACGCGTACATGCGATATGTGGCGTATCTAGAAATTTCCAAAGCCTTGGTAGCTGATCCGCTAACATAATTCCTGAAATTTCGATTTAGGGTTAAACGTATTTCCGCGGCACGAGCGGTATTGCTGCCACGAAAGGCGACTCGTAATACTCGTAGCAACGCGGCCCGTAGCTTCGACTTCGATTATCGCGGCTGATCGAACGTTGGAAAATTTCTAATCGCCTTTAGATGGTTTTCAATGCTACACAGTACTTGCTATGAGAGCACGTATAGAAGCTTGAGCTCTCTCTAGCGGCGGCCGCTGTGAGTTGACCGTTAAACACGGAGGCACGGCGGCAGTGTTGGCAACCTCCGCAGCCCTGTCCCCTTCGACGTCCTGAAGTTACCGCTGCGGCCACTGTAAATTTACCGTGAATCGTCGCGCCGCTCTGAGTTAATCGTAACGCGCGGAGGAGCGGCGGCGCCATGGAAGCTATTTCGTCATGTCATCGATGCGGCCGATTAGGTCATTTGTCCAGGGACTGTAACATCAAGACGTGCTTCAAATGCAACGGGTACGTTCCTCTCTCTTTCTCATCCCCTCTCTTATTCCCTCGCTTTGTTCCCTCTCTCCTCATCCAGTTTCTCATCCCCTCTTCTTCTCCCTCTCTCTCATCCCTCTTCCTCATCCTTCTCTCATACCCGTACTCATTCCCCCTCTTTCATCCCCAAACACATTCTCCTCCTCGTCCCCTTTCCCGCATACCCTCTCTCTCCCTCCCTCATTCAAACGGTCCGTTGTATTGATTCAGCAGAGCCTCATTCCCTCTCACATCCCCTTTTCCGCATTCCATCTCTCCCCCCTCCCTCATTCCCTCTTCCATCCCCTTACCCGCTCATCCCTGAATTCGCACGCCTCCCTTTTTCCAACGACTTCCTCTCACCTCATCCCTCTCTGCTGCACCCTTTTCTCCATCCTCTTCCTCTCCCCTCATCCCTCTCTGCTGCACCCTTTTCTCCATACTCTTCCTCTCACCCCATCCCTCTCTGCTGCACCCTTTTTTCATCGCTTTCTTGTTCTGCACGTCTCATCGTTCACATGGGGGGGAGGGGGGAGTAGCCGCGGGCACATGGCGTGTGAATGCACAAGTTTCAAGACCATTTTCCTAGATTTACAAGCAAGAAAGCGTCCACCTTCGCTGTCTCTCTTCCTTCCCTCCGTGCTCCATCCGTTTCTCTGTGCGCAATTCATCGTGCACTGATGGGTGGGGGCGAAGGGAGTAGGGGGGGGCACATGGCATCGGAACGCACAAGTTCTCCCTCTCACTCATCCCTCTCCCTTCAAGCAATGAATCAACCTCTCCCTCTCACTCATCCCTCTCTGCTGCACCCCTTTCTTATTGCGCTCTCCTGTTGTGCACATCTCCTCGTGCACGTGGTGGGTGGGGGGAGTAGCCGTGGGCACATGGCGTGGGAATGCACAGCAGGCGTCACCTGCAGCATCTGCGGGCAGACGGGCCATCTGCAGCGCAACTGCCGCAACGTCTCCTGCCACAAGTACGTGCAGCAGGATTCCCTTGGTTCAGGGTTAGGGTTTAGGGTACTGATAAATAAGGCACGTGCAGCGCCTGCAGCATCTGTGGCCAGACGGTTCATCTGCAGCGCAACCGCCACAACGTCTCCTGCCACAAGTACATGCAGAATCCCCTGGGTCATGCCGCAACGTCTCATGCCACAGGTACGTGCAGCAGTAAGCCCTCGGTCGAGGGTCAGGGTTTAGGGTACTGATAATAAAGGCACGTGCAGCATCTGCAGCACTTGCAGCATCTGTGGCCAGAGGGTCATCTCTAGCACAACTTGCTGCAACGGCTCATGCCACAAGTCGGTGCAGTATTCCCTGGGTTCAGGGCTAGGGTTTAGGTTTTAAGCTGGTAAATGAAGCACCTGCAGCATCTGCGGCCGTACGGGTCATGCCGCAACGTCTCATGCCACAAGTACGTGCAGCAGTATGCCCTCAGTTTAGGGTTAGGGTTTAGGTTTAGCTGGTAAGTAAGGCATGTGCAGCGTCTGCAGCACTTGCAGCATCTGTGGCCAGACGGGTCATCTGCAACGCAACTGGTGGCGCAATGTCCAGACATGTGCCGCAAGTACGTCTCCCCGCCCTTCTTGACTCAGATGGCACGTGCAGCATTTGTCGCAAGGGCCATATCTCCAGATTCTGCAACGAACCCATTTGCCAGAATGGTCCGATCGTGCACCAAACAATTATCCCCCGCCCCCACCCCTGCTGCCGCCCCTATTCCCCTTTGTCCACCTCCCCTACATCCCCTTGTCCACCTCCCCTACACCCCTTTGTCCACCTCCCCTTGTCACTACCATGATGACAGGTGCGGTCGCAAGGGCCATATTTCCAAATTCTGCAATGATCCATTCGCCAGGGTAAGACAGAGAAATCCAGGTAAGGGTAAGGCATAGAGTGAGGCTGAACAGTTAATGAAGGCAGGGTGCATGCCCTTTTTGCATGGCCAAGCATGCATGCATGAGGTTTTTTTTTTTTTTTTTTTTTTTGGGTGTTTGCATCTGGTATACATGCCGTCATTTTCATATGGCAGTACTTACATGGGTTACGTTTTTTCTTCGCAAACACACGGGCAAGCACACTGAACAGCAGACAGAATCAGCAGCATGGCTGTCTTTGCTTCCCTCCTCTTTGCGATGCCCGCTCTGCAAGTGGGACATCTTGAAATTCAATCGTGAGATGTGTCAGAACTTGATGCCGAGATGTCTCGATTTGAAAACTAATCCTTAAGTTATGCGGTGCTCTCTTATCTCTACCCTCTCATTCACACAGGCAGCAGAGTCCTACCTAGCGTATGGATGGAGAGGCAGCAGGCGATCATGTCTGCTAGGGCGGCACAGACTCAGTGCGGTTGATTGGTGTTGGTGTCCTCTCATCTCTACCCTCTCATTCACACAGGCAGCAGAGTCCTAGCGTATGGATGGAGAGGCAGCAGGCGCTGTTGATAGCAAAAAGGGCAATGAAGAGGAAGCAGTGGCAAATTGCAATGAAGTTGACTCACGGGTCGCCTCTATCCGTGACTGTGTGTATCACGAGTCGCCTCAATCATGTCTGCAAGCAAGGCGGCTCAGACTCAGTTCGGTTGATTTGTGTTGGTGTCCTCTCATCTCTACCCTCTCGTTCACACAGGCAGCTGAGGCTGAGCGCATGGAGAGGCAACAGGCAATCATGTCTGCGAGAGATGCTCAGACTCAGTTGTAGATAGCAATGGGTTTGTCTCATGCCTTGCGTCGCCTGGTTCTGTGACTCCACTTGTCTACTCTCATTCACACAGGCAGCTGAGGCTGAGCGCATGGAGAGGCAACAGGCAATCATGTCTGCAAGGGCGGCACAGACTCAGAGACATGTGGCCCGGCGATCAGTCATCCATGCCACCCCTCACGCGCCTGGTAGGTAGCCGCTACAGTCTTGGTCAGCTGTAAGGTAAGCAGGCAATCATGTCTGCAAGGGCGGCACAGACTTAGAGACACGTGGCCCGGCGATCAGTCATCCATGCCACCCCTCACGCGCCTGGTAAGTTGCCTTTGAGTTGGGTGGTTACCACTTGACCACACTTGCTGTCAACTGTAAGGCAGCAGGCATCCATGTCTGCAAAGGCGGCTCAGACTCAAAGGCATGATCTCGACGATCGGTCATCCATGCCACGCCTCACGCGCCTGGTAAGTCACTGGCCTATTGGTTGGGTGATTGCTGTTTCCGTGGTCAACAGTAAGGCAAGCAGGCATCCATGTCCGCGAGGGCGGCTTAGACTCAAGGCACGTGGCCCAGCGATCGGTCATGCGTGCCACGCCCCATGCACCTGGTAAGCTGCGTGCCCTTTGGTTGGGTATCTATTATATTTCTGGTCAATTGTTAGGCGAGCAGGCAGTGAGGCCCGTAAGGGCGGCTCAGACTCAGTGAGATTCGTGGCCCGGCGGTCAATCGTCCATGCCACGCCCCATGCACCTGGTAAGTTTTGAGTCGACTCAAAAGTCAACTCGTCCATGCCACGCCCCCATGCGCCTGGTAAGCTATTTTTGAGGCGCCTAAAAAATCCCCGGCGATTAATCGTCCATGCTACACCCCATGCGCCTGGTAAGCTATTTTTTGAGGCGCCTAAAAAATCCCCGGTGATTAATCGTCCATGCGACGCCCCATGCGCCTGGTAAGCTGCGCGCACTTTTGTTGGGTAATTGCTGTTTTCGTGGTTCAGTGTAAAGCAATCAACTAAATGAATGATCTCGTGGTCTTCCTTTTCTCTCTCTTTCCTTTCAAGTTCAACCATCCACCAGGCAAGGGCATGACCACAGCGTGGGACGCGCTAGGCCGTGCTGTGATTATCTTATGTTCTTCTTTTCACTCTCAATTTTGTCCTTTCAACCATCCACCAGGCAAGGGCATGACCACAGCGTGGGATGGGCTAGGCCGATCCGTACCGCATACCCCTCCTGTCTTGATTCTCAAATCCCCCCCTGCTGCTAAAGCTGCAACCAAGGAAGCTACTGCTGCTCCTTCAGGTCTTAGCTCCATTCATGCTCTTCCTGCTTCTGGTGCTGCTAGTTCTGCCGGTGGTGCTGGTTCTGCCAGTGGTGGTGGTGGTGTGGGTGCGGCTGCAGTTGGAAACAAGAGGAAGGTGGAGGAGTTGGAGGATGGGGCGGGCGGTGGGCTGAGAGGGTTGCTGGCGTATGGTTCTGATGACAGTGATGAGGAGGATGCAAGGGAGGTGGAGGAATCAAGGGAGGAAAATGCAAGGGATGAGAGGTTAAGAAATGCTGATACTGCTGCTGGTGCAACTGATGCTGATGCTAGTGCTGGTGCTGGTGCGGATGCTCCTGGTGGTGCTGCTGATGCTGATGCCGCTGGTAGTGCTGATGGTGCTGCTGCTGGTGCTGCTGCTGCTAACGGTGATACTGCTGGTACTTGTTCTGTTGGTGGTGGGGATTGTGTAGGTGCTGCTACTGGTGCTGATGCTGCTACTGGTGTTGCTGCTGCGGCTGGTACTAGTAGTGTCACTGCTGGTGCTGCCATTACTGGTGATTGTCACTCTGGTAGTGCTTCTGCTGCACAGAGGAGAGCTGCTGATGTTGCAGCTCCTGTAGCTGCTGCTGCTGATGATGATTCTGCTGCGGCTGGTACTAGTAGTGTCACTGCTGGTGCTGCCATTACTGGTGATTGTCACTCTGGTAGTGCTTCTGCTGCACAGAGGAGAGCTGTCGATTTTGCTGCTTCTGCAGCAGCTGGTGGTGCTGGTGATGCTGGTGACTCTGCTAATGCTGCTGCTGTTGTTGATGGTTACCGGTATGCTGATGCTGGTGGCAATAGATTGCAATGATCCTGGCTTGGTGTTCCTGTTCCTGCCGGATTCTGTATTGATGAAGAGGAAAAGCAGGCTCACCAGGAATTGCAATAATGTCAGTATAATGGAAATTGAAAGAGTGGTGGTTTGGGAAGTAACTATTACGAATTTATGGTCAAAGTGAGCCGAGATTGGGCAGGGTCTTGAAATAAAGGTGGAGTTGAGACAAATATCCGATTCTAGCCTATTGTCAGAATCTAAAGTAACTTCCTAAAAACTTCCTTAGGAGCCATAGCGAGAGTAGCGAGGGAAAAGTGAGAGAAGAGAGGGTTCCATTGTTGGAAGAGATATGTTACAAAATATAGAGCAAGGGGAAGGTGGCAAGAGGGGTACACCACCAACAGGGATAAACCTAAATGATACTGCACTATGTCTTATATTTCAATGTAAATTTAACATCTATGAAGGTGTGTCAAATTACACGTACAGGTGCTAGTTTTAGGCGAAACTGAGAGGCTCTTTAGAGAGTACAACAATTTTAGGGCTGCCTTGCTGTATCCCATCCTTGCTAGTTCCTCTCATTCTGCTACGGTACTTTGACATGTCAAACTATATTAATGTGATGGTGTAATGGGTAGGCTATAGTGGGGTAGCCAACATGGGGTACAAACCTTTTAGGTTTTGTACTTGTACCAACTCTCTCGATAGTTCACACCATTCCTGTTTGTTCATTCTTAACATGGTTTCACAGCAGTAGGTCCGTAGGACCGTTTTTTTTTTTTGGCCCACCATTGCCTAGTGATCGACTACGGTTACCGCGTTTCCCCACGCCCTGCCCTGCGCCAGCGCCCTGCCCTGCCCTGCGCCAGCGCCCTGCCCTGCGCCAGCGCCCTGCCCTGCTCTGCGCCAGCGCCTTGCTCTGCGCCAGCGCCCTGCCCTGCTTCCTACTGCAGCCCGCGCCCTGCGGCAGCTGCACGTCGTGCCCTGCTGCCCTGCACGTCGCGCCCTGCTGCCCTGCGCGTCGCGCCCTACGGCAGCCTGCGCGTCGCGCCCTACGGCAGCCTGCGCGTCCCGCCCTATGGCAGCCTGCGCGTCGTGCCCTACGGCAGCCTGCGCGTCGCGCTCTACGGCAGCCCGTGCGTCGCGCGCTGCTGCCCCGCGCGTCGCGCCCTACGGCAGCCCGCCCGTCGCACGCTGCTGCCCCACGCGTCGCGCCCTACGGCAGCCCGCGCGTCGCGCGCTGCTGCCCCGCGCGTCGCGCGCTGATGCCCCGCGCGTCGCGCTCTGTTGCAGCCCGCGCGTCGCGCCCTGCTGCCCTGCGCATCGCGCCCTGCTGCAGCCAGCGCGCCGCGGTTTGCTGCCCGCGCCGCCCAGGCCGAGCCACGCCACCCAACACGATCCGCCCTTCTGCTCGTGCTACTGCTGCTGGTGGTGGAGGTGCTGCTAGGAGTGCTGGAGGTGCTGCAGCCTAGCCTCACGAGCCGCTCTGTTGTTCGTATTACTGCTGCTGCTACTCGTAAGACTGCCTTCACTCAGTACTGCCCTAGAGGTCGCGCTCCTCCTAGCTTGCCCGTCATGACTTCACCTTGTCGTCGCGGTCGGAGTGGTGAGGGCGGTGGTGGCAGCAGTGGGAGTCGTGGCAGCTGTAGTAGCAGTCACTATGGAGCTGTGTGGTGTGGAGTCTCTGGCGGTGGCCAGATGCAGCTACGGCGGCGTCCGACCCTTAAGCCCCAGCAGCTTCGTGAGTGGCTTTACCAGCGTGGGACGTCTCCGAGTCCTGGTCGCTGTCCGTACGTCATTCGCACAGGTCGTCGAGCTGGTCAGACTTGTGGGACACCTGGTCAGGCATAGTCCCGCTGTTTCGCCTACATGACTAACGCCTGGCACGCAGAGTTTGGCGACGAGGCTCAGACCCCCCACTGGCTTGAGTTGCTTAGGTCGGGCGTTGATGTCTTTGCTTTAGACTATGACGCCATCCTTACTGCCATGTCTGCTGTGCCTGGTAGTGCTGAGAGTGTCTGCCTGTGTGTGCAGTACGACCCTGGTATAGAGATTTTTGCTCTAGGTGCTAGTGAGGCTGCTACCTTAGGTGCTGGTGAGTCTGCTCTCTCAAATACTGCGCCTCCTGAGGCCTTGGACACCTTCACGCTTGACTCAGGTGCTTCCCGCTGCTTCTTCCGTAACACCACCGCACTCACACCACTCCCTGCACCTGTTGCAGTGTCTCTGGCTGACCCCTTAGGGGGCCCAGTTCTTGCACGGTCCACCACTGTGCTTCCGTGCCCGGCGGTTCCGTCTGGCTCACTGACAAGCTTCCACCTCCCCTCGTTCTCTACGAAGTTGGTGAGCAACGCAGTTCTCTAAGACGAGTGGGTTGACACCTTTACCCCTGGAGGACAGCATGTGGCGATCTGTACGTGCTCCCGGACCGGTAGCCACCTAGCCACATTTACCCGTCGCCCAGGGTCGAGTCTTTACACACTGACGAGTGTGCCTCCTCATATAGCTGCTGCTGGTCAGGTTTTTGCGTCTCAGGTAGCCTCCCCTTGTTCATGTCGCTCCCTGTCGCACCAGAATCTTCTCTCGCACCACCGCCTGGGTCGACCCTCCTTGCCACGTCTCTGTGGCATGCACCGTCGCCTCCTTGTGTCTGGTCTTCCCAGGTCTCTCCCTCCCCTCCCTGCCTCGCCTGCGCCACCCTGCCTTCCTTGCGTCGAGGGGCGGCAACGCGCCGCTCCTCACTCCTCCTCGTTTCTGCCGACAGAGGCTCCTCTGTAGACCCTCCACCTGGACGTGTGGGGCCTAGCCCGCGTTCGTGGACAGGGCGGTGAGCGGTACTTTTTGCTGGTTGTCGATGAGTACTCGCGTTACACCATAGTCTTCCCCTTGCGCACCAAGTGTGAGGTCCATGGTGTCCTGATCCCTTACATCCGAGCAGTTCATCTCCAGCTCCGCCGCAGGTTCCGCCAGGACCTTCCTGTCCTGCATCTGCGCTCTGACTAAGGTGGCGAGTTCACCTCCAACCTCTTGCGGGCCTTCTGTTAGGGGGAGGGCATCGAGCAGTCGTTCACGCTTCCGGGCTCACCGCAACGAAATGGGGTTGCTGAGCGCCGCATTGGCTTGGTCATGGAAGTTGCTCGTACCTCCTTGATCCATGTCGCGGCTCCCCATTTCTGTGGTCGTTTGCGGACCGGTCCGCCGCGCAGTAGCTCAACCTCTAGCCCCGTGTCTCCTTGCCGAAGACCTCGCCCACACTGCGTTGGATGGGGGAGGTTGGCGATGCGTCGCGTTTCCAGGGTCTGGGGTGCTCGTGCCCTTGTAGGGGATACGTCCGCGTACAAGCTCTTCTCCCGCACCATTCCCTGTGTCTTACTTGGCTTTGTCCCTAACGCGCCTGGCTGGCAGTTTTACCACCCCACCTCGCGCCGTGGCTTCCCCTCTCAGGACGTCACCTTTGACGAGTCGGCTCCTTTCTACTGTCTCTTCCCCTACCGCACTGCCCCTCTCCCTCCCCCGACGCTCCAGGTCCCCCTTCGGTTGACCCCCTCCCCCCTCAGGGTCCTGATCCTTTTGGTGTGTCTCAAGTAGACCCGCCCCCCCGTGGGTGAGCCTGTAGAGGTCACTAGCGATCCAGGTGCTGCTGGGGGTGCTGCGTCTGGGGGTGCTGAGCCTGTGCGTGAGGTGTTGGGGAGTGCGGAGCCTGGGGGTGCTGAGCCTGTGGCTGCGGAGTCTAGGGGTGCTGAGTAGGAGGGTGCCGGGTCTGGGGGTGCTGAGTCTGCTGACGTTCCTCTAGGTCTCGTTTCACGACGCGGGCCTGTCTCACCACAGCAGGCACGAGAGTGGCTTGCGTCGCGTACTCGCCTGAGGAGTCGTGCTGCTGGAGCTGCTTGTGGTAGAGGCGCTGGCAGTGCTGGTGTGTCTGGTCATGGAGGTGCTCGTACTAGAGGTACTGGAGCTGCCGAGACTGGTACTACTCCTAGGGGTGCTGAGCCTGCGGCTGTGGAGTCTGAGGGTGCTGAGCTCGTCCGTGAGGTGCTGAGGGGTGCGTTGCCTTGGGGGTGCTAAGTGTGTTGGCGTTCCTTTGGGTCTCGTTTCACGATGCGGGCCTGTCTCACCACAGCAGGCACGAGAGTGGATTGCGTCGCGTACCCGCCCGAGGAGTCATGCTGCTGGAGAGATGCTTGTCCTGGAGGCGCTAGGAGTGCTGGTGTCTTTGGTCCTGGAGGTGCTCGTACTGGAGATACTGGAGCTGCCGGGACTAAGACTGCTCCTGCAGCTGGAGGTGTCGGCTCTGGGGGTGCTGCTGCTCGAGGTACTAGGGCGGGAGGCCCTCGAGCTGGTGTTGTCGACCCTGGCGTTGGGGACCCTGGAGCTGGAGGTGCCGGTTCTGGGGGTGCTGTTGCTGGAGGCCCTAGAGCTGGTACTGTCGACTCAGGAGTTGGGGACCTTAAGGCTAGAGGTGCCGGTTCTGGGGGTGTTGCTACTGGTGGCGCTGGAGCTGGAGGTTCTGGAGCTGCAGGAGGAGCTGGAGCTGGAGGTGATGCTGCTGGAGTCACTGGAGCTGGAGGTCCTGCAGCTAGAGGCGTTGGAGCTGGAGGTTCTGGAGCTGCTAGAGGCGATGGAGCTGGAGGTGCTGCTGCTGGAGTTACTGGAGCTGGAGGTGCTGCTACTGGAGGCCTTGGGGCTGGAGGTTCTGGAACTGCTGGAGGCGCTCAAGCTATTGGTACTGGTGGCACTGCACTGCCGCGACTGTTTTTTGCTCCGCCATCATCATCGTCTCTGCCACCGCTTGACTCAGTGCTTCGCCAGGTTCTTAGCCTCCCGTCTTCTACTGGCCTCCCGCTATAGCTCGGCGCACAACTGCCTGCTCCTTCTCCTTACACTGAGCAGACATACTTGCTTACAGAGCGTCGTGAGCCTGCCTCTCATCCTGCCTCGCCTGTTCCCGTGCATCGCACTGGTAGTCGTGTTCCTCGTGAGCGTCCGCCTCTTGTCCTTGGCACACACGCTATGGCACTTCGTCCTTCCTCTATTCCACAGCGTGTTCCCTTGCCGTCTCCTCCTTCGTCTTCTGTGCCTCACGTTCAGGACCTTGAGTCTGACTTGGTTCGTGCTGCTCACCCCGCTGTCACGCGTCTACTAGCCAATGTTGTCACTAACCCGTCGTTTGAGTTTGCTGCTGCGTCTGCCTTAGTCTCTGAGCTTGTTGACTTTGCTACTGCCTGTCGTCTAGACTTCGCTGCTAGTCTTGTTGCTGAGTCTGAGTATGTCTGTCCTCCGTCCGTCGAGGGTGAGTGTGCTCTTGGTACGGACGTCCTTGAGGATAGGCAGGAGGACTTTCAGTGTCTTGCAGACGCTGCACCTCATCTCGTGGCCATGCTGCTTGCCCCTGAGGGAGACCCGGATGCTCCAGACATCCCGACCCTGCGCTCTTACGCTGAGGCGATCGCGAGTGAGTACTCCTCTCAATGGCAGACAGCCATGGACGCAAAGATGGCATCCTGGAAGTCCACATGCACTTACGTCGACGTAGTTCCCCCTCCTGGGGCGAACGTAGTCGATGGCATGTGGATTTTTAGGGTGAAGCGGCCGCCAGGTTCTCCGCCTGTCTTCAAGGCTTGTTACGTTGCATGAGGCTTCAGTCAACGACAGGGAGTTGACTTCTTCGAGACCTTCTCCCCCACCCCAAAGATGACCACTCTTCGAGTGCTGCTTCATATTGCCGATCAGCGTGACTACTGGCTTCACTCTCTGGACTTCAGCAAAACGTTCTTACAGGGCAGTCTGCACGAGGAGATCTGGCTACGCTGCCCACCTGGCTTCACTGGGTCGTTCCCTCCTGGTACCCAGTGGAGCCTCCGCCGGCCAGTCTACGGTCACCGTCAAGCGCCTCGTGAGTGGCACGACACACTGAGGACGACACTTGCGACTCTTGGGTTTGCACCTTCCACTAGTGACCCGTCGCTGTTTCTGCGCACCGACACTTTGTTGCCATTGTTCTACATCCTCATCTACATCGACGAGTTGGTCTTTGCCACTACTGACACTGAGGCTCTCGCCCATATGAAGTTGGAGCTGCAGAAGAGACACACATGCACAGACCTGGGTGAGCTGCGCAACTACCTTGGCCTGCAGATTACCCGGGACAGAGCACGCCGCACCATCACACTGACTCAGTCACGCATGGTGCAGCAGGTCCTTCAGCTCTTCGGCTTCACTTGGTCCTCGCCTTAGTCCACTTCCCTGGGTACAGGTCATTCACTCTCAGCTCCACCTTCGGACGAGTGCGTAGAGCCGAGTGGTTTGTACCCAGAGCTAGTGGGTTGCCTCATGTACTTGATAACCTGCACTCGTCCTGACCTTACGTACCCTCTTGGCCTTCTGGCACGCTACGTGGCTCCTAGTAGGCACCGAAAGGCGCACATGGATGCTGCGAAGAGGGTACTGCACTACTTGTGCAGTACATCGGGCATGGGGCTCGTGCTTGGATAGAGGAGCTCAGTTGTCCTCACTGGTCACTCAGACGCTTCTTCGGTTGACGCCCTGGCTACGCAGCGGTCGTCACAGGGTTACACGTTCAACCGTGGCTCTGGCTCTGTTTCTTGGCAGTCTACCCGCTCGTCTTCTGTTCTCAACTCCAGTTGTGAGGCGGAGATCTACGCCACAGCCATGGCTGCACAGGAGTTACGCTGGCTCGCCTACCTGCTAACCGACTTGGGAGAGAGGCCTCGTTCTCCTCCAATTCTGTACGTCGACAACAAGGCTGCCATTGCCTTGTGTCAGGACCACAGACTGGAGTACAGAACGAAGCACATCGCTTTGCGTTTCTTCTTTGCTCAAGAGTTGCAGCAGCGTGGTCAGCTTCGCGTCGCCCACGTGCCCACCCGGGCGAACACGACTGATGTGTTCACCAAGGCCCTTCAGGCTGGTGATCATCAGCGCTTCTGCACTGCTCTAGGTCTGGTACCTACGTTTCCTCACTTGCTGTAGACTTTGGTTGTACTGTGATCTATATATATCTACCTGCATGTTTACTCTTGCTAGGTAGTGATCACTGTAGTGTTGTTGTTGCATATATACCTCTGCATGTGAATTGGCCTTGTGGCCCTTTTACTTTTGCTCAGAGTGTGTGGTGACGTTGTGATCCACCCTGAGCTTGCATTGCTTTTCTTGACTGGTCTTGTGACCCCTTGTTCTCCCCCACTTTGCTTATGGGGGTGTGTCAAACTATATGTATGTTATGGTATAATGGGTAGGCTATAGTGTGGTAGCCAACATGGGGTACAACCCCTTTAAGTTTTGTACTTGTACCAACTCTCTCGATAGTTCACACCATTCCTGCTTGTTTATTCTTAACATGACTTCATGTGATACAACTCGAACTCTCCGAACTGAAGGCCTGGCCCAATTTCCTGAACAACATAGGCTACATCCCTTCAAATCCAGATATTAGATTCCCCGTCATGCTTTCCAGTTCCTGATTTCTAGGAAAAGCCCCATTCATTTGCCTAGATCGTATCCGAGGATGCCATGGTGCTTTCACTTTCTGCTCACTTTATTTTATAACTCATAACATAGGCAGTGAAATGCATGTGGCTGTACGCTACTTTTGGTAGTATTGAGGACCTCCCTCAACTTGATCAAACACCCTCCTCGACCATGGCACATGTGCTTAGGGTGCGTCAGATCCGTTGGCCGGATCAATCCGGCCGGCCGGATCTAGCGAAGGTTACACATTCACGACATTCGTAAGGTATTTCGTTGATTTCGCACAATCCGACCACTTGCTAAATTTTTTATGGCCGGTTTGATGGCCGGTTTTGTCAGAATGTAATTGTATACATTTACTATAACTGCCTGTAGTGTAGACCTAGTGCAGTTATATCGCTTTCATGTTAGGTGGTGCACCCTTTTCCTTCACTATATCTTGTACAACTTTCTATAGTGAACCCCTCATTCTCCTTTCAACTTGCTCGATACTCTCCTACTCAACTTACTCGATCTAACTAGCCATGGCTCCTAAGCCTCGCTAGAAACCTTTGACATGCTATCAGAGTGACCACGGTTCTTACCTGTGGACCCGCCCCATTGCTTCCGCTGCTACTCTGTGTTCGGCACACCCCGTGGCGTGCCCCTTAACCTTTTCTTAGCGGCCCCATTGCCGCCCTTTCAGGCCCCTCGCGGCCCCTTCACGGCCCCGTCGCCGCCCTTTCAGCGGCCCCGTCGTCGCCCGCCCTTCAGCAGGCCCCGCTACGGCCCCGCTACGGCCCCGCTCCGGCCCCGCTTAGGCCCCGCTACGGCCCTACTACGGCCCCGTCGCCCACCTGCGGCCCCGTCGCCCACCTGCGGCCCCGTCGCCCACCACAGCCCTGTCGCCACCTGCGGCCCCGTCGCCACCGGCGGCCCCGTCGCCACCTTTGGCCCCGTCGTCACCTGCAGCCCCGTCGCCCGCTGCGGCCCCGTCGCCACCTACGGCCCCGCCACCTTTGGCCCCGTCGCCACCTGCGGCCCCGCCTACCCTTGCGGCCCCGTCGCCACCTGCGGCCCCGTCGCCCGCTGCGGCCCCGTCGCCACCTGCGGCCCCGCCACCTGCGGCCCCGTCGCCACCTGCGGCCCTGATGCCACCTGCGGCCCCGCCTACCCTTGCGGCCCCGTCGCCACCTGCGGCCCCGTCGCCCGCTGCGGCCCCGTCGCCACCTGCGGCCCCGCCACCTGCGGCCCCGTCGCCCACTGCGGCCCCGATGCCACCTGCGGCCCTGTCGCCACCTGCGGCCCCGTCGCCCACTTCTGCTCCGATGCCACCTGCGGCCCCGCCCACTTGCGGCCCCGACCCCGCCCCGGCCGTGCCCTGTCGCCAGCCGCGGCACACCGGGGGCACGTGCACCCCCCCCCCCCCCCCCCCCCCCCCCTTTTCCCGTCACCCGTCGCGGCTCCTTCGGGGGCCGAGCGACCTGGAAGGCGTGGGCAGGCGTCGCCCCCTCTGCTGCTTGCTTTGGCGCCCGGGGAGGCCGTGCGTCCCCCCCCCCCCCCTTTCCCCCCCCCCCCCCCCTCCCCCTTTCCCCTTTCTCCTTCGTCTCTCTGCAGCTGCAGGGGGGAGGGTCTGGGGGTGGCGGGTGTGGGGGTGATGGGTGTTGTGCTTCCCTTCCCCTCCTCCTCCTTTCGTTCCCACTGCTGCATCTGGTGCTGGGGGGGAGGGTGTGAGGGTGTGGGGGAGCCGGGGGAGTGGCACTGGGGTGGCGGGTGTGAGACCAACCAGCAGCCGTCCCTCCAACTCTCCTCTCTTCCCCCCTCTGCTACTCCTGCAGCAGTGTGTGGGGGAGGGGGAGGGGGAGCGGGAGGGTGAGGGGATGTAGTGGGTGACAAACTAGCTCTATTACCTTGTATGTTGTTGCTGCTTTCTTTGCACTTCGTGTACCTCTGCAGGAGGTGTACTGCACACGGTTCTTCACTACAGGCAGTTAGGGGGTGTGTCAGAATGTAATTGTATACATTTACTATAACTGCATGTAGTGTAGACCTAGTGTAGTTATATCGCTTTCATGTTAGGTGGTGCATCATTTTCCTTCACTATATCTTGTACAACTTTCTATAGTGAACCCCTCATTCTCCTTTCAACTTGCTCGATACTCTCCTCCTACTCAACTTACTCGATCTAACTAGCCATGGCTCCTAAGCCTCGCTAGAAACCTTTGACAGGTTTAGCATTCGACAACTTTCCGACGTGCAAACGAATCGAGAGTCGACCACTTTGTCGACTCATCAGCGCTACAGTACCTATGCGACTTGGCCAACATACCCAAGCGACTCAACGTGTCACAAGGACGACTTGCACGGTGCTTTCAGCGCCGTTGAACATGACCAGAACACTTGGTAATCGCTCTCGTCAGCAAAGTCAAGGAGCAAGGGCACCATGACACCGACTGCAGCAACCAAGGTTTGAGCATAACGTGCGTGAGTCCGATTGCTAAACGTCGTGCCCATCTGGGTGTGAAAGGATCCGACATGTTGGATAATGGCTAGAGTGTAGGGACGTTCCGGTTTTTGTATGCTCGCGTCACACTCAGTTCGGGTAGACGACACGATCTCGCCGAGCCGGTTTGTAAATGGGGCCGCAGCTCACATCTTGACTCCCTGATCGTAGTGTGCACAATAGCGGTTGTGTCACTTCAGTAACAATACGTGCGACTCCATCGCACAATCCGGCCAACTGTGCGACCTGCAAATCTGACACTTCTGCAAACCGGCCTGTAAATCGGCCACCAAATCTGTCAGATTTCAACACCTTGTAAATGTGGCTGGATGGTGGTCGGTTTAGCATTCGACCATTCGGTCGACTTTGGCGAAAAAAGGAGTCGACCAAAAGGGCGACAAATTTGCAGCCAAATCACATTGTAGCGGATCTGACGCACCCTTAGTTCGAGTTTCCACCACACTGAAACGTGCCGTGTCTCTTTGCATCCTAAAGCGCCGTGTTCAATCCCGTGGTCAACTCACATCTTTGCGGGTGTGGGCATAACTGAGTGCTTCGACTTGCTCACTGCCTCCCTTGATAAATTAGTGTTCTATCTCCCCTGGCAGCAAAAGGGGTAACCTTCCCTTCACCTTGCTTCACCGCGTGCCGTTTAGAATCGATTAGGCCGCTTCGCTGCTTCGATATGGGTCCTCCCGGTGCTGGCAATAGCGAGTCCCAGGAAAGTCCGTTCAAACCCAATGTTCTCCAAGGGAAAGTCGTTTTGATCACGGGTGAGCCCTTCAGATTACCCTTCGAATCTACACCACTTTCAGCTTCAGCGGAATTTGCTAACTGGTTCACTCGCTTAGCCTACTGAAGTCACTCGCCTCCCAATTCCGGTCGTACTCCGTGCCCCAACGCATTTACTGCCTCTATCGCTTCCCCTGTCGATCCGCTATCGCTTCCGAACGCGTCTCTGTTTATTCTCCTCCTTGCCGTTCAGCTAAGGGATTCACCGTGCTGCTGCTGGTCTCCCTGCTGGCGATTTTCCGAGATTGCTGCTGCCGTTCATTTCGGCAGCAATAACATTAATAACATATCATTGCGGCTACCTCCTGTTATTGTTGACAATGCAACCGGCGAGTGTGACTTTCAGGGGGTGGCTCGGGAATAGGCTTGGAGATCTCGAGGCAGTTCGGCAGGCACGGCGCTAGGCTCGCAATCATGGGTCGGAGGGAGGCGGTGCTACGAGCAGCAGCAGACGAGCTAGCGAAGGAAGGGATCGAGGTGGGTTAAGTCTCAGAGTCTTGAGATGTGTCAAAGCTACGGTCGCGATCATGGGTCGGAGGGGGGCGGTGCTACGAGCAGCAACAGACGAGCTAGCGAAGGAGGGAATCCAGGTAACCACTTGTGGAATTTGCTGGTTGTTATGAATATCGTCTCAGCACCCCCTTGGTCAAATGTACCATCCATTTCTCACGCCTTGCATATCACTGGGATGTGAAGCGAAAGGAGGACGCTTACAGCGCAGTGGCTGCTGCTATGGAGGGATACTACTCCAGGCATACGCTGCAGGGTGTTTTGAGAATTCTCAAAAACACCCTACTACTCCAGGCATACGCTATCAGTTTAGTTTTCCCTTGTCTGTCTATCGACCCACCCTGCAGGCCTTCCCTGTCATGGGTGATGACTTAGACTCTCAAAGCCGCTCACCTGTCTACCGTCCCCTTTTTCTCAGGCCTTGCCTGTCATGGGCGATGTGAGGCGAAAGGAGGACGCACACAGCGCCGTGGCTGCTACTGTAGAGAGATACGGCCGCCTTAACACACTCCTAACGTCCCCTTGTTGGTCCGACCGCCCACTTCTCATCTCAGGCCTTGCCTGTCATTGGTGATGTGAGGCGAAAAGAAGACGCACACAGCGCCGTGGCTGCTACTGTGGAGAGATACGGCCGCCTAGACGTTCTCATCAATGGCGCCGCTGGAAACTTTCTGGCAGCTGCGGAAGACCTTTCAGTGAATGGCTTTCGAACAGGTAGGCATGCCTCTAGGCTTAGAGAGGAGAATAGAGGGGCAGAGAGGGCAGAGAGGGCAGAGATGGCAGAGAGGGCAGAGAGGTCAGAGAGGGCAGAGAGGGGAGAGAGGACAGAGAGGGGAGAGAGGACAGAGGGGGGAGGAGGACAGCGAGGGGAGAGAGGACAGAGAGGGGAGGAGAGAGGGCAGAGATGTGCAGAGAGGTGTAGAAGGGGGCAGAGAGGCATCGAGAGGTGTAGAGAGTGGCAGGGAGGGTCAGAGAGGTGCAAAGAGGTGTAGAAGGGGGCAGGGAGGTGCAGGGAGGTGCAGAGAGGGCAGCGAGGCATGAAGAGGCGAAGAGACGCACAGAGCAAGTTGTTTCCGGTTCTCCGTTTCCCTTCCGTTCCTTCTCATCCCTTCCATCCCTTCCCTTCCCTCTCTCTTCCCGTTTTTCTTCCCTCATTGGGCAGCCCTTCCAGTCCCTGATGTTGATGCCGTTGCCATTCTCAACATGTCCCTTCCCTTCCCTTCCCTTCCCTTCCGCATGCCTTCAATCCAATCTTCATGGTCTATACCCGCCCAGTCCTTGACATAGATGCCGTGGGCACGTTCAACATGTGCCTGGCTGCCAGGCCGTTCCTGCCACCCAACCATCCACCCTCTTTTCGCGTTCTGCATCCTGATCTTCTCATTCCCTTCACCCTTCCAGTGCTTGACATCGATGCCATGGGTACATTCAACATGTGCCTGGCTGCCAGGCCATTCCTGCAGAAGGGGGCGCGTGGCAGGGCGGAGGAGGAGGGAGGGGGATCCATTATAAACATCAGCGCTACTCTGCACTACACCGCTGCTTGGTACCAAGTGCACGTCTCGGCTGCTAAGGTGAGACAGAGGTATGGCGGGATGGGGTACGGTGGGAGTGGGATAAGGTGGATAGGGGCACGGTGGGAGTGGTGCAAGTTGGGAGTGGGTGTGAGTGGATGAGCTTTGTCTACTGTAATCTGCACCACACTGCTGCATGGTACCAAGTGCGCGTCATGGCGGCTAAGGTGACAGTGGGGTATGGTGAGCATGGGGTAAGGTGAGAGTGGGGTAAGGTGAGAGTGGAGTAAGGGGAGAGTGGGGTAAGGAGAGAGTGGGGTAAGGGGAGAGTGGGGTAAGGTGAGAGTGGGGTAAGGGGAGAGTGGTGCAAGGTGAGAGTGGGTGTGTGAGTGGATGAGCTTTCCCTACAGTAATCTGCACTACACTGCTGCATGGTACCAAGTGCACGTCATGGCTGATAAGGTGAGAGTCAGTGTGCGTGCACATACGAGGTGCTTTTGAGTTGTGGCAAAATGTGTGTGTCAGGGCAAAGAAAGGGGGTGTAAGGAGTCCGTTTAGACCTTTTTGAGGCTTCTTTGCACAAACGTTGGCTTCTTTGCACAAACGTTGGCCTCTTTGCACAAACGTTGGCTTCTTTGCACAAACGTTGGCTTCTTTGCACAAACGTTGGCTTCTTTGCACAAACGTTGGCTTCTTTGCACAAACGTTGGCTTCTTTGCACAAACGTTGGCTTCTTTGCACAAACGTTGGCTTCTTTGCACAAACGTTGGCTTCTTTGCACAAACGTTGGCTTCTTTGCACAAACGTTGGCTTCTTTGCACAAACGCTGGCCAACCATCCCCCACTTTTCCACTCGCACACTCTCTCTCCCTCCCCCTCTCCCTCTCCCCTCTCTCCTCCTCACCTCAGGCTGCAGTGGATGTGACTACCTGGTCCTTAGCCCTGGCTGGCGTGGGCATGGGCTACAGGGCATGTCCCAACACATGCATCTGAACCAACACAATTGAACTGAACTGATCCTCCTCCCTCTCTCTCCCACCCTCCCCTTATCCCAGGCTGCAGTGGATGCCACCACCCGGTCCTTAGCCCTCGAGTGGGCAACGGACTACGGCATCCGAACCAATGCGATAGCTCCGGGGCCGATAGGTTCGACGCCAGGCATGGCGAAGCTGGCGCCGTCAGAGCTGGGCATCGATGCCGGGGAGCTCAACCCGATGCAGCGCATGGGTGACCCTTGGGACATTGCTATGGCTGCTCTCTACCTCACAGCAGACACGGGTGAGTGGGTCTGGTGATACACACTGGCAGTCTTGACAGTCATGCGGGTGTGCAAAGCTGGGCATTGATGCCGGGGAGCTCAACTTGATGCAGCGCATATGGGACGCCTGGGGTATCGCCATGGCTGCGTTTATCTCACTGTTGAGACAGCTAAGTAGTGGTTCTGCTTATATACAGGAAAGCAGTTTTGTTGACGCAGTGGTTCTTGAGGGGTCTTGTGGATTCGTAAAGCTGGGCTTCGACGCCGATGCATGTGCCCACCTGTACACATCCAGCTGTACAGTGGCACATACAGATGTATGTGTCACTATTGCAAATGGGGCGTCGCAGTGTATAGCATGGAACGGGGCGACACTGGTGGTGGACGGGGGGGGGGCTGGCTGTACCGGCCGCGTGTGTTTGACAAGGAGCGCCAATCCAGACAGGCTGCACCTGGGGCAGGCTTTACCTGCTGCTTCCCTACCTCCACCTCCCAGGGCCCATGCAGAATCTAGCTCTGCAAGTGGGACGTCGCAGTGTATAGCATGGAACGGGGCGACGCTGGTGGTGGACGGGGGGGGCTGGCTGTACCGGCCGCGTGTGTTTGACAAGGAGCGCCAATCCAGACAGGCTGCACCTGGGCAGGCTTTACCTGCTGCTTCCCTACCTCCACCTCCCAGGGCCCATGCAGAATCTAGCTCTTGCCCCTTCGTTTCACTCTCTCCCCCTCCCCTCCAATTCTCTCCTTCCCTCCCCCTCCCCCTATCCCCGTACCCCCCCCCTCTCTGCTCCACGCCTTGCACCTGCCAGGGAAGTATGTGAACGGAGCAACGCTGGTGGTGGATGGGGGGGGCTGGCTGTACCGGCCGCGTGTGTTTGACAAGGAGGTCATCCGGGAGGTGTCGCGTGCCGTGGAGCGCCGATCCAGGCAGGTTGTATCTGGGCCAGGCGCATCTGGTTCTTCACAGGGTCAACACCGGAGCAAGCTTTGAAATCTGAAATTGTCAGTCTCTCCTGAAGGTCATCCGGTCACATAGAAGCAGGATTTGAAGCGGTTGAGATGCTTCTATTTCTTAGGAGGAAAAAAACCTAGATTTTTGTGGCCTGTAAATTAGAGTGGAGTGGTAGCTGGATAGGAAGGCTGCTTCTGGTTCAAGATCACATCTTTATCAAATTGCATTTTATTGATTAGTCTGTACACTTTGCGCACTTTTTAATGGGTGCCATCCTCATGTTCGGTTCGGAGAACGAAACGTAAACCTGGCGCAAGCGGATTGGCTGAATTGTTGGGCAGTTGTCTTGTCAGAACCTCGGAACTGTCAGCATGTCATCTCGCGCCGCTGGTGGACTGCTCTTTTCGGCATTCTCAAGGACCTCGTTTCATTCATGGCTTGGTGTCCGTTGCGTCCATCTCCATGACATTCTCAAGGATGTTTTTGTGCTCGAAACCGCTCTGCACCAGACCAAACTGCAGTTGCTTATGAATTTATCATGGTTTCATCATTCCCCATTAGTCAACACAATAAATGCCACGATAGATATTGTGAATTGTTTTGGCACTCAATGTGTCAGACTGCACATCAAGAATGAAGTCTTCTCTTTTGTGCTTCAGTTGTCGCTGTCGATTCATGAGATGTGCTCTCCATGGAGCCTAAAGACAGTAAAAACTTCTATTCAGACTTGTACTGTAGCACTCAGGCTGATAGTAGGCCGTTAGCAAAACTTCGCGTCGATAGTACAAATGGTGACGCGCTATCGTCACGACTCTAAGGAACGATTCTCCGTTCTTGCAACCCCTCGCTAAGCCAGATCAACCCCTCATGCCACGTGGCACGAACGGCCCAGATGGATCGAGAAGCTTAAACGTCAATGTCGTCACTCCAGACGGAATTAATGACGCCAGAACGACGGCGAAACCTTCTGGTGCCATGGCCGCGATGCTCCAGATCCTCATTCTTGCGTCGCTCGCCCTTCTCAGGCCTTGTTGGGTCTATTCTCCCTACATTCTCGCCTGCTGCTGGTGGCTCGCGACTAGACCCCGCCTGTTAGACCTACGGCCATTCAGGTGAAATGATTCGAGCATTCGTTCCTTGGTCTCCTTAGTATTGTTCTCATAAAGTTTTGAGACATCGTCACACTCGTTCCCTTCTAGCCCCCTCTCTGTCCCACACTTTGCCTTTTTCTCTTCCTTTCCCCTTATCTCCCCTTCTCCCTCTTCGTCCTCTTCTCCCCTTCTCCTCTCCCCATCCCCCACTCCCCCTTTCCCCATGTCCCAGGCGCCGTGCTCTGTTGCGCGCATACATTGCTCTACACATCCTCGCCCTCTTCCTCTTCCAGCTGCCTCTCTCACAGCACTGGCGGCCCTTCGAGCAGTGGGGCCAGACACTTGGCCTCTTCCGATTGGACGTGAGGGGGATTCTGGATCCGCGGCAGCTGCTGCATGTGCTGGAAACGGCTCTCCTGCTCTCCGCCTTTGCACTGGTGAGTGGGGTGGTGTTGGGTGTTATTTGTTTTGTTTTGTTTTGTTTTGCTTTCTTTTTCCTTTCTTTCTCAAACATATATATATATATATATATATATATATATATATCGTTTTGTATGGCTTGCTCCTCGTATCCCCGTACCTCTCCCTTCAACTCTTCTCTGTTATTCAGCCTCTCAGCCTTCTTCTTTCCTCTCCCTTCTCCCCTGTTCCCTCTCCGATCTCTCCTTCACACCAGCTGTCTTCCCATCGCTCCCTCGCTACCTCCCATCATTCTTCACGCACTCGGTCCTCTTCCCGCCCACCCTCGTCTCAAGCTCCACGCCCACACTTGCACCCAACCCCTGGCCTCTACCCACAACGTTCCTCCCAAACCTCCGCCTGGCTCGGGCCGAGCCTGCCTCTTTTAGCTTCGGAAGCATCCCAGATTCTGTATCAGGTGATTGAGGAGGAGGAGGAGGAGGAAGGGGATGATGCGGCTGGGGAGGAGGAGAGGGAAGAGGAGGAGGGCGGGGAAGGGGAATGGGAGCTGGAGCAGCAGGAGGAGGTAGTTGCAAAAGCGCTAGCAGCTAGAGTGAGAGGGGCAGGTGTGGGAGGCGTGCAGTGGCGAGGGGGGGCACAGGCGAGGGGTGGGTTCGAGAACAGGGAGCAGCAGAGAGGAGAGAAAGGGGGGAATTGGAGGGGAGAGAGGGATGTGCCACTGAGGCAACTGGGAGCAGGCAGTGCATCGAGAGGAGAGGAGTTGGTGGGGGGAGGTGCAGACGCTGAGGAGGATGACAATGGGAAGGGACTCAGACGCCAGTTTACTGCCTTGTCGTGGTGAACCCCCCCTCTGCCTTGTTGTTCTGAGTTATTACTGGCCAGTTTGAGGCCTCAAAACTCCTCTGTCTCTGCCTTGTTGTGCCCCTCACAACCCATTCCACCTCTCTCAACCCCTCTGTCCCCCCCAGGTCGTCCGCATCTCAGCAGCTCTGTGCCACCCTGGTCGTTTTCGGCTCTGCAATCTGCACGGCATCGCTTGTCTTCTTCTGCCTCTCCTTTCACTGCCTCCTCGCGTGGCCTCTCCTCTCCTCCCTCCTGCTCCTCCTCGTCTCCTCCCCCTCAACCACCACTCTCCGCAACACCCACCGCTGCCTCCTGTTCTATCTGCTCGCGTGGCTTATAGCAGCGTACCTAGTTAACATCACACCTGCTCCATTCCTTCCTCTTGTAAGTCAGTTGTAAATACGTGGCTTGCCGCTTTGTTGCTCCGAGAGGCTGCCTCCTGCTCTATCTGCTCGCATGGCTGATAGCATCCTACCTCGTTAATATCTCACCCGTGCCGCTCCTCTTGTAAGTCAAAAGTGAATCCTTTGTAAACTTGCAGCAGTGTGTTGCTCTGTGAGCCTGCCTTTTGAGTCGGCTCAAAAGCCGCTCCTCTTGTAAGTCAAAAGTGAATCCCTTGTAAACTTGCAGCAGTTTGTTGCTCTGTGAGCCTGCCTCGTCATCTCTTCCCTCTTTCCCCTCGTGCTTCTTCCCTCTCCTCCTCGCTCCCTTTTGCCTTACAGGTCACCATCTACCAAGCTATTGGGCTGCATCGCTTCCCCAATCCAGCCCTCCCCCTTGCTCTCCACTTCACCACAGCACTCCTCCTCACAGCCTACGTCTTTGCCTGCACCGCCATGCTTGCCTCTTCTCCCTCCTCCTCTGCCTCTTCTGCCTCCTCTTCCTCCTCCTCTGCCCCTATCACTTCCTCCTCTTCCACCTCTGCTGCAGATGCTTCTGCTGCTTCTGCAGCAGGGAGCATTGACAGGGGTGACAATACGGGAGGGATCAGCAGTGGTGGCGAAGCAATGGCTATGCCAGCAGCAACACAGGACAGAGATGCAGTGGCAGCAGAAGTGGCAGCGGAACTGGCAGCAGCAGGGCATGATGGGTGGCTGTGCTTCCTGCTCTCCTTCTCCCTCTGGGCTGCCCGCCTGCTCGCCTTCTCTGCCTTTGTCCTCCTTGTGCTTGTCCACGCGGCAGACAAGCTCGCCCTGCTGCGTGCCCCCTATGGTATGTGCAGTTCATAACGTGAATGCACATGCATGTCATGTCACATGAGGGTGGGGCACAAGCTGTGGCAGGGTCTCTGGGCTGCCCGCCTGTCCGCCTGTGTATGCGTACTGCTGTAGTGCTGCTGCTGGTGTAGCTGCTGCTGCTGGTGTAGCTGCTGGTCTACCCCATATGGTGTAATTTGAGAGAATGCAGGCCGATTTTCCATCTTTTGAGGCGCCTCGAAATTGTTTCCTCTATCTTTTTCCGCCCCTGCAAACCCCTTTATGCGCTGCTATCATGATGGGCAGTGCTACTACTGGTGATGCTGCTGGTCTACCCCTCACGAGCCCATGCTGTCTACTCAGCCTGCATCGCCTATTCCTCCCTGCATCTTCTACTGCTCTTTGCTGCCACTGACCCTGCATTGGGGCAGCTCCCTCTGCCCGCTTACTGGAAAGCCCTGCTGTCACTCCTTGGTGAGTTCAGTAACCAACTGGTGAGTCCTCTCTCCTCACTTGTCCTACCCTCCTCCTTGCTGCACCTGCTGCTGCTTTTCGCTGCCACTGAACCTGCCAACACTTATCTCCCTCTGCCGCCCTACTGGAATGCCCTGCTCTCCCTCCTTGATAAGTGAAGTGAGTGTAAGGACATTCTCAGTAACCAGCTGGTGAGTCTTCTTTCCTCTCATCCATCTCTCATCCAGTTTCCCTACCCTACTCCTCATTGCACCTGCTGCTGCTCTTCGCTGCCACTGAACCTGCCATCACTTATCTCCCTCTGCCGCCCTACTGCAAGGCTGTTCGCCCTGCTGTCACTCCTTGGTGAGTTCAGTAGCCAGCTGGTGAGTCCACTCTCTCTTCGCCTGTCTTACCCTCCTCCTTCCTTCCCACACATGCGTGCTGCACCTTCTGCTGCTCCTTGCTGCGCCTGCTGCTGCTCTTAGCTGCCACCAACCCTGCCTTGGCGCATCTACCTCGGCCATCTCACCAGTTACCACTGTGCCTTTTCACCCCGTATTTTCCCCTTCCCCACCGCACGTCGCTCCCTCCTCCCTCCCCACAACCTTGGTCATCCCTGACGGCCCAGGCCATCATCCCAGCGTGGCATCCACTTTCTCGCCTACTCCATGGCCCGCGCCTGCTCCCCCCTGCAACATTCCCTTGCTACCACACACTCCCTCCCTCACCGCCCCTTCCCATGGCCGCTGCTTGAGCTAGCTTCCTCCTGCCTGTGCAAATTTCATATATCTGCATCTTCACCTCTCTCCCTGCTCTTCCCTTCCTGCCGTTCTGCCCCGTCCCCCCATTCCCAGGTATTCCCCCTGCCCTGACCCCCCAGGCCATCACCCCTCCAGCCGGCATCCTCCTGCTTGCCTACGCCATGGCTCGCGCCCGCTCCTCCCTGCAGCAATCCCTTGCTACCACACACTCTCTCCCCCACCACCCCTTCCCATGGCCGCTGCTCGAGCTAGCTGCCTCCTGCCCGCCTCCCATGGCTGCTGCTCTTCAGTTAAAGCCGCACCCAGACAGTCTCCTCCTGCCTCCCTCCAAGGGCCCTCCCTGTAAGTCTGGTGGCACTGTGTGTGGGCTGTAATGTTGTATGAATGCATGATATAAAGGTACATTTCATGTGGCCGCTGTTCGAGCTTGCTGCCTGCTGCCCGCCTCCCATGGCTGCGGCTCTTCAGTTAAAGCCGCACCCGGACAGTCTCCTCCTGCCTCCCTCCAAGGGCCCTCCATGTACGTGTGTGTGGTGGTACTGTGTGGGGGCTGTGCTGTGCTGTGCGGTGCGGTGCGGTGCGTGCGTCCTCCTGCTTGCAATACGTAGGCTGGCTGGTTCTGGAGGTAGCTTGCGGCCTCCTGCTCGCTTGCATGTCTGTATCTCTGCTTGGCATACCCTCTGCTTTTGCAACAGACTTAATCGTTTAGCCGTCTAGAAAAAAGACTCCTCCTCCCCGATCTCCCAACCCCCCTTCCTTCATTCTGCTTGCCTGCAGGGCCGTATCTCTGCTTGGCGTACCCGTCTGCCTTAGCAACAGAGGCCAACACCTACTTCATCCTCACTGCATTCTTCACCATTCTAACCCATATGCACCCATCTGCTGTCTCCCTCTGCTTCCTCCTCCTCCTCATCATCTGGGTCTGGCTCTTTCTTTGGCCATCCTCCTCCCGAACCTCCTCCCGCACCTCCTCCCAAACCTCTTCCCAGCTCTCCCACCAGACCTCCTCCCATGCTGGAAGATCCTCCTCTGCGTTGCACTCCTCCTCCCAAACCTCCGTCTTCCGAGCCTCTGCGCCAGCTCTCCGAGCCTACATGGCGCCACTGACCGCCTCATTTGCAGCTACAGTGCTCTTGCTTCGGTACTGTAGCTTGTACCCCGAGCTTCGATCCGTCTTAGCCGCCCAATTTGGGATCGATTTGTCTGTTCTGGAGCGGCTTGGGCTCTTTGCTCCTCTGGGCACGCCTGTACACGTGGCAACTGCTGATTGCGCCACGTTGCTGATCTGCCTTCGTGCTTATTTCTGCTTTGAGGCATTTCCAAACGTGCAGCAGCAGGAACAGAGTCAGCAGGGGCAGCATAATACACAAGCACATCAAGCCAGTCAGCAAGGGAGACAGGTCTCAGTTGCACAGGGAGCAGCAGCCACAGTCCCCCTGCTCTCCGCCCCTCCTTCTCGTGATCTCCATCTCAGCGCTAAGGGCTCCAAATCCTTCCATTTCCCTCCTCCGCCTCCTGCTGCCAGTGCTGCTGCTGGTGGTTCTGCAGTTGACGCTGCTATTGCAGCAACAGCAGCTGGAGCAGCTCCGGCATCCGAACCAGTTGCCGAACCTGCAGGCTCGGCAGCAGGGGCAACCAGCACTCCACCCCCAGTCATCTCCTGGTCCCACGAAAAATACCCCCTTATAGGCTTCTTCGGCTGGGTGTCTTTTTTCAAGCGCCTGCTCATCCTACACTGTCCCACCGCCCTCCCCTGCGCGGCGTTTTTCGCTGCTCTGTATCCTGTCAGCGCGATAGGATTTGGGTTTCTGCTGCTGGCGGTGCTGGGGTGTGTGAGGCTGAGGGCTGTGAGGGGCACGGCGCCGAGATGGATGTTCTTATATGGAGGGGCGGCGCTGGTGGTGGAGTTTGGGTTCCAGGTGGTGGTGGCACAGTGGGGGCTGGCGGCATGGGTGGACCAGCACAGCGCGATTCTGCAGGTGAGGGGCCGTGACTTTGGGGTTTATGTTTGTAGAGCTCTCAGGGTTTACGGGCAAGAGGTTGAGGCCTGGAGTTTGGGTTCCAGGTGGTGGTGGCGCAGTGGGGGCTGGCGGCCTGGGTGGAGCAGCACAGTGCTATTCTGCTGGTGGATGGTTGGGTCGCAAGGATTGTGGGGTATACGGTGTGTAACAATGTTTTGTGGATGGCAGCACAGTTGGCACTGTATGAATGATTTTGTAGCACCTCAATCTGTTCCTTTCTCTCTCACACCTCACTCCCCATCTCCTCTTGTGCAGTGACTAGGCCTTGGCTTGTAAAAAGACAAAACCATTGTTGCTGCAGCAAGTTTGCATACCCTCAGAAATGATTTTCCCATCCCCCATGCCGCATCTCCTCTTGTGCAGTGGCTGGGCTTATTCCTATACGAAGACACTGCTATTAGTTGCACTGTGGCTCTATTCCGAAGCACCTTAAACTCGTCGTTTTTCTTGCCTCATGCCTCATCTCCTCTTGTGCAGTGGCTGGGCCTTGTCTTATATGAAGACACCGCTATTAGCACTGTAGCAGGGGGGCGAATGTGGGCTTTAACATCCGGGTGTACTGCCAAATCGGTGCTCCTAGCTGCTTGCCTGCTCCACCATGCCTCCTGCCACTGGCTCGCCGAGCTTCCTCCGGAGCTTCGGGCCGACCTTAAGGGCGAGCTGTGCATGCTGTTTGTGCCTGCCGAAGCTGTGGCTGCGGCTCGGCATGCTGCTTCGGTGCATGCAGAGGAAATGACGGTGAGAGGGGGAGAGGAGGGAGGATTAGGGAGGGGAGTGGGAGGGGGAGGAGGAGAGGTGGGAGGAGGAGGAGGAGGAGGAGGAGGAGGAGGAGGAGGAGGAGGAGGAGGAGGAGGAGGAGGAGGAGGAGGAGGAGGAGGAAGGGGAGGAGGGGGAGGAGGAGACAGCTCAGAGAAGGACGCACAGAAGGATTTTACCCCTCCTCAAAGCCAGATTGGGAGAGGCGAGGGAGGAGGTGGAGGAGGAGGGGGGTCAAACTTAAAGCGAGCATACAAGCTGATAAGTTTCCGGTCGTGGAGTGTAGGGGACTTGGAGAAACGAGCACGAGGTGCTGCTGATGCCTCCTCCTCTTCCTCGATCTCCTCCTCCGTTTTCTCTCTCGGAGGGTCATGGAGGCGAGGGGAGAAGGCAGTGAGTGGTGCTTTGCTGGAACGGCAGGAGGAGGAGGCTCACGTTCAGGCATGTAGCGTGGAAGAGAGGGAAGAGGAGGGTGAGGGTGAGGGGGAGGGGGAGGGGAAGAGTGGGAAGGGGAAGACAGAGGAAGGGAAAAATGGCAGGGGCACAGGGGGGATTGATAAGATTGGATCTGCACATGATGATATGATTGCAGATGGGTTCTTTGATGGATATGATGATTATTTTGATGAGGAGGATGAATATGATGAGGAGGATGAGGAGGAGGACCAATCAGAGGAGGCGCGGCGGTACCGGCAGCAGCTGCGGTCGATGTGGGCAGCGGTGCAAAACACAGTGGCACACTTCTTTTCACTCTACGGATTTCATGTAAGCGCCTTGTTCTTATCGCTCCATGAAGTTCAGGTGCGTTCTTTGCCTTGATTTGTGTCGATTTCATGTAAGCACCATCACTTTCCTCAAAGGAGTTCACATAAGCTCCTTTTCTTGCTCTATGGAGTTGAGGTGCGGGAACGTGCCTTGACAGTTTGTTTGTGCCAATTCTTGTGAGTCAACTCAACAATCTATGTGAGCATCAGTGCAGAACTGAGCAGCACACTTCTTTTCACTGTATCTGTATGGATTCCATGTAAACTCCTTTGTTCTCACTCTATGGAGTTCTTCACTTAAGCGCCTTCTTTTCGCTCTAGAACATTGTCTCGCTGCTCTGTACCCCTCTGTTTATCAAAACCCCTCCCACGCCATCCCGTTCCCCTCCCATTCCCTGCAGGTGGTCGTGCTGTACCTACTGGTTGCCAGTTTCGCAGTCAAGAACATTGTCTCGCTGCTCTGTACCCCTCTGTTTATCAAAACCCCTCCCACGCCATCCCGTTCCCCTCCCATTCCCTGCAGGTGGCCGTGCTGTACCTACTGGTTGCCAGTTTCGCAGTCAAGAACATTGTCTCGCTGCTCTGTACCCCTCTGTTTATCAAAACCCCTCCCACGCCATCCCGTTCCCCTCCCATTCCCTGCAGGTGGTCGTGCTGTACCTACTGGTTGCCAGTTTCGCAGTCAAGAACATTGTCTCGCTGCTCTGTACCCCTCTGTTGATCAAAACCCCTCCCACGCCATCCCGTTCCCCTCCCATTCCCTGCAGGTGGTCGTGCTGTACCTACTGGTTGCCAGTTTCGCAGTCAAGAACATTGTCTCGCTGCTCTGTACCCCTCTGTTTATCAAAACCCCTCCCACGCCATCCCGTTCCCCTCCCATTCCCTGCAGGTGGTCGTGCTGTACCTACTGGTTGCCAGTTTCGCAGTCAAGAACATTGTCTCGCTGCTCTGTACCCCTCTGTTTATCAAAACCCCTCCCACGCCATCCCGTTCCCCTCCCATTCCCTGCAGGTGGTCGTGCTGTACCTACTGGTTGCCAGTTTCGCAGTCAAGAACATTGTCTCGCTGCTCTGTACCCCTCTGTTTATCAAAACCCCTCCCACGCCATCCCGTTCCCCTCCCATTCCCTGCAGGTGGTCGTGCTGTACCTACTGGTTGCCAGTTTCGCAGTCAAGAACATTGTCTCGCTGCTCTTTACCCCTCCCGTGCCATTCCTTGCCCTTCCCGCTCCCCTCAGGTGGCGGTGCTCTTCCTGCTGGTCGACTCGCCAGTTGCGCAGTCAAGAACATTGTCTTGCTGCTCTTTGTGTTCCTTCTGAATGAAAGACCCTCCTATGCCATCCCACCCCCCTCCCCTCAGGTGGTGGTTCTCTTCCTGCTGGTTGCCAGTTTCGCAGTCAAGAACATTGTCTCGCTGCTCTTTACCCCTCCCGTGCCATTCCTTGCCCTTCCCGCTCCCCTCAGGTGGCGGTGCTCTTCCTGCTGGTCGACTCGCCAGTTGCGCAGTCAAGAACATTGTCTTGCTGCTCTTTGTGTTCCTTCTGAATGAAAGACCCTCCTATGCCATCCCACCCCCCTCCCCTCAGGTGGTGGTTCTCTTCCTGCTGGTTGCCAGTTTCGCAGTCAAGAACATTGTCTCGCTGCTCTTTACCCCTCCCGTGCCATTCCTTGCCCTTCCCGCTCCCCTCAGGTGGCGGTGCTCTTCCTGCTGGTCGACTCGCCAGTTGCGCAGTCAAGAACATTGTCTTGCTGCTCTTTGTGTTCCTTCTGAATGAAAGACCCTCCTATGCCATCCCACCCCCCTCCCCTCAGGTGGTGGTTCTCTTCCTGCTGGTTGCCAGTTTCGCAGTCAAGAACATTGTCTCGCTGCTCTACACATCCATCGTCGGCCTCTGCATCGCTCTCCCTCCCCGCCTCGTCCGTCTGCTCTGGCCGCTCCTTACAGTCACCTTCGCTGCAATCACCCTCTGGCAGTACTACATGCTCGCCGGCCCCCCTCCCTTCCACCACCCCCCGCTTGCACCCCCTCCCTCACACACCCCTCCTGCATCCCCTACCTTTCACTACCGGACTGGTCCCCCACCTCCTTTTCATTACCCTTCCGGACTCTCTCCCTCGCACACACCTGGATCGCTACTGAATCCACAGTCGCCTCAAGACAGGCAGCGTTTTCTTCTGAGCGTGTTCCTCCCACCACACCCTCATCCTAGCTCGCTCTCGCTCTCCTTCCCTCCGCAAACGCACCCAAGCTCTCCCTTAAACCCGCCTGCCTATTTCCCTAACGGGCTCAGCGAAAACTCTCTTTGGCATTCAGCGGAGGTTAGCAACGTGAGCGGAGGAGGGCTATTCAGCAACATCAACAGGCGGCCGCACCCACCCAAGACGCACAGCCGCAACTGCCAGGACTGCTGGCGCAGCACAGATTCCAAGGACCCCACCTGCTGGGACTGCTGGCTCGGTGAGTGCGGTTGGGTGAGGTGAGCTGCGATTGGGTTGGTGTTCAATGTCGACAGGCGGCCCCACCCGCCCAAGACACACAGCCGCAACTGTCAGGACTGCTGGCTCAGCACGGACTCACAGGACCCCACCTGCTGGGACTGCTGGCTCGGTGAGTTGATCTGCGGTTGGGCTGGGTGTGTATGCTTAAGTGATGGGTGCTCTTGAATTGCTGGTGAGGTGGTTGGGTGAGTTGAGTTGATTGAAGCTGCTGGCTCAGCACTGACTCGAAGGAACCACCGACTTGCACCCCTTGCACCCCTGCACCCCTGGCTCAGCACTGACTCGAAGGAACCTATGTGTGTTCTGAAGGGTCCTGGATAAGAGACGACTTTTGAGGCGCCTCAAAAGTCGAACCTATGTGTGTTGTGGCTGGCTGAGGTGTTGACCTATGGTCATCATGCCTGCATCCTTTTCACCTCTTGCACCACTTGCACCTCTCTTCATCCCTCCCCTCACCCTCGCCACATTTTGCACCTTTATCACCTCTTACACCTCGCCTCATCCCTTCTCCCCTACCTCCCTTTGCTGGCAGGTGGCATTGTTGACGACCGTCGGATCCTCTGCGCCTACTTCATCGTCTTCCTCCTCTCCTGTCTCCTCCTCTCCCCTTCCTCCTCCTCCGCATCCACCACCTCCGACTCCTCTTCCTCCTCTGCCCATCCAAACCCATCATTCCCGCTCGACACCACACCGCACCTCACCCGATGGACCTCCCTCCCTCCGCCACCCCTCCCTCCACTCTCAACCCCCCGCTCCCCCCACCATCCCCACCCCTCCTTCCCTCCTCCCCCTTCCCTCCATCCCTCCTCCTCCCCCTCCCCCTCCTCCCCACACCCTCCCGCCTCCCCCTGGCACGATCTCTCAGAAGGGCCCTCACCCAGCTGGACCTTTCTGGACCACTGGCGATTCCTCTACTACAAATACCTCCTTTGGATTGTCCTCATACTAGTCTTCGCCACAGGAACCCTCCAATACGACCTCCTACACTGCGGCTACCTTGCCCTCTCCTTACTCAGCACGCGAAAACACGCGGCGATTCTCCGAGGGCAGACCACTGTCCTGAATTACCTCCGAGCATACAACTTCCTGCTGATCACCGCTTCCCTGGTCTACCAGTGCCCGTATTTCCCGTACCTGCCCGCGCTGTCATGCAACCCGTTTAGTATTGTCGGGCTGTATAAGTATGACTACGGGCTGAGGATGGACACGAGGAGTGCGGTGGTGGATCTGACCATGTTTGTGCTCATCACCCTCTTGGCTCACAGCCTTAAGTCGGAGCTCTTCCAGCAAGTGCTGCTCTTCACCACCAAGCAGGAGGTGAGTCAACCAACCTGCGTGGGTGGACTATACATGGGTAGGCACGTAGGTGCACCAGGGGAGTGCAGTGCGTGTTAGAAATAGGCGGTCAACACTTTGCGTACTATATTCTATATCGTGTAGGTTATTTGCTGGTTGGGTGTAGTTTGTAATCCCAACCCTATCTGGTTGGGATTCCCTCGTAATCCTGCAAATGTGCCAACTCACCAATTGGAGATTTGCTAGGATTCCCTTCCCATCCTTTCCCTAGCTTTGCCCAACCCAACCTCATTTGTACTTTTAGGCCTAGTGCCTTCTCTATTGATTAATCAGTTCAGCTCCATTTCTATCATGGTATCAGAGCTAGTAAATTCCGCTCACGCGGAATTCGATCCTTGGCGTCGTAATGGTTCTCTTCAGTTCTTCGATACAGTGCTCAAAGACCAAACCGCATTTGTTCCCTACCAGGCCCCCGCCACACCCGAAGAGCAGATTCTAGTTTCTCCATCCAATGCCATGGGTCCTCCACAGTTCCTTGTCTAGCATTCCCATCCAGCAGAGTCACTGGCATCTGTGCCCCGACCGTCCGCTATAACCTCCTTGCACAGCGTGAAATCCAACACGCATGAGTGATCACCATCCTTTCCAATGATGCCGACTACTGTGACCTCTTTGATGCCAAAACCGGCATTCATCTAGCCCGCTTCACCCTCAACTCCAACAATCTCTACACGCTCGTTGTACCTTTCATCCAAACGTGCTCACTCACCCAACTTCCACTACCTTCCTCACACTCCTCCACCTGTCACTGCCGTCTCCTTTCCGACAAAACCATGCTCTTTCATCACCGCCTCGGCCACATCAACTTCCGCGCGCTTTCTGACCTTGCCACAAAACAACTCCTCCACGGACTTCCAGCCTCACTTCCCTCTCCTACCTCCAAATTCGGGCTGCCTTGCCTTGACTGTGCACAGAGCAAGATTCGTGAACAGCCCCGTCCCCCCACTGAGTCCATCTCAACTGCTCTTGATCGCATGCACATGGATCTTTGGGGTCCAGCTCCTCTTCGTTCTCGTGGCGGACACTTCTACTTCCTTGTCATTATTGATGACTATTCTCGCTATGTGTCTGTCCACCTCCTCTCCTCCAAGTCTGAAGCCCAAGCCGTCATCGTTGAATGGGCGAATAAGGCTCATAAACACTTCAAAACCGCCATCAAGTTTCTTCACTCTGACGGTGGCGGTGAATTCCGCAACAACACTCTCAAAGCCTTCTGTTCCACTGAGGGTATCCGTCAGACCTTCACTCTCCCGGACAGTCCCCACAGAACGGTCTTGCTGATAGTCAGAATCGCATCTTAGTGCAGATTGCTCGCTTCCTCCTCACTCACGCCTCTGCCCCTCCCTCTCTTTGGGGGTACGCCATGCTCCACGCTGCCGCCCTCCACAATCTCCATGCTCATCCTCATCACACCCACACTACCCCCGCTGAGCTGTGGACGGGTCAAAAGCCGTCCGTCCGCCCTCTACGTCTATGGGGGTGCACTTCCTATGTCATCAACTCCCAAGCCTGTCATGTAGCTGGCGGCAAGCTTGCTCCCAAAACAATCACGTGCGTATACCTCGGGCACAACTCAGATTCGCCAGACCATCTCTTCCTCCATCCTTCCACCAACAAACTTTACCGCAGCCGGGACGTGTTTTTTGATGAGTCTCACCCTTTCTATCCCTCTTCCAAGACTTCCCCCTCTCCTCCACCTCCTTCTCTCACTTGGGCTGACTTTGACAGTCTTCCTCCTCCCGCCACTCCATCTCCTCCTCTTCCTGCTCCCTCCACCGTCTCTGATCCGCCACCACCCACTTCCCCCTCCAGCACCACGCAGTCTCCTCCGCTCCTTCCCTCCATCCCCCCCCTCCCCCACTCGCTCCCCCACTCGCTCCCCCACTCGCTCCCCCACTCGCTCCCCCTCCTTCCTCTCCTCCTGCTCTGGCTCCTGATCCTGATTCCACTCCTCCTTCCGAGCCTCCTCGTCTCAGAACCTATCACCGCCGTCCTCCTGCTCCTACTCCAGCTCGTGATCCTGCTCTTGCTCCCACTCCCACTTCACCTACCGCTACTCCTCCAGCTCCGCCTCCCTCCCCCATCGCTTCTCGCACCCGCTCTCATAAACCTACACAACCGCTCTCCCTTTCTGTTCGTGTCTCTCTCTATCCTTCTCTTGTCGGGGGTGATTATTCTCTCATGCCCTCCCTCCTTGAAGACAGACATGAGGAGTTGATTGATATCGACTCAGCCATCCACGCGCCCTGCTTCCTCTTTCCAGTCATCGCAGACTCTCCCACCCTCAATTTCTCCGACAACCCCTCCATCCCCACACCTCTCACCTATGCTGAAGCAATCTCTGGTCCTCACGCCGCTCAGTGGTTGGGCCATTGTCGCAGAATGTGAGGCCTTCATTCACACAGGAACTTTCACAGATGTATCTCCTCCCTCCGACGTAAACATTGTGAAGGGAAAATATGTTTTTCAGGTGAAACAACTTCCAGACGAATTTCGTGTCTTCAAAGCCCGGTACTGTGCCAAGGGATTTACCCAAAAGCATGGACTGGACTTCTTTGAGACATTCTCTCCCACCGCCAAAACCTCCCACACTACGCACCCTTCTCGACGTTGCTGCTCGAGATGACATGGAGGTTGACTGCATGGATGTGTCTTCTGCGTTTCTGCAAGGGATCCTTTGAGAGGAAATCTATATGGAGCGGCCCGAAAGATTTCCAGCTTCTTTTCCACCAGGCATTGTATGGAAGCTGAATCGGCCAATGTATGGCCTCAAGCAAGCACCCCGGGAATGGCACAACAAGCTAAAGAGAACCTTAAGGTCCCTCGACTTTCACCCATCCACCTCTGACCCCAGCCTCTTCATCCGAGCAACACCATCCTGCTTTTTCATCCTGGTTTATGTCGATGACATGATCCTTGTCACCAAGGATCAAACTGAGTTGGCATCAGTCAAAACCGCACTTGGTGAGAAGCGGGCGATGAAGGACCTTGGAAATCTGATGGATTATCTGGGCATGGAAATTACACGTGATCGCACGGCCCGCACCATCACCCTCTCACAGAAGTTTTACATCAACAACGTTCTGACAAGGTTCAAGATGCAAGAAGCAGCATCAATGCCTACCCCACTCTCTCTGCAGCACCAACTCACTGCACCCTCTGTTCCCTCACCTGAGCCCTGTGATGAGCCTTTCCCCAAGCTCGTTGGATCCCTCATGTGCGCGATGATGTGCACTCAGTCAGACTTGACCTATCCAGTTAGTGTACTGTCCCGCTACGTTGCACCTGGTCGCTTCACTCGCCACCACTTGTTTGCCGCCAAGCGGGTTCTTCGCTATCTCAAAGGCACACAGAGTTATGTGCTCACACTTGGCGGCTCTTCGCTTGTTCGCCTTGAGGGGTACAGTGACGCATCCTATGCTGATGACCAGAGTGATCGGCGCGGTTCCCAAGGGTATTGCTTTACCCTTGGCAGTGGGGTTGTAAGTTGGCACTCCACTCGGTCGTCCTCAGTCTCACTGTCAACCTGTGAGGCAGAGCTGTATGCCGGGACCATGGGTGCCTAGGAGGCTCGTTGGCTCTCCTTCCTGCTGACAGAACTGGGGTATCCCCAACCAACCCCAACGCTTTGGTGTGACAACGAGAGCACCATTCATCTCACCAAGGACCCCGTTTTCGACGGCCGCAACAAGCACATTGAAGTCCGTCACTACTTTCTTCGTGAGCTGGTGCAGCGCGAGCAGCTGAAGGCTGAACACATTGCCTCCGACTGCAACCTTGCTGACTTGTTTACCAAGTCGCTTGTTCGCCAGGACCATTACCGCCTCCTCTCGGCCATGGGTGTTGGGCCTCCTTGTGGCTGATGTGTTGCAGCCTAGGGGGTGTGTTAGAAATAGGCTGTCAACACTTTGTGTACTATATTCTATATCGCGTAAGTTATTTGCGGTTTGGGTGTAGTTCGTAATCCCAACCCTATCTGGTTGGGATTCCCTCGTAATCCTGCAAATCTGCCAACTCACCAATTGGAGATTTGCTAGGATTCCCTTCCCATCCTTTCCCTAGCTTTGCCCAACCCAACCTCATTTGTACTTAAAGCCTAGTGCCTTCTCTACTAATTAATCAGTTCAGCTCCATTTCTATTAGTGCGGTGGTGCTGGTGGCGGGTGGGTGGATCTGACCATGTTTGTGCTCATCACCCTCTTGGCTCACAGCCTCCGATCCGAGCTCTTCCAGCAAATTCTGCTCTTCACCTCCAAGCAGGAGGTGAGGCACCAGGGCATGGGAGAGGGAAAGGGGGAGATGGATATGGGAGGGGAGGGATAGAGGAAGGGGTCGACGGGCGAACCAGATGAGCGCAGTGCGGTGGTGGGTGTAATGTAAGCATGTTTGTGCCACAGGAGTGGGAACGACAGCGGGCAGTGAAGGTGGTGACGTGGCAGAGGGAGCATCCGCGGCAGCTCAACACCCTTGTGTCTCTCTATTCTACTCCCCCCCCCTCCCCTCCCCTCTAACAGGAGCGGGACAGGCAGTGAGCAGCAGAGATGGCAGCGGCATGGCAGGGGGAGCATCTGCGGCAGCTGCAGAGAGTGTTGCCACCACCCTCCCCCCTCTCCTTCCCTAAAAACAGGAGCGGGACAGGCAGAGAGCGTTTGAGATGGTGGCAGCGTGGCAGCGGGAGCATCTGCGGCAGCTACAGCAGGCGGAGGAGAGGCGGCGGCAGCGCAGCGAGGAGGTGCAGCGCATGAAGGACGGCATGCGCCGCCTCCACTCCCACCTCGCCCTCCTCAACTTCCCTCAGTCTGATAGCCCTGGGGGAAGAGGTGGGGTAGCTGGGCCTGGGGCGGGTAGGCTGGCGCAGCAGCATCAGCAGCAGCTGCTGCAACTGATGCTTGCACGGGGGAGGGTAGGAGGAGGGGGAGGAGGGGAGAGGGGAGAGGGAGGAGCAGGAGGAGGGCGGGGGGGGGTGCAGGGGAGTGGATGGCAGGATCTGTCTTGTGATTCGTCAGAAGCTGCAGTTGTTAGGAATGAGGTCCAGAGTGGTGCAGATGGTGCTGGTTACGGTGGTGGTGGTGCTGCTGCAGCTGAGTTTGCCACTACCACCACCACCACTGCTCGTGCCACATACCACCTCCCCCAGTCAACCCCCTCACGCGCAGCAGGTCAACCCCCTCCCACTGCCCTTCTCCCTCCCCCTGCACTCTCCTCTCCTCACCCCATACCATCCAGTACCTTATCCACTCCGTCGCCCTCCCCCACCTATTACCTTCCTCCGCTCTACCCCCCTCCTTCCACCGCCTCCTCACCAGCTGTACCTCCCCCAGCTGGCCCCTCCCCCGTGGGTCCTGTGCTGTCTGACAGTACAGAATCCCCCATGCTCCCCCCTGCTTGTACTGGTCCTTCTTATAACGCGGTTATGGAGAGGGCTAGGGCTGCTGCTGGGAAGGGATTGGTTGGTAGGGAAGGGGAGTTGTGGGGAGGAGGAGAAGCGGGAGGGAGAGTTGAGGGGGTGGCAACAGCACCCCCTTCATTCTCCCCAGATTCAGGAGCAGCAACAGTCACAGGAGTGGCAGCAGCAGCAGCAGCAGTGCCACCAGGAATGTCAGTAGCAGTGGCAATACCATCATCATCATCATCACCCTCAGTAGCAGTACCATCAGCAAGAGAGATAAGGTCACGGGGATCATCCCTCTCCTCCCCTCCCTCCTCCTCTGCTCCCGGCGCTTCCTCCACCCACCCTCCCAGCACGGTCGGCACAGGCGCCGCTAGCAGCCGATGGAAGCGGGCGGCAGGGGGCCTGGTTGGGCGGCGGAGCGGACGGCTGATTCCGGCTGGTATGCAGCAGATGATCGGCCAGGGGGTGGCTCAGGTGCAATCCATGGTGATTGCGGGGTTAGAGGATCTGCTGGGTTTGGATTCGGAAGGAGCGGAGATTGGTGGAGCGGGGTTGAGTGCGGTGAGAAGTGATGGAGGTGGTGGCGGGGCAAGCAGGCTCGGGTTGAGCGTGGTGGAGAGCGGTGGGATGGGAGTCACAGGTGTGGGGAGTGAAGGGTTGAGCAGCTCTGGTGGTGGTCTTTATGAGGGTAGCCTGGGTAGGCTAGATGGGGGGAGTGTTGGCGTTTCAAGTGTGGGTGTTGTTTCGAATGCCAGGCCGCGCAGCAGTAGCTGCAATTGGCCTGATCCCTCTTCTAGTGAGGGGACTCAAACTCCGGTGGGTGATTCTGACTCACAATCTCAGCGGCTGGAAGGTGAGAGTGCGGGGGTCGTTGCAAGTGCCAGGCCGCGCAGCAGTAGCTGCAATTGGCCCGATCCCTCTTCTAGTGAGGGGAAGGAGGGAGGGCTAGACTGTTTGAGTGCAGCACAGAGCTCTGATATCCTCCTTATAAGCAGTGAGGTGGATGTGTCAGCAGTGGCTGATGCGCTAACAGCTGTGCTAGAAGAAGGACCAGACACTTCGAGTGCAGTGCAGAGCCCTGATATCTTCCCAGAAACACGCCCTGCCAGCAGTGAGGTGGATGTGTCAGCTGTTGCCGATGCGCTGCCAGCTGTGCTAGAAGAAGGATCGGGCCAATCAGACGCCAGTGCTGTTCGGAGGGACGTTTTGGGGAAGGAGATTGTAGAGGAGGGGGCGGTGACGGGTGATGGCGGTGTGGGAGCATCAGGGTTTGCAGGAGAGCGAATGGGAGCAGGAGAGCGAGTGGAAAAGAGGGGGTTGAGTGCTTCTGAGGCTGCTGCTGCTGCTGCTTCCATAGCAGCAGGAGGAGGGTTTCAGCCAGCAGCAGCACCGTCTGCTTTTGAGAATTCTGACAAGCCATTGAGTGCACCAGAGGCTGCTGCTGCTGCCATAGCAGCAGGAGGAGGCTTCCTGGAAGCTGCAGAAGCAGCTGCAGCTGCTGTGTTGAGTCGGCACGGGTTGAGCGTAACAGCAGGAGAGGGGAAGGGGCCAAGGGGGAGGGATTGGGGGAGCGGATTTGGAGGAGGGGGAGTTGCAATGGGGGAAGCGATGGGTCAAGGCATGGGAGGAGAACGGACAGGAGAATGGATGGTCGAAAGGACAGGTGTAACAGCTGCAGCAGCAGAAGGACCAGCGGTTGGTAACAATGTAACCACCACCTCCCTTCCCTTCTCCTCCTCCTCCGCCCCCACCACCACTCCCATTGCCGCCACCTTTCCTCCTCCCTCTCCCTCCTCCCCCTCCCGCCCCCGGGCCTTCTCCCGGCTGCGATGGCTCCTCCACGCCAACAGCGATGTGGTAACCGGCGCGTTCATGGTAACCGCGTTCTGCTGGAACCTCTCTCTCTCCACCCTCGTGTTCCCGCTCGCGCTCTTCCTGTACGCGCTCGTGTCGAACCCGTCTCCCGGGCCGAGGTTCTGGAGGGGACTGCTGGTTTACTCTGAGGTGCTGATCGCATTGGAGTATTTGTATCAGATCCCCACGCATGATGGGTGTACGAGCCGGGCCGGGGGGAATGGGGCGGGAGGGAGCGGGAAAAAGGGAGGGGGCGGCGGAGGGGGTGGTGGAGCAGGAGGAGGAGGAGGAGGGGGAGGGGGAGGGTTTGCTGGGTGGATAGGGGCTGGGTTCGGTATGGAGGGGTGGGATCGGTTGTTTGCTCTGTTGGGCGTCCGGCCCTACCCGAGCTGGTTCGTGTGGAACGTACTTCCTCTCTTTGCGGTCTACCTCGCTCTGCTTGTTCAGACCGCCATCTGCCAGCGAAACAGCCAGTCTAGGAGTGCTAAGGAGTCTATGGTTTCTGCGGAGGCTAGAAGCTCTGTGAGGCTTGCCAGACCAGAGGAGGAGGAAGAGGATGATGTCAGGTTCGGAAGTGACCGAGGCTCAGATGGTGGCTCAGGCCGAGCTGAACAGGGAGAGGTTGGTGGTTTCTGGGGTTGGTTGAAGGGAGCTGCGAGGGTGGTTGGTCGGCTGGTTGGGGTCAGCCAGGCTGTTCACGTGCACGCTTGCGTGGACTGCGATGCTGACGTGGACGATGCTGACAGGGATCATGATGCTGACGTGGAGGCAGCTTCGCCTCTGCTGGGACACAGCACGCGTGCATCCACGTTCCCGCAGTCATCCTTCCAAACAGCCTCCCACTCGCCTCGTCAAGCCCATGCACCAGCCTTCGCTCTCACATCTCGCAACGGCCACGCAGCAGAGGGCAGCAGCTCAAGACACAAATACCGCAGCAGCAGCAGCAGCAGCAGCAGGAGCAGGAGCAGCAGGAGCAGCGGAAGCAGCTGCAGCAGCAGCAGTAGGAGCAGTGGGAGCAGCAGCAGCAGCAATAGGAGTAGTAGCAGCGGGGAAGGAACGTCTACTCCACCGTTTTCGTTTCAGTGGGTGTGGGGGGGACTGTCGTTTAGATGCGTAGGAGTATGGAGGAGTTTAATTAGGTTCTTAAGAGCTACTATGGAGGGGTCTGAAGCGCCTCCCTACTTTGTGCAGGTTGTGCTTCGCAGCCCGGACGGGTGGACGGCCAATCAGATGCTTCCAGGTGTCATCGAGGGAGCGTTCAACTTTTTGCTAGCGCATGCTGATGGCGTGGCAGCACCTGCTGATGTGGCAGTGCCTGCTGACGTGGCATTGCCTGCTGATGTGGCAGGAGCTACACAGAGAAGAGGAGGCCACGGTGGAGGTGGTTCAAGAAAGCATGTGCGTTTCGAGGAGGACGAAGCAGCAGTGACTGAAACGCAGCAGCACCACCAGCAGCATTATCAGCAGCAGCAGCAGCAGCAGCAACAGCCGCATTATCATCAGCAGCAGCAGCAGCAGCAGCAGCAGCAGCAGCCGCATTATCAGCATGAGACTCAACAGTGGTCTCAGCATGAGCAGCTGCAAGAGCAGCATGCACTGGTGTTGCATTCATGCGACTATCCCCTGTGCGTGCGAGTGCACAGCGTGCAATGCGCTGGCTCTCTCAACACTTCCTCACTCAACAGCACCGCACTCAACACCTCCGCTTCTGCGGCAGTCAACGCACATGCTGCTTCTTCTGCTGCTGGTGCGCCTGAAAGTGAAGCCCACCCTTCCTCCTCTCCTCACGCTCCTCCTCAGTCTCCTACTCACTCGCATCCCCACTCGCAACTCCCTGTTACTGACACTCTAGTAGTGGTCCTTGAGGTAGTTACCACCAGCAACACTGCCACCACCAGTTCCCCTGCTTCTGTCTCTGCCTCCCCTCCTGCCGGATCGGGCTCCCCCTCCGCCTCCTCGACAACCCAGCACGTCTCCTCTCAGCCGCACATGTGGAATGACACGTGGCAGTCCCTCACGCCATCGGCTGACGTGGCAAAGAGGCTTGGGAGGTTCATGAGCGGGGGAAGGCCGGGGAGTGGGGGAGAGGGAGGGGAGGGCAGGGGGGAGGTGGTGAGAGGAGTGGGTGGTGTGGGTGGGCGAGGGAGTAATTTTACAGCTGCTGCTGCTAGTGGCATCCTGGGAAGGGTGTTTGGGTCGCGCCGTGTGCAACTCGCCTCAGTTGTTGCAGGTACAGTGTGTGCTCTCAATCTCAACTCAATAAGCACGCGATTGTCACTCAGTCAGCATTTAATGAGCCGATTATTCAGGCGCCTGAAAAAGTGCCATGTGCAGCAACTCATGCAGTGCTCAATCAGCAATCGTTCAGCACACGATCAGCATTCTCGCCTGCTTCTGCGTGGGCCACTTAACCTTCGCCAGTCCGATCCTTCCAAATTAGTTCTGGTCCGGCCCCCAACCTTCCTCCCAGGAGGTCGCAGGGAGATAGACTGCACCCCCACATCTTCTGCATCGACATCCTCGCTTTCTTCTATGGGGGGCTCTTCTACCAGTCGGCCGTCCATGCAGTGGCCCACTAACAAATGTTACCCTTTCTTCTCCTCTGTTTCCTATTCCCTTCCCATCATCCCAGGAGGCAGAAGGGAGATAGACCTATACCCCTACATCTTCTGTATCGACATACTCGCTTTCTTCTATGTCGGGCTCTTCTACCAGTCGGCCGTGCGAGACAGGTCGCCCTTTGAGGAGGTCATTCACACGGGGGACCAGTTCCCCTCCACCTACGTTGCGGTTCTCATGGTACGTACGATCCGTAGCAGAATGGCCTAGGGGTTTGGACAACGGTATGCCATGTCATGGTAAGTGCTGTTTTTCATACCAAACCCCAAACCCAAATCCCCATCCCCCCATTCCCCCGTTCCCCATCCCCCCTACAAGCAGACGCAATTCTTCCTCATAGTCACCAACCGCATTCTCTACCTGGTCTTCAGCGCACCCCTGCTTCCCCCCTCCCCCCTCTCCACTCCCCACCCCCCCCCGTCCCCCATCCCCCCTACAAGCAGACGCAGTTCTTCCTCATAGTCACCAACCGCATCCTCTATCTGGTCTTCTCCGCCCCGCTGCGCATCCTCTACCACCTCACCTCGCTCCTCCTGCACCTCGGCTACCCCATGCGCCTCTTCTGGAACGCCAACCTCATCGTCTCCCACAACACCATCCCCTCTCCTTCCCTCCCTTCCCCTTCCCTTCGCTCCCGTTCTCTCCCATCTCCTGCACTCCCCTCCCTTTCCCACCTTCTCCTCTCCCTCTCCCTGCCTTCCACTCAATCCCTGTTCCTTTTCCCCCTCCCGCCTTCCCCATCCCCCATCCCCCCCCCACTATACCCCATCCCCCCTACAAGCAGACGCAGTTCTTCCTCATAGTCACCAACCGCATCCTCTATCTGGTCTTCTCCGCCCCGCTGCGCATCCTCTACCACCTCACCTCACTCCTCCTGCACCTCGGCTACCCCATGCGCCTCTTCTGGAACGCCAACCTCATCGCCTCCCACAACACCATCCGGGCTTACCTCGCCATCAAGTCCATCTCCCTCGCGCTCTCTGCGCTGCAGCTGAAGCACGGTCCGCCAGGGCCGGCGAGCAAGGCGACGCCGTTTCTGACAAGGAGGGCCACGTGGCTGAGGTGGCAGCTGTTCCGGGTTTACCGCATGCTGCCGTTTCTCTACGAGCTGCATCTGATTCTCGACTGGTGGTGCACCAAAACAACTCTGCCTCTCTATGATTGGCTCAAGGTATGATCTTGGACAGATGATAGTGCTGTCAGCGTCGAGGCAGTTGTTCCGGGTTTACTGTATGCTGCTGTTTCTCTACGAGCTGCATCTGATTCTCGACTGGTGGTGCACCAAAACGACTCTTCCTCTCTACGACTGGCTCAAGGTACGCTGCTCGCTAGCAACACTGTACTGTGACTGGGCATGCTGTTAGCAATGCAATGCTGTGCTTGCGGAGATAGCTAACACAACAAGAGCTTGACTACAAGAAAGGCATAAGGTGTTGGGTGATCTCTGCGTTCCTTAGTTGTTTGCTCGTGTTCACACTACTTGCGCATTGATGGGGAATTTTGGCAAGAGTTTCACTAGCAAAGATTGACAACAATGGTCCACAATACAAAGCAACAATGGATTACACCAGATGCTAGCAAGCATGCAGGCCGACTGCCAGCGCAGCACGGTTGACCGCATTCCAGCACTGCAAGGTCGATTGCACTCCAGCAGGGCAAAGTCGCGGTCTGCCAACGCTGCAAGTCGACAGCGTGCCAATGCTGTAGCAAAGCGGCTGAACAGCGTTGCATTTGCATGACAGCAATGCACCTGCTTCGCAGGTGCTCGCAACTGATTGGCGTGCTGTGCCTCGCAGACGCCAAGTTGACCATGTGCCCACGACTGCACCTGATCCTCCATGTCGACCTCGGGATACCACACCGAGGTCGGCTTCGCAAGAATCTTCTGAGCGACTCTCGCGCACCCTGCAGTGCCCATCGCCCGGGTAAGTGAGTCGACCGGGCAACCAGGTTGACGCCACCACGTCAGCGTCTAGGCACCCAGGTCGGCGTCCAGGCGCCCAGGTCAGCGTCAAGGCGCCCAAGTCGGCGTCGAGACGCCCAGGTAGGCGTCCCCATCCTCCCAAGACGACGACTGCTTTGTCGACCCCGGTTGAAGTCGGCCACCGGCGCCCGGCGTCGGTGGCTTCGCAGTGGCCCTCGTGCAGGTCGATCAAGTCGTCGACCTGCGCGCCCAAGTCGGTGTCTGCAGAAGATCGGCTGCACCTCCCGTACACTCGACCACGACATCGGCTCCGCCCAAGCGAGGACGGGGCCAACACACAACTCCCGTTGACAGTGCTCTTAGCGCTGCAGCTCAAGCACGGCCCAGCCGGGGCCTACGAGCAAGGCGACGCCGTTTCTGACCAGGAGGGCCACGTGGCTGCGCTGGCAGCTGTTCTGGGTTTACCGCATGCTGCCGTTTCTCTACAAGCTGCATCTGATTCGCGACTGGTGGTGCACCAAAACGACTTTACCTCTGTACGACTGGCTCGAGGTATGCTACTGCTAGCCTGCTAGGGAGTGATGCATGCTATGCTGTTAGCAATGCAACGCTGTGCTCTCAGCTCTGCAGCTCATGCACGGGCTGGCCGGCCAGGCAAGCAAGGCCACGCCGTTTCTTCTAAGAGCTGCATCTCATTCCCCTGCTTCTTGACTGGTGGTGCACCAAAACCTCTCTGCCTCTTTGCGACTGGCTCAAGGTACGATGCCAACATCAAAAGCCTGTGCCTTGCCCTGTCTGATTGCTAACTCTCTCCTGTCATCTCGAGGCCTCCACTCCTGACTCTACACCTCTACGCCTGCCCTCATCCTTCTGCTTCTCCCTCCTCCTTCCTTCCTCCACTCCCCCCCAACAGTTGGGAGCAAATATACGCCAGTCTCTACCTTGTTACCTGCGATGACTCCTCTTGTTGCCCTGCACCTTGCACTCCCACTCTCCTTTCCCCTCCTCCTTCCATACAGCTGGAAGACATATACGCTGGTTTCTACCTCGTCACTTGCGATCGCAAGATAGCGCGGGCGGGGCACAGGCGACAACACACCCCTGCGCCTTCTCTCCCCATGTCTCTGCCTGTCTGTCACCACTCTCCTCCCCTCCTCATTCTCACAGCTAGAGGACATATACGACAGTCTCTACCTTGTCACCTGCAATCGCAAGATATAAGGCAGCAGGAGCAAGGCTATGCCAGACTGCCTTTTGTGCCCTGCCTACATTGCTCTATCTGTCTTCCACCATCTCCACCCCCCAACAGCTAGAGGACATCTACGCCAGTCTCTACCTCGTCACCTGTGATCGCAAGATAGCGCGTGCCGGGCACAAGCCGGGGCAGCCGCAGGGGTGGGGGGTGAAGCTCATGGGAGGGGCCTTCTTCTTCCTCGCTTTAGTCACAGTCATCTGGGCGCCCATGCTGGTGAGTCTCGTTATTGTCACGTCACAACTGGGAGTGATGTTCCCTGCTCCTCCCTCGCCGTAGTCACAGCCATCTGGGTGCCAATGCTGGGGCGTCTCGTTATTGTCACCTCTTTAGTCACTTTTCGTATATCTGTGATGATATTGCTTCTCACTCTATAGGCACAGCCATCTGGGCGCCGATGCTGGTCATTGTTGTTTTAGTCCCATGCTGTTACAGTCACACACACGGCGATTTTCTCAAGTCACAGTTGATACGGGAGTCGCATTCTTCTTCCTCGCTTTAGTCACAATCATCTGAGCGCCCATGCTGGTGAGTCATGGTATAGTCACACGGCTATTATCACTAGTTGACAGAGCGATTGATGCATCACTAAAATCACAAGCCATCTGAGTTGACTTTTGAGAGGCAAAGGCAATTGATGCGTCGCTATAATCACAGGCCATCTGAGCACCCATGCTGGGGCGTCCGGTTACTGTCCCGTGCTGTTATTGTGACGTCTGGAGTAGTCACACTCTGTACCCCCTTTTTGTTGAGGCGCCTTCAAAAGCGCCTTCAAAAGCGCCTCAAAAGTGCCTCATAAGTAGCCTTAAAAGATGTAGCCGCAGTTGACAACAATACTGCTTACACACTCTGTACCCCCTCTGTCCTCCCCTCTCCTTCACCCCCTCCGCAGATCTACAGACTACATCAGCGGCAGCCCTGCCAATACCCCAATCTGGTGACAGAAGTGCGAGTCAGCCTGGTTCTTCAGACCTTCTCCGGCTCCTTCCCCATCTTTGAAGGAGGGCAGGAGCGCCTGCTGCTAGACCCTCTGCTTAACCTTCCTTCTCGCTTCCCCTTTCCCCCCTCTCTTTCGCCCCCTTTCCTTTTCGCCAACTACCCCAATCTAGTGACAGATGTGCGAGTGAACCTGCTCTAGCTCCTTCCATATCTCTTCCACACCCCCCCTCCTTGTCTGCGCAGATCTACAGCAGCGGCAACCCCGCCAACTACCCCAATCTGGTGACAGACGTGCGAGTCAACCTGGTCCTGCAGACCTGCTCCGGCTCCTTCCCCATCTTTGAGGGCGGGCAAGAGCGCCTGCTGCTGGACCCGCTTCTCAACCCAGGGCCCGCAACCCCCTTCCAGCTCACGGGTGTGGATTCACAGCAGCTGCAGGAGATGCGTTTCCTGGAAGGTTCCTTTACGGATGTTGCAGAGGAAGGTTCCTTTGCTGGCCGTGAGAAGGAAGGTTTGGAGGATGCTAAGGAAGGTTTGCGGGAAGTTGCTAGGGATGCAGTGGAAGGTTCCTGGAACCAGGGTTCCTACAGGGATGAAAGTCGTCGGACACTCACTGAAACTGAATACTCTGGTAGCGGACCGCCTTATACTGGTAGCGGAACTTCTTATACCCCACAGCCTGGGCCTGTGCTTGTACCCTTAACAATCTTACTAGGTGCATTGGACCACGGTTTGGCCGCTGACAGCAATTCTGATGTTCAGTTACCACCAGCAACCACACAGTCTCCCCCTCTTTCCCCCGCCTCTCCGCCCCTCCCTCCGCCCTCTCCTCCCCTCGCTCCTCCCTCTCCCCCACCCCCACCTCTAATCCCCTCCTGGAACGTCTCAGACGATCCTGTACTGAATTCCACGGGGTATTTACCTGTCGATATGCGCCTGGTGTGCGTTTACCCCGACTCCCTCTCCCTCTTTCAGCTGACACCCCCTGCTGAGAGCCGCCTCAGAGAAGCACTTAGAAGGTCGGCCACAGGAGGGGGAGGCGGCAGAAGCACGAGGCGAAGGGTAGGCGGAAAGTATAGACTGAGTGGAGGGAGTGTAAGAGATCTGTCAGGAGCATCACACCTAGCAGTATCCTTCCCGTATCACCCAATTCAACCCTCACTCTCTTCCATCCAACCAGCCTCCTCCCGTCGCTCCCTCCAAGCCTCATCCCGAGCTTCCTCCCAAGCCTTCTCCCGAGCCTCTCTCTCTGGTCCGCCGGACCCATGTGCGCCGAGCCTGATCGTCCAATGGTGGTTCACGCGCCCCCGCCCCATCCGAAGGGAAGTGGCATCATGGGAGGAGGTCTATTCCGGCCTGCCCCCCGCGCTGCTGGCTGATGGGTTGCTGGGGATACTGGAGGGGAGGAAGGGACCTGCTGGTGGTGGAGGAGCTATGGGGTTGCTACTTCCGGAGTTATATCCGGTCTACTGGAAGCTTCCTGGGTTTGGCAAGGCAAGAGAGCTGGAAGCTTCCAAGGTAAGGCTAAGGCTGACTCTAAGCGTGTGTGTCTGGGGGCATTCACTGGTGGTGGGTGCTGTAATGTGGTATTCTCCCTCCTGACTCCCTCTACCTGTCGTCCTTTTCCCCCTGTGCGCCCTGACTCACAGGTTCGATCCGCCTGCTGCCTACAACTGCAGGATGACTCCTCTAGCAGCAGCAGCAGCAGCAGCAGCAGCAGCAGCAACAGCGGCGGCGGCAGCAGTGGCAGTGGTAACAGTCGTTGGTGGGTGCTGCATTGTGCTCCTCTCCCTCCTGACTCCACCGGTACTCTCGGTGTGTGTTCTTACAACACATCGCAAAGTGCTACCCTTTCCCGTGCCGGCATTGGCTGGGGCAGCAGCAGCAGCAGCGGCGGCGGCGGCGGCGGCAGCAGCAGCAGCAGCAGCAGCAGCAGCAGCAGCAGCAGCAGCAGCAGCAGCAGCAGCAGCAGCAGCAGCAGCAGCAGCAGCAGCAGCAGCAGCAGCAGCAGCAGCAGCAGCAGCAGCAGCAGGAGCGTATGGGACAGTGTCCAATGGGGCAGGAGAAGGGGGTTAAATTTAGTGGAGGCACGAGGAGAAGGAAAGGGTGGTGCAGGGAGGGAGAGGAGGCTGGAGGAGAGTGAGGGTGTGAGGGCGTTGGAGGCATGTGGAGAAGCATCAGGGCCTGCTGCTATCACTGTTTCAGAAGAAGTGCCTGGTAGGTGTCGTGTCTGGTGGGTTAGTGCTGTGCTGCACGCTTGCTTGGTGGGTGGGTGGTTATTAACCAGATGGGATAGGCGGGCAGTAAAGGGTGTGTGTGAGAGCGTTGGAGGCGTGTGGAGAGGCATCAGGGCCTGCTGCCATGACCATGTCTGAGGAAGTTCCTGGTATGTTCCTGGAGTGTTAGGGGTGGTGATGCAAACCTTCAGCATCACGGGACTGTACGTCACGTTTGTGCTGGCGCTCCTTCCCTCTTCCTCTTATTCCATCTCCTCTCACCCATTCAAATGTTTGGGGAAGCAATGCAAACGTTGAGGGAAACCAATCACAGGGCTGTGTGTCACGTTCATGCCTTCCTTTGCTTCTTCCCTCTCCACCTCCTCCCTCCGCCCATCTTCCACTCAACTCACATCTACCCTAACATGCAGCCGGGGTGCTAAGGGAGGCGATGCAGGCCTTGAGCATCACGGTGCCGTACATCACGTTCATGCTGCCCTTGAGCTGACTCATTTGCTTCTTCCCTCTCCCCTTTCCCCCTCCCGCTGTCTCCCATTCAACCCTCCTCTTATCCCAACACAGCCGGGGTGCTAGGGGAGGCGATGCAGACATTCAGCATCACGGGCCTCTACGTCACATTCGTGCTCGCTCTGGGGCGACTCATTCGCTCACAGAGTTCTGATCTTCGCCTCAAGATACCCTACGAGAACCTGCCCTCCTGTGAAAGGCAAGTACTTCTCTCATGCGCCTTTGAAATAGGCACCTCAGAATTGTCAGGCGCCTTAGGCACCTCAGAGCCTTAAGAATCAGAGCTCTGGACTTCGCCTCAAAATACCCTACGAGTATCTTCCCTTCTGCGAAAGGCAAGTCCTTTGTAGGCACCATTGGAATAGGCACTCTAGAACCCTCAGGAACTGAGGTCTGACCTTCGCCCCAAGATTCCCTATGAGAAACTGCCCTACTGCAGGCAACTCTTATTTAAACCTCTGAAATAGGCAGGCAGAATTTGCAGGCACCCTAGGAACCTCAGAAAAATAGTTCTGATCTTTGCCTCAATAGGTTCCGCTAAACTCTACGGTCGTGGAAATCTAGTGGATATCTCTAGTCACAGGTAGAGGAAGTGAGTGAACATCATTTGGACAAGCCACATCTTTGGCTCACCGTTTCTCATTCCAGATGGGCCTTTCTTCCCTTTTATGTTTCTTTCCCTTTTCCGTTGCTCTGATTGTTTCTTTTTGAACAACATATTTTCTTTCCATATCCCCATCCGTGTCTATGCCGATACGTGTGTCTATACTCCCAACAACGAACAGGCTCATGGCTATATGTGAAGATTTATACGCAGCACGAGCAGAGGGGGACCTGGAGCTGGAAGAAGGGCTTTATTGGACTTTAATTAAAATATATCGCTCACCGCATGTGCTTCTTGAATACACCAAGGGTGACAAAGCTGATTGACCGAATATGAAAAATTTCAAGTGAGCGTTTTTCTACACATGCATTCTTTCCATTTCCATGGTATTCATTCAGTGCGAGTAGCTTTGGACTTCCGTTATTCAGCACCGCATGCATGAAATGAGTAATGACAGTGTCATAAAACATGCATAAACCTAAATCTACACAATATGACATGAGAACAAGCAGTAAGAAATGCAAGCCACCTAGAATCAGGACGAAGCTGTATGTTGCTGACAACCGGTGATATTCTGGCCATTTTTGAGGTGGGTGAGCTGGTCGGTTTCGGTGGTGAAGACTCTTGAAGGTTGGGGGTAGTTTTGAGTTTGCGTACAGTTCCAGGGGGTATGTTTGAGACAATGTACACTGAAGTGTGTATTGTGAAGTCCTTCTCTTGTACTCCATTTTCTAGCCGAATTTGTAAGCTGTATTGACCTTGGCTTGTTTTTGTTGTTGTCTCCTTTCTCTCTCGGGCTGCTGAATCTGCTTTTCCTCCCTGCTTTTGACCTTTGGATGCATTTCGTTACAGTTCTGTACAGATCATATGCCACACGGCCATCCCGCGTTGATGAGGTGTGACTTCTGGTGGGCTTGTTCAGTGGTCTGGTCACCATCCCAGTTGCTGTATAGACAGACAGCTAGACACCTCTGTTTGATACATTCCCGAGTTTCTTTTAGATTGTTGGGCTACAAAACATTTAATTTTCTATGAATTGTCTTCTGCAAAGTTGAGACGGCGTATCCTTCTACAACTACTCCAAAGCCCGATGTTTAGAAAATCCTAACTTCCGTTCCAGCATGAATGGTGCATCGATTACGGCGTGTTGCAATTCGCGGTGCACTGCATCGGCTCGGCTCGTGGCACGGATTAAAACTTACAGGAAGGCTCCAGGAACGTAATAGGCGTAAAACTTTTACAGAAACTCGCAGGAAAAAAGTATTACGTAACAAAACTTTCTTGAAACTATTTGAATCACTATCTTGAAACTTTCCTTTCCCGAATCAGTGCCCGTGTTTGGCCTCCCGCCTGCCTGGAGCCCTCCAAACGTCCCAAGCCGATGCAGTGCACCGGCAATTGCAACACGCCGTCAGATGCTTCGAAACAGTTGAGATGCCCCTGGATTTACCAGGTATACGTGCACTCATTCGAAGGAAGTCACCCAACCGAACAGACAGCAATAAGTATCGCCCGAAAAACGCAAGACGACAAACGATGTGACTGCCAGTTGACCTGACGAATCTTGCGAGCCACCACCACCACACACCACCACCACCATCACCACCACCAAAGTTAAGTTCTGATGAGCTCGTAGCTGCTGCCAGTTCTGAGTTTTGCAATTGCTACTCCGATTTCGCAGTCTACTACAGATATTTCTAGTACTAGTACTAGTACTGCGACTAGCAATAATTTCGTTGAACGCCCAACTGCCACTCATCGCCGAAATGGCTAATACATCCCTCCGCGGCACAGGGGGCGCCGCCGTTGACCAGAAGCGGGAAATTGTGAAGTCTGAAGCATCGCCGGCGAGTTCGGAGGTTGCTGGAGTGTGCGAGAAAACGTCCACGAAATGCGTCAAGATTAGACCGCTTCGGGACGTCCTTCGAGACGCAAGCATGATATTCGCCGCTGTTACAACTACGAGTAGCACGAGTACCAGCTCAGCCGCGCAGAAACGACCGCCGCCCAGGCGACCCCGAGTCGCCGGCCGCGGAAGAAATGTATCTTCGCCACCGCATCGCTTATCCGCCGTTGCTAAACAGCCGGCGCACGGCGGCGGAGGCGCGAAATGGCGGCAGCACCCAACGGAGGCAAAGGGCAACTTTAACGATCCTGGAAATGGGCGGAGACCTAGATCGTCTGTGGCTGAAGTAGGGCAATCCAACGGCAGAAATGTAGCGGGATCCCAGGGCCTTCAACCTGAAGCAGATGACAAGGATTCCGACTTGAAGCCCATGCAAGTCTTTGATGCATCTTCGGACGACGACCTGATTGACCTGGTTGACTCCGACGAGATCTCGTTGCAAGGCAGTGATTATCCGATGATGAGTCATGGTCAGCATGGTCAGCCGTGTCAACGACGTCAACGGAAGGGCAATCTGAAGGCCTTACTAGCAACCAAACCGCCGCCTGTGAAGCAGCAGGTACTAATATTTGAGAGCTGATTCTTTTCTGGTGCCAGAATCATGCTTGCCACAGCTTGTTCTTTGCTTCCGCCTAACGCAACACACCAGTAGTACTATCCACTAGTAGACTCAAGCGGCCTAGGGCACCGCACTAGTGATACTGGTATTACTTGTCCGTTCCCATGGAAATGCTACTATTTTTCTGCACCTTCCTCCTTTCTTTTTCCCCCTCGCCCCTTTCCTTTGTCCGCTTTTCTTCCTCGCCCCACCCTGTTCACTCTTCTTCCCTATCGCGGCTTCCTAGATTTATTTCATGATCTATTTCTAGAAAGTTAGGTCTTTGTTTTGCGCGCCTGATTCCAGCATGGCGGCACTCTTTGCATCACCACCTACTTATCCATCTTGAACCAGCTCAATCATCCTACACTGGTGTTCATACCTTCTCCCTTTGTCCCCTGCTTCCTGAAGGATCATCCAATCCTTCACCCATTCATTTCAACACCTCTCGTTCGCGCCCATGCCATCCTCCCAACATTCCGAGGGGATCTCTCCTGTTCTTTTTTCCCAGCTTCGGTAAAGCGGTGGGATTGAGACGCATTAAGAACCTGTTCATTTCCCTCCTGCCATCCTTTTTCCTGTCCCCTGTGCAGTTGTAACCTGGCACGTGAGGCGGAGAGTATCATCGAGTCTCTCACAAACCTGGTTTTTTTTCTTCTTCTTCTTCTTCTTCTTCTTCTTCTTCTTCTTCTTCTTCTTCTTCTTCTTCTTCTTCTTCTTCTTCTTCTTCTTCTTCTTCTTCTTCTTCTTCTTCTTCTTCTTCTTCTTCTTCTTCTTCTTCTTCTTCTTCTTCTTCTTCTTCTTCTTCTTCTTCTTCTTCTTCTTCTTCTTCTTCTTCTTCTTCTTCTTCTTCTTCTTCTTCTTCTTCTTCTTCTTCTTCTTCTTCTTCTTCTTCTTCTTCTTCTTCTTCTTCTTCTTCTTCTTCTTCTTCTTCTTCTTCTTCTTCTTCTTCTTCTTCTTCTTCTTCTTCTTCTTCTTCTTCTTCTTCTTCTTCTTCTTCTTCTTCTTCTTCTTCTTCTTCTTCTTCTTCTTCTTCTTCTTCTTCTTCTTCTTCTTCTTCTTCTTCTTCTTCTTCTTCTTCTTCTTCTTCTTCTTCTTCTTCTTCTTCTTCTTCTTCTTCTTCTTCTTCTTCTTCTTCTTCTTCTTCTTTCTTGTGACGACTTCATCTCTGTCCCCTGTACCGGCGTTACCTGGCAGGTGGAGCAAATAATATATCATAGTCAGCTCAAATACCTTATTTTTTCAGAGACATCTTGATCGCTGTTCCCTTGGCCAATTCTTGCTGTTTCTAGTCAGCTCAAGAAACTGTTTTTTCTTTCCTGCCATCTTGATCCCTGTCCCCTGTGCCAGACTGGCAGGTGAAGCTGAGAGTATTTTTGAGTCAGCTCAAAAACCTTTTTTTCTTCTTTCCTGACCTGATTTCTGTCGCAAGTGCCATTACCCGGCAGGTGAAACAGAGTAATTTTCAGTCATCTCAAAAAACTGTTTCTCTTTCCTAAAATACTGTTTCCTGTCCCCTGTGCCGTTACCTGGCAGTTGAAGCGGAAAGGGAGCCAGGGCGAAGTTCAGATACGGCCGCAAGAAGTCGCAAAGGCAAAGGAGCAACGAGTCAGCAAAGATTGGGACAATGAGTGGAGCAACCGCAATGGCATGCGCGCTCAGAATGGCACGGAAACTGACAGAAAGAAGGTGCAAGCACTCTTCAAGACTGGTGCAGACAGCAACAAAAGGCAGCGGTTAGGTCAGGCTAGGTGTGGAAAGGAGGAGGAGAGGGGGGAGGAGGAGGAGAAGGAGTGCAAGTCACAGCAGCAAGACATTATGGTTGTAGAGCTGAAGGGCGAGGACGTTCAGAGGGCGGAAAGCAGCGAAGAATCTCTTTCAGAGCTGGAGAGGAGGAGAGATGTGGAGTTGGGCAAGCCCGAAGTGTGCTCCAGCTATCAAAATGACTTGGTGCCGTCTCCATGTGGGTTGAAACCCTCTGCAAGCAACTTGAGTGGTGAATTGAAGGGCAGTGGTGGGCCTATAGAGTGTGTGGGGAGGACGAGCAGCAGCGGTGGCAGTGGCAGTGGTGGTGACAGCGGCATTGGCGGTAGCAGTGGCAGTGGTGGTGGCAGTGATGGTGGTGGTGGCAGTGGTAGTGGTGGTGGCAGTGGCAGCGGTGGTGGCAGTGGTAGTGGTGGTGGCAGTGGCAGTGGTGGTGGCAGTGGCAGTGGTGGTGGCAGTGACGGTGGTGGTGGTAGTGGTGGCACTGGTAGCGATGGCACCGGCGGTGTTGGTGGCAACTGCACCAGGATCACAGTGAGTTTCCCAGACACTATGCCAAGCGAATTTCATGCAGCCTTGGATATGGACCAACCCTGCGACACAGACCAAGGTGCTGTTGGGAAGACGGGAGAAGTAGATGGAGCAATGAAGAATGTGGATCAGGAAGGAGACGATGGGGCCAGAGAGAGGGAAACGGATGGAGCAGGGGAGAGTAGAGGGGATGGGGCAGGAGAGGCAGAAGGGGATGGTGCAGGTGAGAGTGGAGGGGATCTGGAAGGAGAGGCGAAAGAGGGTGGCGCAGAGGGGAGCGGGGGTTGTAAGCAGGCTGCAGGTGCGACCAGTGCTGTCAATCAGAATGCGAATCAGGTAAAAATGGATGGATGCAAGATGGTTGTCGAGACAGCAGGAGAGGAGGTTAATGGTGGGAGTAACACTAGTGATTATCACCTTGTCTGTATCTCTGGGGAAGTGGGTACTGGACATACTGGAAACGGGATGAAGTGGGCCAGAACAGGGAATGAGCAAGTGGGGTTGGAGAGTGCCGTTGTGCCATCCTTTGACCTCAACTGTATGCCTCCTGGGAGTTGTGGTGATGTTGACAGTTATGGTGATGGGTACGGTGGTGGTGGTGATGGTGATGGTGGTGGTGTTGGTGGTGATGATAGCTGCTTTGGCTTGCATGAGGACTTGGAAGCACAGAAACTGGTCCAGAAGCAGCCACAGCCGCAGCAGCAGCAGCAGCAGCAGCAGCCGCAGCAGGCGGTGAATGGTGACACCAGTGAACAAGTGATATCAGCAGACCTGCTCTCAAACCAAAAGCCCTTGGGTTTGCCCTCTCTTCAGCACCTTGAGTCTGTACATATCAAGAAGCAGATCCTCCAGCAGCCCCACCAGCAGCACCACCAGCAGCCCCACCAGCAGTCCAACCAGCAGCCCTGGCACCAACCGCACCAGCAGCACGACCAGCAACCCCACCAGCAGCAGCCCTGGCACCAACCCTATGAGCAGGTTCACCAACGATTTTCCCAACTACGTACCCATCATCACCACCACCAGCACCACCAGGATCCCCAGCAGCAGCCCTGCCACCAACCCTATCAGCAGACGTTTCAAGACCCTCGCTTTTCATCCCACCACCGATTTCGTCACCTGCAGAGCCCACAGCTGCACCATCAGCAACCCCACCAACAACCCAACCAGCAGCCCCACAATCAACACCACCAAGTGCCCCACCATCACCCTAAACCCCCCGTCCCCATTGCTCCCAACGCGCACACCATGCTAAATCTCACTGATCCGTATTGTCATGTAGTGCCTGCTACATCTGCTGAGGTTATCTTTCCCTCCCTGAGCCCAAGCGACGTTAGCAGCACCTGCTGCCTCCCTGTTTGAAGCGTATTTGATCATTCAATCCGTTTTGGTGTGAGATGCAACAGAACTTCGAACGCATTTCAGGTGAAATTTAATGCGCACTATCCTTACTTCTATTCTGTAGGCACGATGCACTGAGACGCCGTATGCAAACCCTATTGTAATATCGATTTATTTGACATGCTTAGTGTGCCTCGTGCATTATTATTTTAGTGCCAGTTGATAGATTCTGCATATATGCTACCAACTTTAAAGACCAAACATGAGCATTTGAGAAGCGGGTAAGAGCAGGTTGTGTTGCGGGTAGATGTGGGGGGTGCATGTTATATATATATATATAAAAAAAATCCTTCTTTGGGCCACAGTTCTGTCTGAATAGTGTGATGGATTCCCTTAGCACATCAGGAATTGTGTTACATTGCATGTCTACTCTGAAATAACATTGAGGTGTTTTCTGCATAGTGTGTGTGTGTGTGTGTGTGTGTGTGTGTGTGTGTGTGTGTGTGTGTGTGTGTGTGTGTGTGCTGGGGCGTATGCGCGCAGCAACGCGTGTGGGCCCTCAATACCTCGTCTCAGGACTCATGCTTTTGGCACCTCAGAAACTGCTTTTGATGAGCGTTTGGAAACGGTTTGAGGTGCCTTGAACCTTCCTTCCCTCTCTCCCCTCTCCCCCTCTCTCGTCTCCATTTCCCAACTCCCCCCACTTCTCATCAGATGAGTGGGCGAGCAGGGCGGCGAGGTAAGGACAGCAAAGAAATTGTCATCGTGATGGTCAATGAGGAGGTAAGAACAGTGCCCTATGTGATCACCATGCACATCACATTACACATCACACCACATCACACTACATGGTATGGGCACGTATTGGCTACTTGGAAACATGTCACCTCAAAAAGTCTCAAAAGCACATGCTGGTTCACCAAATCCCATGATTCGTTTCAGGATATTTTCAGGATGAAATAACGAATGATCTTCCATTTTGCAGCCTCAGCCAACCTGACTACTCCCATTCTCACCCTATTCTCAGATGACAATGGAAGCATGCAAGGAGATGATGCTGAGGAGGCCTGCCCCTGTAGAGAGCTCCTTCCGCCTGACCTACTACGCGCTGCTCAACCTCATGGCTCAGTATGAGTTGAATCATATGTGGCTTGCGTCCTCCTCCCCCAGATGACCATGGAGGCATGTAAAGAGATGATGCTGGGGAGGCCTGCCCCTGTAGAGAGCTCCTTCTGCCTGACCTACTACGCGCTGCTCAACCTCATGGCTCAAGCCGAGGGGCATTTCAACGCAAAGCATGTGATTGCCCTATTCGTCTCACCAGCTCCAACACGACAGGGTATGTGTGTATGTGTGTGCGTGTGTGTGTGAGTGATGTGACTTCTGACCCACTATACCGGAGCTCCTTCCGCCTGACCTACTACGCGCTGCTGCACCTCATGGCTCGATCCAAGGGGCAGTTCAATGCAGAGCACGTCATTGCACACTCCTTCCACCAGTTCCAGCACGACAGAGTGTGTGCCTCAGCGTAGCAGAGGCAGCAGGTTAGGTATCAACCCCTTCCCCTCATGGCTCGAGCCGAGGGGCAGTTCAACGCGGAGCACGTTCATTGCGCACTCCTTCCACCAGTTTCAGCACGACTGGGTTCGTGCCTCTGTGCGTGGCTTGGTTGGTGGGTATGTGTGTGAGTTGCTGCCTGACCTACTATGCTACGCGCTGCTAAACCTCATGGCTCGAGCCGAGGGGCAGTTCAACGCAGAGAATGTCATCGCCCATTCATTTCACCAGTTCCAACACGACAGGGTACGTACATGTGTGTGTGGAGAGTTGGAAATGGAGAGTGGAGGGTAAATGCACTCTTCCCAACGGGACAGGGTGCATGTGTGTGCGTGGATGTCTTTTTTTGACTCGATCCTCTTCACCCCTTCCCTGCATTCCCCCTCTCTTCTCTCTCTCTCTCTCTCTCTCTCTCTCTCTCTCTCTCTCTCTCTCTCTCTCTCTCTCTCTCTCTCTCTCTCTCTCTCACGTTCATCCCCTGCAGCAAGTACCAGAGGTGGAGAAGAGGATTAAGCAGCTGTACGCAGAAGCAGACACGCTAGATGCAGGCAATGAGGTGAGAACTCGAGTGAGGGAGGGGAGTTGAACGGAAGAGGGAAGGGGAGTGAGGGAGGCTTTCGAGATTAGGGGAGTGTGGAGTGGGGGAGGATTAAGCAGCTACAAGCAGAGGCAGACGTGCTGGAAGCTGGGACTGAGGTGAGGCCTTGAGAGACTGAGGGGAGGAGGAGGAGTGAGGGAGTGTTGAGAACTCGAAAGAGAGAGAATGCATGAGACAGTACTCGGGTTGGAAGTAATGAAAATGGTTGTTTGAGTCTGAGAGACTGCTTTGTACCTTGACCGTACTTTTGCCTTGCCTGTACCTTGTCCCACCTTTCAATGTAAGGCTGCTTGAGAAACGAAGGAAGGCACCCTGCCAATTGAACCAAACGAAAGTGGGAAGCACATCTCGTTTTTAGCCGACCCAAGAAGAGCAAATGTTCATCAAAGTTTATCGAAGGCTCTTTTGAGGTTCTTATAAGATTCCGACTCCCCATTCCCGGCCTTGGGGTTTGCTTGCAGTTGAGATCCGCCAGTACCCATTCCCATTCCATGCACTGCGCCTATCGCTAGCAGAGGAGAGGCGGTTCAAGGCAGCTTGTCAGGCGAACCACCCACATGTGCAAAAACTTTGCCCACACTCTTCCCCTCTCTCTTCTCCCCTCGCAGGATGAATTTCACGAGTATCACGCGCTGCGCCTGTCACTGGCTGAGAAGGAGAGGCAGTGCAAGGCAGCTTGTCAGACAAACCACGCACATGTGCAAATCCTTTGCCCCCACCCACTGTTCCCCTCTCCCCTCGCAGGATGAGATTCGCGAGTACAACGCGTTGCGCCTGTCCCTAGCTGAGAAGGAGAGGCAGCTCAACGAGGATGTGTTGCGGCCTGATAGATGCCTGACTTCCTGCACCCGGGAAGACTGGTGAGGATAGTTTGTGAATGGGGTCTGTCCATGGGCTACATATGAGTGCTTCAAGGATGGATGGGTGGGTGGTGGTTCCTGACTAAGAAGGAGAGGCAGCTCAAAGCAGAGGTGCTGCGGCCTGATTGATGCCTGCACTTCCTACAACCCAGCCGACTGGTGAGTATGCAGTCTTCATGTCACTTATGAGTGCTTGATTGGTTGATTGATGGATGGAGAAAATCCCGTTTGCCCCTTTTGAGACATCTCCAGTGCGTGATTGGTTGATAGATGGGATGATCGGAGGGGCGATAGACAGTATCCATTTCACCCCTCCAATCGTCCCATCTTCTCTTGCGCATCCTATCCTATTTCCCTGCCACCCGCATCTTTACCCTTCAACATGCCCATTGAAGCCTCTCCTTCGCCTCACCTTCGTTCGTGCAGATTCGGATGGTAGACAGGCTGGACGACTGGGGGTGGGGAGTGATCGTGAACGTAATCAAGCAACCCTCTCAAACCAGCACCAAATCAGCCGTCATCGCCCCCTCGCCCACCGCCTCTGTTACCGCTGATGCACCGCTCTCCACCACAGCATACCTGGTGGACACGCTGCCGCTGTGCTCTCGCGTGGTGGACAGTGGAGGAGGGGACGGTTCCACAGCTCAGCTTGTGCCGCGCCCGTGCGAGCTGGAAGGGAACGAAGAGATGCATGTGGTGAGTGAATGGCTTCGTCTCCCTCTCCCCGTCCCTCTGCTCCCACAGCTACACCGTGTCAGAAAGTAGGAATGAATGATGCCTAGAATGACAGCAGTACAGGGTTTCTATAGCAAAACCTAATTGGGATGTACCCCATAAGGAGTGCCCCACTACAGCCTAGAGCATATAAATGCATACACCCCTCACCCCCATAGGCAAAGTGGGGGACAAGCAAGAGAATGAAGCAAGGTCAAGCTCAGGGTTGATCACAACGTCACCACGCAATCCGAGCACACGCAAATGGCCACAAGACCAGTTCACATGCAGAGTCATATATAAAGAAGAACAAGCAATACAATTATCACAACCTAGCAAGTGTAAGCATGCAGGTATAACTATATAGATCACTGTACAAGCAAAGTCAAGAAGTGAGCAAGTGAGGCCAAGTAGGCACAAGGCCTAGAACAGTACAGAAACGCTGATGATCACAAGGCTGAAGTGCCTTGGTGAAGATATCAGCAGTGTTGGCCTCAGAGGCCACGTAAATAAGACGAAGCTGACCACACTGCTACAACTCTCAAGCAAGGAAGTAGCGCAGAGCGATGTGCTTTGTTCTGTGCTCCAGTCTGTGCTCCTAACACAAGGCGATCATGGCCTTATTGTCGACGTACAGAACTGGAGGAGAACGAGGCGCCTCTCCCAAGTCGGTCAGCAGGTAGGTGAGCCAGCGTAACCCCTGTGCAGCAATGGCCCCTGCGTACATCTCAGCCTCACAGCTAGAGCTCAGAACAGAAGACGAGCGGGTAGACTGCCACAAAACAAAACCGGAGCCAAGGCTGAAGGTGTAACCCTGTGACGACCGCTGCGTAGCCAAGGCGTCAACCCAAGAAGCGTCTGCGTGACCAGTGAGGACAACTCGAGCCCGTCCTCCAAGCACGAGCCCCATGCCCGACGTACTGCACAAGTAGCGCATCACCCTCATAGCGGCCTTCTAGTGCTCTGGTCAGTGTCTCTCGGGCGCAACGTAGCGTGCCAGGATGCTAAGAGGGTAAGCAAGGTCAGGTCGAGTGCAGGTCATCAGGTACATGAGGCAGCCCACAAGCTCTGGATACGGACCACTCGACTCTATGGACTCATCCGAAGGCAGAGCTGAGAGCGAGTGACCGGTAGGCAGAGGAGTGGACTGTGGCAAGGAGTACTGGAAGTCGAAGCGCTGAAGGACCTGCTGCACCATGTGTGACTGAGTCAAGGTAATGGTGCGCCGTGCTCTGTCGCGGGTGATCTGCAAGCCAAGGTAGCTGCACAGCCAAGGTCTGTGCATGTGTGTCTCTTCTTCAGCTCCGACTTCACGTGGGCCAGTCCAGCAGTGTCAGCAGTGGCAAAGACCAAGTCGTTGATGTACACGAGGATGTAGAACGGCGGCAGCAAAATGTCGGTGCGTAGAAACATCGACGGGTCAACAGTAGAAGGAGCAAACCCAAGAGCTGCAAGCGTCGTCATCAGTGTGTCGTGCCACTTGCGAGGCGCCTGGCGGAGACCGTAGACTGGCCGGCGGAGGCTCCACTGGGTACCTACAGGAAACGACCCAGTGAAGCCAGGTGGGCGGCGCAGCCAGATCTCCTCGTGAAGGCTGCCCTGTAGGAAAGCAATGCTGAAGTCAAGAGAGTGAAGCTCGTAGTCACGCAGAGCGGCGACGTGCAGCAGAACCCGAAGAGTGGTCATATTTGGGGTAGGGGAGAAGTTCTGGAAGAAATCAACTCCCTGTCGCTGACTGAAGCCTCGTGCGACGTAACGCGCCTTGAAGACAGGCGGAGAACCCGGCGACCGCTTCACCATGAAAATCCACATGCCACTTACGATGTTCGCCCCAGGTGGGGGAACTGCGTCGACGTAAGTGCCTGTGGACTTCCAGGATGCCATCTCTGGGTCCATGGCTGACTGCCACTGAGAGGAGTAGGCACTCTCTTTCGCCTCTGCGTAAGAGCACGGGGTCGGGATGTCTGGTGCATCCGGGTCTCCCTCAGGGGCAATCAGCATGGACACGAGATGAGGTACAGCAACTGCAAAACTTTCAAAGTCCTCCTGCCTGTCCTCAAAGACGTCCGTGCCAAGAGCACACTCACCCTCGACGGACGGAGGATAGACAGAATCAGACTCAGCAACAAGACTAGCGGCGTAGTCTACACGACAGGCGGCAGCAAAGCCAACCAGCTCAGCAACAAGAGCAGACACAGCAGTAGACGCAAACGAAGGGTCAGTGATAACAGTAGCCAGGAGACGCGTGACAGTAGGACTAGCAGCACGAAGGGAGTCAGACTCTGGTTCCGGACCGTCAGCAAGGGAGGATGCAAGAGGAGACAGCAGAGGGACACGCATTGGAACAGAGGAAGGACGAAGTGCCATCTGGTGTGTGCCGGGAACAGGAGGAGGACGCTGACGCGGAACACGATGACCAGTGTGGAACACTTAATGGCAGTGGAGTGTTAGCCCCGGCCTTGCTTGGGCAACGCCGATGACTTGGTCGGGTGTACGGGACTAGCAGCCAACCCTTCACAGTGGGAAAGCTGCTCGACAGGCTTTGTTGAGTTTCAGGGGACTACTGTGGTGTTGCTGTCGACCAGGGAGCTCGACAGCTGCAACTGATTGGCCTGGGCAACAGGTGGGCCGTTGACCAGGAGGGGCAGTTCGACCGGAAGGTCGACGGAGCGGTCCGTCGACCTGCAACTCGACCGGGAGCAGTCTCTCGACCTGCAGCTCGACCAGGAGCAGTCTCTCGACCTATCGGAAAACTCATCATCTGTAGCATCCCATGGCTTGCCTTCTCCTTCCTGCACTCACCCTCCCTCCCTTCTTCTTCCAAACTCTCTTCCTGTGATACCACCTGCTCTGCCTCAGCCACTTTCTGCCCCCACCAGAGATCATGCTCGGGTCTCCCGTGCACGTGTCACTGGACACTCTTGCTGAGGCCGGGTGCTTCTCACCACTGCAGAATCCGTCAAGCGGTTCCCCGTCTACACTCTTCTCTGATTCCTTCGCACCAGCACTCTGAGACCCCTCAGGTCCTGCGTCTCCCTTCTCTGTGTGTCCAGTGCCACTTCCAGCGTGGCCCTTTCTGCAGGTATGCTCCCTATCCCATGCCACCCAGTTCTCAGCCGCTCTCATTCCTGCTGGTTCTGTCAGCACCCATGTTGCTGGCTCCATCGACTCATCTTCCCATGTCTCTCCCTTAATCCCCTTTACTGTCTTCATGGCCTCTTGTTCTTTCTTACTCATTGCGACTCCCACTGTATCCTCCAGTCCTTCTCCTGCTGTCAGGCACTCCCATGCCCCCTCTTCCTTGCTCTCCCTCTCTGTCTCTTCCTGCTTCTTGGCCGGGTCCCTCACTGGACCTTCCCATCCAGCTATCCATAGGTCACCTTGCCCCTGGTTACATGCCGCCTCTGCTGTTATGCTCCTCACATCCGCCTCGGGTCCTCTCATGGCTTCTTTTCCCATTTCTTCCCCCTTCAGCTCTAGATTTTCTTCCCGCAGCTTCCTCACTTGCTGCTCCGCCATCCCACTTTCCTACGCTTGCTTCTCTGCCTTTAGTACACGTGCCCGTGCCCCCACCTTCTCGTCTTTTCCTTCTGCTTCTTCGGCTGCTGGTGCGCATGCCCATGCCCCCTTTTTCTTGGCTTTCCCTTCTGCTACCGCTGATGCCACTACACGCGCATGTGCCCTCACCTTCGCTTCTTCCCCTTCCTCTTCTGCTGCTGCTGCTACACACGCCTGTGCCCCCACCTTCTCTTCCTCCCCTCCCTCTTCCGCTGCTGCCACCACACATGCCCGTGCCTCCACCCCTTCATCCACCACTTCCGCTTCCGCTGCTGTTGGTACACATGCTCTTGCCTCAACCTGCTCATCCGTTTCCTCTGCTTCCGCTGTTGCTGGTACACACACTCCTGCCCCCACCTTCTCGTCCTTCTCCTCTACTTCCGCTGCTGCTGGCGTTACTAACATGCACGCCCATGCCCCTACCTTACTCACTTGCTCCCTTCGCACGTCCCTGCCCCCACTACGCAGCCGCATGTCCGCATGGCCACGCAGCGCCTCACAGGAGCGTTCTGGCTCCTGCTCCTCTTCCTCCTCCTCGTACAACCCCGCTTGCCCCTGAGTTCTTTCTCCCAGCGCTTGCAGTTGGGCTCGTAACTGTTTGATATGTTCCTCAATCTCCTCTGGTGATCTCCCTGCCTCCCTTTCTCATAGCAGTTCCTTGCCTGATGCCCCTTTTTCCCACATTTCTCACTGCTCGGTACATCTGGGCAGTCCCTTCGGCGGTGCCCACGCTTTCCGCACACATCACAGTTCTTGCAATCCCTCCTGATATGCCCCTCCTACCCGCACCTGTGGCACGTCCGTGTTTCTTCTTGCCTCTCCTACCACTGCTCCTCCCCACCCTCGTCCTCGGTTATCATCGCTGCAGCCCACCTGGGTCGCCCTTTCTCTGACACCTTCGGCAGGTACGCCTCGTACCGCCTCTGTGCTAGCTCCACTTTCTCCGCCAGTTCAAAAACCTCCTCTAGCGTTGCTTCAGCTCCTAACTCATAAACTCTCATTCTCAGTCCTCCACTCAGTCCTTCATCTAAACCTCCCAAAAACTTGCTAATCAACATACTGCTGTCCGTGCAGACCACGTCCTCTGCTAGATTAGTGAGCCTCCCAAAGTATGTGAGTAGTGATTCCGCCTCACCCTGCCTAAACTCCTGAAACTCTCGGATACGGTTGGCTGTGTGGCCCGGGAACTGTTTTCTCAGTCGCTCAAAGAACAGCATCGTGGGATCATCTCCATCCTCATCTACTCGCCTCAGCCAGTCCGGCATCTTCATTCGGTACAGCGTTTCAGCTTCGCCCCCCAACGTATTCGGTAGGCTTAATAAAAACTCTATCGGGTCCATCCCGCTTCTATCGCAGCGGTACTTCACATTTGCAATCTGCATCAGGTAATTCTTCAGGTTGGTTCCTGATCCTGCTCCCCCCGTAAAGTGCACTGGCACCTCCACCTGAGGTGGGGCCTGCACACTCCACCTTCCCGACTCCCAAGTTCCTGA